GATATTTCTTAAATTTCTAGATGGAATAGCTTATTTGCCAAACCATACGGCTACATTGGTGAATTTCATGGTATTACAACTTGCGTATTTTTTCTTCTTTTGAGCTCAATATATTTGGTGAAATTGGCAAGGATTGCGAAGTGTTTCTGAATTTCTTTGGTGATCCACAAAATCTTGCCATTTGGATGTGTGTTGTTGCTTTTGATCTGTTGAGGTCCGCTAACTAATGTAGCTTTATTTTGTGTGATCCCCCTCTTCTCTTTTTATTTTCATCTGAATTTTCTAAAACGATGTGTGCTTTCACTTTCAGATGCTCAGATGCAAATCTGATTGACATTCCCGTTGAAGTGGAGACTCCTGATCGCCATTATTATCATGTACGCATTTAATTGATGTTATATTTACATCTTACCTTTCTTATGTATGTGCCTATGAGGGGAGATTCATAACAGTTTAATTTACAAAAATTGGTGTCGGGAGGCATGAAATTATCTTTTGGAAGTGTTGAGAGTTGATTTTCTGTTGTTATCTGCAGCTTGCCTTCTTCACTAACAGGAAAGTGCGAGCTTATGAGGAGTTGACGTGGGTAGGTAGGCTTGAGCCTTAATTAATACTCCCTCCGTCCTTCACGCGCTTCAAATGTTAGTTAAATTTAGTTAAAAACATTAAATATGTAAGAAATATATGTATTTTTTCAATTATATCCTTGTTTGTAAAAAGAGTACATGAGAGATAATAAATGTGCAGAAAGATAACAAATAACATATATTTAATGAAGGTAAAAGTAGAAATAGTAGTTTAAAATTTCAGATAAAAATGATTTGTTTTTTATATTTAGGGACACCTCTATGAGAAAGATTCTTTCTTACAAAAAGGGACGGAGGGAGTATATGACATTATATTTGCTTTACTTTTACACTTTCTCTCAATTTTTTGACTAATAGAGATTTTTTATTTGCACCTTGGTTAGGAAATATGGTTTTCTCGTCTCCAGAATAAAGTTAAATTACCGCATGCATGTCACTTTATTACAATTTTCTGAGGTCATCCAGTTTCTCTCATAAATAAATAATTAGAAGTGTGTGAAATTATCTGCAGGATTATGGTATTGACTTTGATGATCATGATCACCCTATCAAAGCATTCCAATGTTGCTGTGGGAGCTCATTCTGCCGCAACAAGAAGTGGAAAGGTCAGTTAAATACTCTTGAGTCCGTGAGGGGTATGCTTTTTAACAATCTCAATTCGTGGCTTGGTAGTGAAGAGATAAGAATGTTTTGATTAACAATAAGATGGTTTGCTCATAACTATGGTGGAATTTTTAGGGAAGCGAAAATTAGTAAAACGAGCATGAGGTGAGAGGAAAGTCTAAACCAATGAAAAGCTTGGGGAGGCCATCCCTCCTTCAACCATTGCAATTTCTGTAACCAAACAACGTCCTTGGGGTACTCACACTATTCGCCTATTTCCTACTCATCCTTTCATATTGTTACCATAACAACATGCATTATCTCATTAGGTGGGATTGACTGTATGGATCGCACGATGCTCTATTAACAACCAAATTTTTGAATAGATTATTAATCAAAGGTCAATAGCTTTATTGAGTGTTTTTTCCTGCCTTCGTCAAGATTTGAGTTTTTTGAACTGTTCATTCTTTTTGTTGCTGTAAAATTGTACAGCAAACTCACTGCACTTGCTTTCATATGACATTTATTAGAGGATGATTGATTCATGTTGTATGATCCAGCTTAGAATAAAATTCCTTTTAGCCAGTGACTGGGTTAGAGAATGAAGTTGTGTGAACTATTTAGATGTTCAATGCCTTGCACTCACAAGAGCAAACAGAGGAACACCCAAAACGGCAGGTTTGGGGTAGAGGAGGCTGGCGGACGGGAAAGCCAGGTCGGTGAAACTCACTATACAATGATGGCTACTCATCGATGGGACATGGGTGATGAAATTCGTGTCCATCTCTTCCTCACTTTGGGTGTGTTGGGTTGGGCCCATTTAGACCGTTAATGGGCTTATGGGATAAATCCAAGCCCAAATTTCCTCAAGTCACGTATGCCTTGGGCCTTGACCATAAATTAAACGAGTTAGATTGACAAGCTTCAACCATTTTCTCACACTCTTCTCCATGCCTACCTCATGTGTGGTTGGAAGCCACAGGGGAGAGGGAAAAGATATTTTAATAAATTTAATTTAAAAAATAAATAATTAGTGCTAAAATTTTAATTAAATTTCTCTCTTATTTTTTCTTTTTTAAATTTTTTTCAACTCTACTTATGTGTTTTTGTAATTGGAAGTTTAATATCCCCATGCTGTTGGCCAAAAAAAAAAATCCCCATGTTGCCTGGTTAGCGGGAAAAGAAAAGGAAGAAGCTTTTTTGTGATTAGGAATTTGAAAGTTGATTCCTTATTTTCCATTGTGTATTTTGTATTAATTAATATTTAGGTCTATTGAGTATCTTTTAATATTCAAATATTGTGGCTAAAATAATAGCTATCTCTCTTTCATTATAATTTCTTTACACAAAATTTAAACCATCCTAAGTCATTCATCTTAGTTAAAGGGGTATTTATTTATTTTGATGTAAAGGATGGTTAATTTAAATTGTACGTTTCATTCAATCAAACTAAAAGTCATCAAATTTTATAATAAATAAAAATGTTTATTAGAGTCACACCAGGAAATGAAGGGGTAGGGACAAACGGCAATAGCAATTTCCAGGTAGTTTCCCAAGCAGTACTTATTATCTCACTCGGCTCCATTCATTCATCTTCACCCACTCCAATAATTTATACATTGTTTTTATTTCTATTTTCAAATTCTTGATTATAATATACTCTCCAGTCCTAAATATAAGAATTTTTTTATAGTGTAATTTATACTATAAAAAGGATCTTATATTTAAAATCAGAAGTAATATATATTTAATACAAATTAAAATCCATTAACCATTTTCTCGTAAACAGCCTCATACGCTTGGGATGCTTTTAAATAGCGCTGGGTAAAGTAAAAATTATAAAATTATTTATAAGCATAATTAATTCAAAAACAGGGTGTTTAGATAAATGGAAAAATGAAAAAAAAAAGTTAAAAAATTACTAAATGTCAAATAAGGAATGTCAAGAAAAATTTATTGTCAATATAAATTCAGTATTTCAACACCAAATAAAAGTATTGTTACTAAACTTGATTTGAGATTTAGTAATTTTCTAGCTTCTTTTTTTGTGATTTTTTCTAGATAATTTTAGAAAATTATAATTAAAAAGCAGGTAATAATAACTTAGAGATAGATATGTTTTATCGTTCTGAGGTTGATTTTCGGCATTAAGCAACACCAAAAGCACTTTATGTGTAACATTTAGGAGGGGTTTGGGTATAAACAACTATGATTTAAAAGTACTTTTACAGTATACAAATAAATATGTGTAAAATTTGTTTCGATTTAAAAAAACAACTTTTCAAAAATGCTTTTTGGGTTACCAAACACTCTTTTAGGCGTGTTTGAATTGGAATAGATAAAGTGGCTTATTTTTAATTAGACTTTTGAAAACTTAAGATTGAATAAAAATTAGGTTAGATAATATAATTTATATTTAAATTGACTAATACAAATAAGCGCGTCTATAAAAGTGAAAATTTATCGGCTTTTCCCCAACTTTTTTCTCAATTCTGTCATTTAATTTTTATCAAAGCAAGATAGGACCCACTTTAAGGTCCTTCTGTGTCTTGGTGATCCTCCTCCCCTCCCCTCTCTCACGGTGAATGGGCTAAAAAGCAGCTTCATCTTGGCTAAGGCTATTGAGCCACTTTTGCCCCAAATGCCAAATTGATCAAAAGCCCATCCAGATGTAAGTAAAAGGAAAGATACAAAATAAGTGACTGTGGAGTTTCAAATTTAAATTAGTATTAGTTACTACACTTATAAAAAAAATAACTACATTAAAAAACGAAATGATAACATATTTTTGAAGTAATTCCTGATTTAAAATTTTAAAATTCAACAGTTACTTTTTTAAAATTTTTTCTATATAAAAATATCAAACGTGCTTCTGCCCTAAACTTCTCTATTTTCTTTTCCCTTCTCTCTCCATGTTTAAAAAGCAGCTTTTCTTACAAGCAACTCAAAATAAATTATGACTTTTTTAGGTTGAAATTAACTTTGGCTTAAAATCCACTGCTCATCCAAACAATGAGCTAATCCATTAAGTTACTTTTAAAACTCTCAATCATGATTTTTTTTCTTCCACAATCGCTCTACTAAATAAACACTTAAACACCCTCCAATCGTGAATCAAATGAAGATTTATAAATGAGTTTCAAAATATTTCATTAATTATCATGGTAAATTTTTGTTCGTCTACCTCATTATTAAACGAATTGTGATAGCTTAATTAGGGTGTTTGGTATCAAGTAAAAGCCTTTAAAAAACGCTTTTAAAAAGTCAAAATAAAACTCCTCTTATATATTTACTTGTATATCGTAAAATCACTTTTAAAACTATAAATTTGGTTTCCATTTAAACAGTCTGTAAATAAAACTAATAAACCTCAAATCGATTTTTCTAAAACACATCTACAAGTCTCATTGCTCTTAAGAACACCAATACTTTCAATATGAAATTAATGTTAATATGTTGATATAAATACAAAATCCATTGTAGCAGAGATTAACATTCAAATCCTCCTAAAGTACATTCAAATCCTCCTAAAGTAACAAAAAAAAAGTATCAAAAAAAGTAACTAAAACAAAATCTAATTAATAAGTCACACTATATTTATAAAGACTTTGATATAGCCACACAAGAACAAAGTAATCTAGCATTGGGTTTATGGAGATTAATGATACATAAGTGTCCAAATTTAAAAAGGTGCGGGAAGCATCCAAGGGTGAAGTTTCCTCTGCTTAAAACTAAAACCTTTCACATCCAAATCCCAAGCCACATAACACCGAACCCTTCACTGAGAAAGCTTGACCTTTCTTCAATGGCTGTGCCGCCATTAATAATAATGATAATCATTGTTTCTTCTGTCTTCCTCCTCACCACTTCTTCTTCTTCCTCTGCTGCTGCTGATACAGATTCCAAGGTTGTCTTCTTCTTCATTAGTTCTGCAATTCTAAACATCTTCTTGGTGGCTTTGAGAGAGAGAGAGTTTTATTAAAGGTGTTGTGTTCGGTTATCGCAGGTGGTTGGGGAGAAATGCTCAAGAAGAAGACACTGTGGAGAAGGGCTGTTCTGCAATTCCTGCCCTGCCATATTTCAGGGATCAAGATGTGTCAGATCAACTTCTTCAAACCCTTTCGACCTTTTGGTATCTCTCTTTCTCTCCCTCTCCCCACCCATTCCACACATTCTGGAAATTTCTAGTTTTATTCTGGAAATCACACTCCCAATATATGTGTGTGTGTGTGTGTTACACATTCATATGTGCAAATATATGTAGATATATTCTACAGATTCTAGGGACTCCCAGAATATAATGCAAGTTCCTAGAAGGCTGGAAGATAAAAAATATTCTGAGCGAATATATTGAAGTTGAGTGCTCGTTTGAGTACTTTTGAGTTTTATATAAATAATATTTATATTATCAGTCTTTTTATATTTTTAAATTTTTTTTTTGTACAGAGCATTTCCTTTGAACATTAGGCTTGGCATGCGTAGCAAATAATTTTTTTAATTAATAATAAACAAATTATGCAAATATTAAAAGACAGGATGTTTAGGTTTTCCAAAACCTCGAGAGATGATAATTTTTTATAAGATCTTTATTATATCCTTTGTGAACCACTAGGCTCTAGCAGACAAAGTTTTTTTGTTTTTTGTTTTTTATGTAATCAATATGTTTCTTGATTCTCTATTTTTAAAAAAATTGTTGAAGGTGTAAATGTTGTAAACAAAAAAAAATAGGACTTTGAAAAAAAGGTTTAATTAGATATATGAAAATGCCACAATTAGATTTAATAATGTTCAATCTCAACAAAATTACATTAAAAGGAAAAAGGTTAATATAATCTCTAATATCTTAAGTTTGTCCTCATTTTGACTTTAGTCATTCAAGTTTCAAATCATAAGTTTTAGTCCCTCAATGTATAAAATGGTCTAAATTTTTATTGGATTATAGGGATTAATGTTTTAAATAAAAAGAAACTTGAGGGACCAAAACCTATAATTTGAAATTTGAGGAATCAAAACTAAAATGAAAGTAAATTAAAAAGATCAAAGGAAAAATTGAATTTTATATTGGGAATTTTTTATTAGCTTATTGAATTACAATTGACTTAGGGGTAACAATTCCATGATGACTTTTCTTTGCGCTACTTCTTCTATACTTAATATTAGACATATTTAATTAAATTAGATAGATTAAAAAAATTAAAAAAAATTATTTAATTCTAATAAATGTGACTTGATTTGCTTAATATATTCTTGAATAAGAATATAATATTAGCTTGTAGAGTTAAGATGTATCCAATACATTGAAGTATTTAGTAATTCATCCAACACTACAAAGTATTTTTCATGTGCATTCTTAGGATTAATTAGAGTATTTAAAATGCTAGACACATCTGAAAAAATATTTTAAAATGTTAGATGAACTACAAAACAAAAAATATTTTAGAGTGTTGGATATACTTTAAAAAAAAATACTACAAGGCATTAAATGCACCTTAACCCTAATTTATGTAAGTTAAATAAAGTAATTTGATGAAAAATGATAAATACGATAAATTAAATAAATTAAAATTTTACATTTAATAATTAGCTTTTTATATTTGGCATAGAGTATAATACTAGCAATTTTGGATTGGACAGAATGATTCATTGCCATTCAACAAGTACGCATATTTGACAACACACAACTCGTTTGCAATTACAAGAGAAATGCCAAAGTCTAACCAAACCCTGCAACCAGAAGGGCTTTTTCCCAGAGTCACCTTCTCAAATCAAGAGGATAGCATAACGGAGCAGTTACAAGTAAGTAGGGGGGGGGGAAAAAAAATTAATGTCACTCTCTTACCAACGTTGTTGATAAATGTTTCTTTTTCTTTCTTCATGATGAAATTAATTTAATGATCAAATTAAAGGAAATAGTTCATATTGCAGAACGGAGTTAGAGCTCTTATGTTGGACACTTATGACTACAAAGGAGACATTTGGTTGTGCCATTCCTTCAAGGGAAAATGTTATCCAACCACTGCATTTGTAAGTGTGGGATATGATTTTACTTGTTGCCTGCTCTTTTTTTTTTTTAATGTGATCTGACTGAGTCAAATTTGAGTATTGTCGGGTCTAATTAGAAGTAATTTTTTGAAAGATGTTTTTTTTTTAATATTTACACAGACTCAAATTTAAGACACTTGTTACCAACTTTTATTTGGTTAGCTCATTTTATGTTTTTATTTTTTTATTTTCTCTTTCTATTGTTTGATTTGAACAATTTAGCTTTCGCATCTACCTCTATTTTGGCCACTTAATATATAAAACACACAACTTCCTCTATAAGAGGAAGTATAGAGTGCCATTTGAGTTATAAGCTTTTGACATTTTTTTTTCCCATTCAAACCTTATCTTTTTTTAAAAAAAATTTAGTTTCAATAAGCTCCCTAATGAATAATGTCGGTACTCAAAACAATATTTTGCATGGAAAGAATTATTTAATTTTGGCAATGATTTTGACAGGAGCCAGCAATAAAAGCCTTGAAGGAGGTAGAGGCATTTCTGGCAAAGAATCCATCAGAAATAGTGACACTGATATTGGAAGATTATGTGGAGTCACCAAATGGACTAAGCAAAGTGTTGAGTGCTTCTGGGTTGATGAAGTACTGGTTTCCTCTCTCAGATATGCCTCAAGATGGCCAAGATTGGCCTTTGGTCAGAGACATGGTTTCTAGAAACCATAGGCTCATTGTCTTCACTTCTCAGAGACACAAGCAACAAAGTGAAGGCATTGCTTATCAGTGGAACTTCATGGTTGAAAATCAATGTGAGTAGCATCAAAAACCACTTTAATTCTTTTTCTTTTTGAAACTAGGAAGTATAATCTATTCATGGTTAATTTAAACCCATAATTATTATCTTTGAAGATGATATATGCATGTGGCACATTTAAAGAGTTACGGTGAAATAAAATTATGAATATAAAAATGATAAAGATGAATACTGAGTATTCATTTTAATGTAGACCATCCAAATTGATTTTGGATGGTCTAGATTCAATTTGATTTTTTAAAATATTTTAAACATTTTTTACTTTTGTATATTTCTATTTTTGTAGATATAAATTTAAAATAAAAATGGTCTTATATTTGATTGAAAATACATTGAATTTTCTGACAGGGTCAATTTTTTTTTTAGGTTTTTATTAAATTTTTTCCTCATTTCTCGTGATACCCGAAAAAATTTGGTTTGGATTTTCTCAAAATCCAGGAATTCTTATTTTCTTCTCAAAATCTTATCTCCACCATTAGATTAAAAAATGGATAGTTTAGATGTAATATTTTAAAAAGTAGATGTTCACATATGTAATATTATAATAATAGTTTTATAAAGTATTAAACCTGAATCATGAATTTTATTTTTTGATCCAATAATAAAGATGGGATTCAAGAAGAAAAAGGTATTATGAGAGGATCACCTTCCGTCTCATTTTCTATCTGTTTTAACTCTATCATTAGTACTTTAGACAATCCTCAATCACCACAGGACATTTGGATATTTTTTAGGAAGAAATGACTTTAATTTATTGAATTTGATTTCTCTATTAGAAAGATGTGATTAAAAATGCAGATGGGAGGGGAGGGATGGAAAAAGGAAGATGCCCAAACCGTGCAGAGTCATCAGCAATGAATGATGAAACCAAATCACTGGTTTTGGTGAATCACTTCAGAAGCATTCCAACCAAGCAGGTGGCTTGCAGAGATAATTCACAACACCTCCTCAACATGCTCTCTACTTGTTACATGCAGGCTGCTCATCGTTGGGCTAATTTCGTTGCCGTTGACTTTTATAAGGTAAGGTCAATGGAGCCAAAAATTGTGAATACTACTTTTCTCGTCCTATTTATAAGATAGAGAGTAAAGATAATTTTTTTTATTCTATTTATAAGTTACATTAATTTTAAATTTTTAGCATGAAATAAGGTCAAAGTTTGGAAAGAAGTTTAATTTTAAGATAGAATTAATAATATTTAAAATTTTACTTGGTTTCAGTAAAACATATTAGAAGTGAATTATAAATAATATCATAAGAATATGGCTTTTACAAATCTCATAATATACATTACTCTCTCGATCCTAATTGTCAAAGCTAATTGGATAAGTTGTTTTTATCTTAAACGTAAGATTTCAATTTATTTTGTCCGTGAATTTATAATTTACCTCCCCAAACAATCCCAACTCATTGCTCATACCAAAAAGGGCTTTTCAATAATAAGATTAGTTTCATTGTAAATGATTAAATGGAGTATTTAAAAAGAATTAGCCTATAATTTTTTTACAAATAATTAATTTAACTATTTTTTTAGTTTTTGTAAATTAATTATCTAGAATTGGATGAATTATATTGATATTGATGCAATGATATAGAGAAGTGACGGAGGAGGATCGTTTCAAGCTGTGGATATGCTGAACGGGAAGCTCTTGTGTGGATGTGATGATCTACATGCTTGTTTGGTAAACTTCTTCTTTTTTTTTTCACAATATATTACATTATTTGTTTTTTTTTTAAAAAATTGAGTATAGGTATCTATATTTTTATATTATTGTTAAAGCCTACTATATCAAGCTATATGAGCACCATATAATTATCCTAAATATTGTTATGTGCAGCATGGATCATCATGCAGACCCAGCTAATCAAAAGAAGCATGTGACTGCGCTTGTCTATTTGTGTTGTGTGGATATTGCTGCCAGTTTAACTTTCTAAGAGATGAAGTATTTGTTGTATATATAGTTTTGTGTTGGGTGAAGGTTACTTTGAAACATTTCTTCCGTGTATCCAACACTTTAAAATATTTTGTAGTATAATTTTATTTTTAAAGTATTAAAATACTAAACATACATGTAAAAATACTTGAATGTACTGAATAAACTACAAAATATGTTGTGATGTTAAAGTATATTAAAAAAAAATATTTTAAAGTGTTGAATTAACGTCAGCTCTTTTGTATTTAGATGTGTCAATAAAAAAGCTTCATATTGTTCCAAGTTTCTAAAAAGACCTTAATGTACACACGTGTGTGTGTCTATATATATATATATATAAATATATATATATGTATATGTATATGTATATTTTAAAATGTGAACTTGAGCTAATAAGAAAGTTGTAAGCTCACGCATGAGAAGTTGAAATTTGACGATCCCTCACTGAAGAAAAAAGAAAGCTCAAATTGAAGGAAGCTGGTTTTAAATAAATATTTTCACTTTTAGATAAAATTTAAAGTAAGTGTATATATTTTTAAATTTTCTTTCTCAAATTAATTATAATTTTTATTAACTTTTTAAAATGTTAGTGGTTTTTTTTTTAAATATAAAAGTATAGGGGAGTTAGAACCCAAGGGCTTACCTTGGTAAGAGATACTTAAGCTCTGTTTGTTATAAGAGAAATTGAAAGGAAAAAAAAAATTTAATGAGTTCTATTTAAAAAATTGAAGAAGCGAGGTCAAAAGCTTTTAATTAATTTTTATTACTCTTTTATATTACTTTTTCTCTTTATTAAAATTCTAAAATCTCACTTTTTAATTTTTTAAATAAAACTCATTAAAATTTTTTGTCTCCTTCTCTTCATTTCCTTCATATCAAACAGTACCTTGTTGAGTGATGGGATTTTTTTTCTTCACAGAGCATTTAGTGAACAAATGATTCTCAGCCATATGCTCGTGACCATCTCGAATAAGAGCATGAAGAGTTTGCTTTAACTATTTCACAAAGCTTTAAAAATTATTTTGTTCCATTCTAATATTTAAAGCTCCAAACCAAAAGAATTAACAAATAAGTGTTCCAAGATTCTTCACTACCACAACCAAAAGAACATAAACCAGAAACAAGCATTAATTTGATGAAGCTCAAGCACATCACTAGAGGGGATTGCATATCAGATTAGCTTTCATATCAGCAGAAATAATTTATATGGGAGAGGAAACTTCCATAATATTTTCCAAATTTCATCCAGAATTTGATTATTAGCAATCATCAAACAATAGGCTTCATCTTTTACCTTATAAATTCTCAGAGAATTTCCTTGTCAGATTAATTTATCCTTGCTATTCGCGAAAGAGAGGGTATTATTTAATCAATTACGAGTCCTGTATGTTGGCCAGATATAAAAAGAATTATAATTATAATTAGTTGAAGACAAAAAGACAAAAGAGAGAATATATTATCATTATGGTTTATGAGCCGCCTTGTGCTTATGGTTTATGAGTTGTCAAACGTGAAATCCACTTTTTTCCTTTTTAAAACAAAAACAGAGACCGTGAAAACCAGTTTCTAAAAATTGCAATTGGGATTATACTGGGGAGAATAATGACCTATTTAATATTGGGAAAATTTCGATTAAGGACTGTAGATGGGAATTAATTTTAAACAACCCCCAAAAATTTCTGAAATATCACTATAGGATCAAAGGACCAAACTGAAATTAAAATTAAGAGTAAGATTACAATAATACCCCTCATTTTTATTTTTTTAAAAATAAATATCGGAGGTCTGACCACCGGCGCTCAGGTAGCCGCTACTATAACTCCAGTGGCCAGAATTTTTTTCTTTTTTAAATAAGATGGTCAAGGGAAGGTTTAAACCCATGACCTTTTAGCACACTAAAAATGATTTAACCACCGAGCCAAGTAAACTATTTAATTATGTAATGCAAATAAAAATATATATAACAAAGCAAACACAAGTGTCTAAGTGTAAGTGAACAAATAAAATTTGACAATTTACAAGTAAAATCCAGCAATTTACAACAAAAATTTGGTAATTTACAAATAACATAATGAAATTCACAACCCCAAATGCAAGTGTTTAAATATAAGTGAACAAGTAAAATTCAGTAATTTATAACAAAAATTTGGCAATTTACAAATAACATAATGAAATGGATTGATTTTTTATATTTAGAACCAAATTAAATATAAACTAACTCTTATGCTAAGGATGGAAGGCAGGATATTTATTTTCATAACTCAGAGCATCTTGTGTGTATATGTGTATACATATACATGTGTGTGTTTACCGAAGTAGGGATTCATTTTGAGTGACAAAACTAAGATGGATGACAGCCAAAAGCATATCCTTTTTTCGTTGATTTTTTTCCCCCTCAAATATCCAAACTTGTCCGTTTATTGCTTATTCTCTTCGTCCATATAGAACTTTCGCTCCCAATAATATTTAAAACTTTGGCTGCTTCTCACTTTCATGTTCATGGACCCCATCCCTCTCAACTGAAGTGGGCCATTAATTTCCACTTTTTCACTTGGCCGAATTTAAATCTCTCCAAGAAAAAAAAATTAAAACATAAAAAATAAGGCCAAATCTACTAAATGATTGCATAGATTATCTAATTTTAAGGGATTTTATGCTTTATGAAATAAATATGTGAAAAAAATCCTATCTCATAAAGTATAAATAACTCATTTTATTTATTAAATTTCATACAACCTACAACACTCGCTGGCCAAAAAAAAAAAAAAAGCCAACGTACAACACTCGCATTTAACTAATTGAAATGGTTAAAAATACTTTTATTATTTTAATTTTGTATCAGTTTTTTTATTATTGTAAAAATAAAAAAACATCAAATACTAATTACATGTAGAGAATTTATTTTCTTACCTTCTACTTGCTCCATCCCTCGTTATAAGAAATATCTAATAAAATCATGTGGTTTAAAATATTAGTTAAATTTAGTTAAAAATAATAAATATGTAAGATATATACATATTTTTTTTAATTATACATAGTTTGCAAAGAATATGAATAAGAAATAATGAGTAAAATTTTATCATCAAAAAAATAATGAATAACATATTTAATGGGAGTAAAAATTAAAAAATGAATTTAAAATTTTATTTAAAAAAGATCCGTTTCCTATATTGAGTGATACTACTATAAAAAATATTATCTTTTTATTAAGAGTTAAGGTGCGCCCAGCACCCTGAACTATTTTTTCAGATACGTCCAGTATCTTAACTTAATTTTTAATGCACCTAGTATCCTAAACTAATTAAAATGGTCCACCGATATCCCAAGCTAACACAATCATTAATTTCTCCATTAACTCCGGACTTAGTTTAAAATTGACCCTTTTTCTCTCTCTTCATTCTCAAAGGTGACCCTTCCATGTTCCATGGCTGCCTTAGAAATTTTTAGCTTCATTCCCTCTGATCTCCAAAAACCCTAACAGCTTCACCTTCAACCGAATCTGCTCCGTCGCCGTCCGCTCCATTGTCGTCTGCTCTGTTGCTGTTGACGACTGTACCAGAGCACGCGTGTCCGGTGGTTCTGGTTGACTCACAAGAAAATGGGGTGCGTCTCGTGCACACACTAATGGCATGCGCGGAGGCGGTTCAGCAAAACAATTTGAAGCTAGTGGAAGCACTTGTGGAGCATGTGGGGAGGTTGGTGGCGTCTCAAGCCAAAGCAACGAGGAAGGTGGCTTGCTGCTTTGCTCAAGCTTTAGCTCATTGGATTTACAGAATTTCTCAACCGTTCATCGAGTCCTACCCTTACTTGAAATTTGCCCATTTCACGGCGAACCAAGCCATCCTTGAAGCGTTCCCCACCGTTGATAGAGTTCACGTCATCGATTTCGAGCTCAGGCAGGGGATGCAATGGCCGGCATTAATGCAAGCCCTTGCATTACTACCCAATGGTCCTCTGACTTTCCGCCTCACCGGAATCGGAACTCCATGAGATTTGACCCGAATAAGCTGTTGGGGGTTTTTGGAGATCAGAGGAAATGAAGCTGGAAAATTTCTAAGGCAGCCAGGGAACCTCAAACTCTCGAAGGGTCAACTTTGAGATAGAAAAGGGTCAATTTTGAGCTCAGTCAGGAGTTAACGGAGAAACAGAACGGATCTGTTAGCTTGAAATATCGGTACACTGTTTTACGAAAAGACTTGATGCACTAAAAATTAAAAAAATAATTTAAAATGCACCTTAACCTTTTTATTAAAAGGATGAGGTAAAAACTTGCAACTTTTTTTTTTTTTTGGGTGAATTAAAAACTTGCAACTTTGTTTACGATAATAGATAGACGACGCCTGGGAACGCGACGCTTGGCTAGCTGGGCCTATAAGACAGAACTCGGTCTCCCACACTTTGCCGCGTTGAATCGCATCTGCCATCTTCTCAAATCCGCTGTCTTCTTTCCTCTTCTGGTCTCTGCGTTTCTCTCTCACTCTGTAATGGCGGAATCTTCAGCCAAACCTGTGCCTCTTCTGAAGGATGAGCTCGACATCGTAATCCCGACGATCCGGAACCTCGATTTCTTGGAGATGTGGAGGCCGTTCTTCCAACCTTACCACTTGATCATAGTCCAAGATGGCGACCCTTCCAAGACCATCAAAGTCCCTGAGGGGTTCGATTACGAGCTCTACAACCGCAATGACATCAACCGGATCTTAGGTCCTAAGTCCTCTTGCATTTCCTTTAAGGACTCTGCCTGTCGGTGCTTCGGCTATATGGTCTCTAAGAAGAAGTACATCTACACCATCGATGATGATTGCTTTGTAAGCTCTCCATTTCTGGACTTTGTTTTGCTCCTTTGCTTCTGATTCGTGGTTGAGAATATTGAGCTAAATTCTATTATTCTCTTCTCATAAATGCTACTACTTTGTTCATTGCTTTTACTGAATTTAAGTGTTTATGTGTGGTAAATCGTGAGATTTCGTGCCTCGTTGAGTTTGTTTCCTGGTATAGTGTGAGGATTTGATTTGTTTGAGCTTGTGCTGTAACTATAATTGCGTGATTTGACTGAGTCTTTGCTTCTAGGCGATACTACCTCCATGTTTGGTCTATTAGCCTCACAGAGGTGGTGCCATTATGTGTTCTAATGTGATGCCTTCCTTTGTTCTTGAAACTTCTATATGCTTCTTTTTAGTGCTGGGCGAACTTTCAAGTGTTCGAGATCCTGCTGCCTGTGAAGTTGGTGCTAGTTAACACGATAATTTCCCCCGTGTGCAATTGGTTTGGTTGGTTAATTTTTGTTCGAGCTCATTTGTTTAGTCTTTTGCGCTGGCTAGTAAGGATCTTGAACAGACTGTTTCCTATCATTATGGGGCACTTTCAGATCTTTCTCCATCGTCTTCGTCTTCAAAGATTTATTGGAAACTTTCAGATTTCCACCCCTTTTTATTTTTTTTTAATCTTTTATGAATCGAGGCTAGACTGGCTAGTGATATTAAAGGTTTCATTGCGCATTTCCGTGCCCTCTTGTTTCTCTTTCTTTCTGTGTCGTGATTTTGACTTTACATTTAAGCTAAAGATTAGCATATATTATAACTTTAAAAGCAAGCTATTGCCTATGATGGTAAACATTTCTTTCTCCCAGGATTATTGTAAAAGAAAATTAAATGCTATGGTTTTTATGAAATATGAACATGATTTGCTAAATATGTTCTATGTTCATGAGCAGGTTGCTAAAGAGCCCTCTGGCAAGGATATCAATGCACTTGAGCAGCACATTAAGAATCTCCTCTCTCCTTCTACTCCAGTTTTCTTCAATACTCTTTATGATCCTTACAGAGAAGGTGCTGATTTTGTCCGTGGATATCCTTTTAGTCTACGTGAGGGTGTCCCCACTGCTGTTTCTCATGGTCTCTGGCTCAACATTCCCGATTATGATGCTCCAACACAGCTTGTCAAGCCTCTTGAGAGGAACACCAGGTTTGTGGGTCTTCCATTGAGGGAATGAGGCAATACATACTCCTCTTATGGGTGTTATCGATATTTATCGTCCTGTTTAGTTTACTATCTATATTTACTATCTATATTTTTTCAGGTATGTTGATGCTGTTTTGACCGTGCCAAAGGGAACATTGTTCCCCATGTGTGGTATGAATCTCGCATTCCACCGTGAGCTTATTGGACCTGCCATGTACTTTGGACTCATGGGTGATGGTCAACCTATTGGACGTTATGATGACATGTGGGCTGGTTGGTGCATGAAGGTATAAATAATCATTTGTCCCTTTTAGTGGCAACTTCTAGATTAAGCATTTTTACAAGAGCTTTATGAATTAATAATGATAATTTTCTTGCAACGATTATATTTTTCACGTGTTTTGATTCATTAACGTCTATTCCTTACAAGTTATTATTATTTTTCAATTCATTTCCTTACGCATTTCAATCATAACTGTGATCATTTTATATCATTTTGGGAAGATTACCCGAATATCTTGATAGCAACAAGTTTTTTGAAGACTAAACTTACATCGAGTCTTTTGTGTCACAAAAGTAAACTTATGATGAACCTTTTCGAAATATCAAATCAAGTAAAGCAGGCATGATAAATCTCCCTTTTTCCTTCAAATCTATTGGAAAACTCGTTAACAAATACCTGAAAATAGCATCTAATTAGTAATATTCCCCAGTTTTTTAAAATATAGAATAAACTTTTTCACGACATGACGAGCAGATGTTCTATGAACTTGCAGGTTATCTGTGACCATTTGGGGCTTGGAGTCAAAACTGGTCTGCCCTACATATGGCACAGCAAAGCAAGCAACCCGTTCGTTAATCTCAAGAAGGAATACAAAGGTATTTTCTGGCAAGAAGAGATCATTCCATTCTTCCAAGCTGTCACCCTACCAAAAGAATGCACCTCTGTTCAAAAGTGCTACATTGAAATCTCCAAACAGGTCAAAGAAAAACTAGGAAAAGTGGATGATTATTTCGTCAAACTAGCTGACGCTATGGTCACTTGGATTGAAGCTTGGGATGAGCTTAACGGTCCATCGGAAGCAAATTCTTCAAAGCAAGCTAATGGCGCTGCCAAGTGAACCTCTAATTGTTGTGGTCCGTAGCGTCCAAAGTTTGTAGCCTATTGTCATTTAGATTTTTCATCATGGTAAATCATATCTATTATTGTTATTTATTTTTACGATTACTATTGTTATTTTTACTCATGACACTGTATTTGTCACTGTATTTGTTATTGTTTACCTCTTAAATTCAGTTGAAATCATGATTTTGGTTGAGCGCATTGTTTTTCTTTCCTTTGCATTTCTTTTTTAAAGAAATTTATTGTCACCCGGTTCAAGAGGCTTCCTTTGATATCCTCGACATTAATATACATTTGTCTATATACGTATCAAATCTGTAGAATGGTGAATCATTAATGATTAATCATCTTAGACTTTTTATGTGGCTTCTTATAATGTGAAATATGTTCCCTTCCTTTGACCTTTTGTTCAAGTCTTGAAAAGATTTTCAGCCTGTCAATTTAGTCTTCGCTAGTCTACTCTCGTCGACCAATTTCTCTAGCTATAGAAGGGACTCAAACAACACCCTTCACACTCACCCACCCCTATATGATAATACTGGGGATATAACTAATGACCTCCTCTGTAAAAGGTGTCATCTGGTGCCACTTGAACTTTGATCTCTTGGCTAGCTTGATTTCTCTATACATTCCACTTTCGACAACAATTCTGGGCAAACAGAGTATGGAATCTCAAACCATCCATTTGGTATTCGCCATGCGTGAATTGCGTTACTTCTCCCACTCCCATGAGTTTTAGGATCAAAATCAAGGTTAAATACAGCACAATCATTACCAACAAGGATTGACTCTAACGGAAGGGGTTAGCTCTTTACAATATGATAAATTAAGATTCAATTTTATGTCCAGAGAGATATCCATATTTAGTGTTTTATAGTACCTTAAATAAAATTACTTCCAAAAAAGAGAACACTTGCACTTAGCTTAAAAAAACAACATAACCGTTTGTACAATTGTTAAGTGATCTAGTTTTTTTTTTTTTTTTTTACATCACGTTATTCAAATATGTATACACATATCATTTGCATTGGTATGTTATTGACACTCTAGACAAAAGCATAGTTGTAGATGAGTTGTTATTTACATTAGATTTTTCCCCTATTTACCTTGTCAAGTATGAAATTGTAGTTAGTGGAGACTGGAAAAAACCTTGTTATTTGCCATGAAGCCTACAGATGTGTAAAATTGTTCACTTTTTTTTTTTGTTTGCCAACATAAAATTGCTCAATTGTTAATTATATGTATAATCATTTCATAATTTCGGTTGGGAGTTATAGTTTACTTTGAGTGGTGTACTTCATTGGGTTGTATCAGTTTTTCAAATTATAACTTATGTTATTAAATTCCACGCTAGTGGAATTATAAAGCCAAAGTTTAAAATGCACTAATCTCAATGTGATTACATTTTATAAAAATATTTTTGCACTTTGACTTGCCATTAAAAGAAAACGAGTCACTAATCTGTTAACCTACAGTGCCATCAAGGCCAAAAAAAAAAAACAATGCCTAACGATCACGTGACAGGTAAAAAAAAAAACCTTTTTTGGCAGTGATTAAAAATCCACTTTGAAAAGACTTGTTCTCTCTCTGGGAATACAGCATAAACATTTTATATGAAGTAAAATATCATGTTCTAGGCATCTTTACCGTTTCTTCGAGACACTGAACACCCCCTTCTCTCTTCCTTTCCAAAACTGAGAACTAGGAGCATCGATTACACAGTAAGCATAAACACATTGACCCAATTAAATAAATCTGTACAATCAAAATTGAAAAGTAATTACTCAAGTGTAAGATAAAATTGCAGAATTTTGTAGCAACTAAAGATATGAACATTGCTGGCCAAAGGACAAACAAGATATGAACATTATGTACAGTTCAGGAAGGTATTCTTGATAGCTAGAAATGGTGTTCATGAGTATAAAGGCTATAAGTTCTGCAAGAGCTTGTCGGCTAGACGAATGAGGATAGCTAGGTGGCATTGTCATTTTCTATTTGTTATTCTGCATCAAGCTCATTATGAGGCACATAAACCAACAACTGACCATTACCAGCCACCCCCAATGCACCTCCCCTTGATTCATCTGTAGCAATACAGGTAGCAGTGCCTTCTGATAACCCACAGAAATTTATTTTGCATCAATACTTGAGATATAAAATCAGGGAGCAGGTCTAAACATCTTGCTCATATCATGGAATGGAAATTACATGATATATTAAACTACATCACTAAGGTATCCAGTATTGAGACTAATGACTGAGAAATGACCTATGACAAACTTGCCAGTCGAAAATGCACAGAATGCCAGTAAAAGGAGCGTCGGGTTAGTAAAGTAAAGGTGGGAATATCTATGGATGATATAAAAATATACAAATACAATACATTGTGCAGCAGTTTTTTTCTACCATTATAGATATTAAATATTGATTGATTTTCCAATTCAATGTAGATTTACAGTAGCACTCTAGTTGATGCATTCATATTTTTCCACCTATAATCTCCTTCTGAATAAAAAGGAGGTATGCGAATCAACTTATTGACTATGGATCTCACCCTTCCGCTGGGACCTAAGATAATAGTTTAGTTCACCCTAAATGAACAGATAGAGTATCTCTGTAAAGTAATCCGAATAATAAGATTTTATGGCTAGGTGTGGATTGATTCTAGCACATTAGACTAACCATCTCATTAAGTGGCAGTAAGAGACAGGAAAATAGTCCATCTCCAGCAGCACAAAACATCAAAAATCATTTCGTCAAGGCCACCTATGAGCGCTCAGGTGAACCTAGATTTTTAAGGTTTTGATATGGATATATGGACTTTTTTCCTCACAGGCAAATGTTACTTGCAATCGTGCCTAAAAATTGGCTATGATTCCTGGGAAGCCGATTAAGGAAATATGAGTTCTGCCGCTCAGTTTGAAGGAACATTTGAACCACAACTGCCATGGACAACTCTAGGGCGGCAGAATTTGCCAGTTTATCAGTCAAAGAGGTAATCAGGTAATAGCAGCATCAGTTTCTAGGAAAGAGTTTTTTCAGTAAGTTATTAGTTAGGCATGAAAACCTAGCTTAATGTCGTATATCATCGAGCATAGAACAATCATAGGACAACCCGTGGCTATATCATACACATGAAAGAGAGATTCCGACCAAATTTTTCTTAGAAAGTGATATAATTGCAATATACCTCGGAAAGGCTGAAGAGTGCTGAGTTTTGATCCTCCATACAATTCCCAAATATACACCAATCCATCAGGTGAGCTGATGATTCCATAACTACCCAAACACCATAGCAGTAGTTCTGCAAATCAAAACTCATGGGTTCGTCAATTGTCAAAATTGTCAGAATGTAAGTGGGCAGATATTCAATAAGTTTGATAAGATATCCACAGCTAGTGTTCACATGCAATATCATGTGTATTTATAACAATAAACAAGTTTAAGAGGCGGGATGACATAATCTGGCTTAAAATCCAGTGGGAACAGTTGCTAACTACCCTACGCATTTCCTAAATTATAAATGAAAATAGGGGGGAAACACAACTTGTTGAAATATAATTTATGATCCCATTGATACAAAATAGCCTCATTCTCTCCAGGGAACAGTGACAAATAGTAAATATATTAGTCAATGTAATAAGCAGCATGTGATAAACTACCAATAAAAATTCGAAGAAACAAATTTTCTTGAAAATCCAGTTATCGATTTCACAAATATGTGATTTTGGTACCTCATATTGAAGGAACTTCCTAAAATCATGTCATTATTCACCAGAAGAGCGAGCCTCCAACTTCTAGCTGTGTTTATCTGGTAATGACTTGACATAAAATTATGCGGAGATTCATTATCAGATGGGGTTGAGACCAGAAGCCACATGGCAATATCACCTTCCTCTGATGGAAGGAACGAACAGGGTTCTTTCTGATCCATAAACCACAGACGGGTTGCTCCTAAAAGTTCATCAGCTTGCTCCCTTACACACAGGCTATTCCTTTGACAATTAAACACGCTGACTGGTAAAAAGTGAATAAACGGACTTGTTGAAGCACAGAAGCTTGAAACACAATTACGCTTTGAAATATCCCTGGAGAAAGAGTCCAAACGATAGGGATAAGATTATATACAGAGGAGCGAAACAAAAGAGAAAGAAAGAAAGAAAAACATCTATTCCTTTTTCCCACTTTTCCAACCTACCCACTTCCCTTCCAATTTTCCATGTCTTAGATGAGGGGACTTTGACGACAAGGAATAAAGAAGGATGACACAAGGTCATGCAAGGGCAGCATTACCACGTTGCTTAACTTTCAAAAAGATCAAGGTCATGGAGAAAACAAGGGTCTATTCAAGCTTTTGCAAAGAAAAGGGGGTGAGGGGCCATATAAGAACACATTTACTTAGTCCAGTGTAACAACTTGAGCATTGTAAACAATCTCTAGTTACAAGGTCTACAGGTTGTTCTTGTACAAGACATACAGAGACTATAAAGACCCAATAAAGGCATTTTTTAATGACCTAAATGTTACAGATTTCATTCAGAGTTACAGATATTACAAAACCGAAGACCAAAACAAGAAAAGCAAGTGATGTAACTGTAGTAATAAAATCAAAGATGTCCAAAAAATGTTACACAAAAAAGTGGCGGTTAGAGACAATCGTAATTAGTTAGTCCAATTTGGTCCAAAAATTCTAGTTTCATGAAAAAGACCTTCTGGGTAATTGAAGATAGCATACCATAAACTAAATTCGCCAACATTATTTAAGGCAACTATCAAATGAGTACACTTTGGAATCCTCTTCAATTCCACTATGCCGGGGGAGATTGAGTCATCAGCTGGTATGATGAAATCCTCAACTATATCTCTGCAGAGGGAAATAAGCTAAGTTATATTTACCAAACCAGAGAATCTAATATCGATGGCAACCAAACCAACAATGATTATAAGCATAGAGGACAGTGAAATGGTTTATTAGGAAAATATATATGATTTGAAAGAACCCGCCTTTTGAAAAATATATATGTTTAACGATGTCCATACCGAAGATCAGAGACTCGACATGTTTTAATGGTCATACTGTAATTTACAATTATTTTGGACTGCAATCTCCTCACTCCTCATTGTAGATTGTACAACCAAAGAACTTCCTGGTATTATAAAACAAAAACACTACTTGAATTTTTATATCCAAATACAAATTAGACTACATTTATGATATTAGGTCTTATTTTATAAGTCCATACACGATCTATTGTTTAAGTTATTTATCCAAACGAGGCCGACAAACAAATTAACTTCAATCAAGTTAGTGTGCAACTTCTAAACTCAGGACAAAAAGGTGTATATCACAGCTTCTCCATCTATGATCAGACCTGCCTTACCTGCAGTTTGAAGTCTGTCTCTTTGCCCTCGTAGGTTTTTCCCATTAGAGCATAACCTTCCATAGAATTAATTTGTTCTTAACCTTTCGTCTATTTCACAAAAGAGAGTGATATTAAAGCACCAGAGTCCAGGCTATGTTGGAGCTCTTGTGCGCGTGAAGATTGGGCTGTGATTGATGAACCCTTAATTTAATTTGTATTTAGTTTTTATGTTTTAGTTTCTCTTCTCTCTAGTAATTTGTATTTAGTTTTTATGTTTTAGTTTCTCTTCTCTCCAGGCCGGTCAAGCTCTGACCGGCACGGAGGTTGTTAAGTTAATTAGACCAAATTGGAGATTTATTGTGTTGAAGTTCAACCAAAGAAAAAATAACTCAAGCAGGTTATGGGCACTAAACAATCCTCGCGGAAGCATAGGAAACTTTTTCAACACAAGATGACAAAGTGTTTAATTTGTATTTAGTTTTTATGTTTTAGTTTCTCTTCTCTCTAGTAATTTGTATTTAGTTTTTATGTTTTAGTTGCTCTTCCTCCAGGCCGGTCAAGCTCTGACCGGCACGGAGGTTGTTAAGTTAATTAGACCAAATTGGAGATTTATTGTGTTGAAGTTCAACCAAAGAAAAAATAACTCAAGCAGGTTATGGGCACTAAACAATCCTCGCGGAAGCATAGGAAACTTTTTCAACACAAGATGACAAAGTGAAAACAAGCTAGGGAGATCTGTTAACACCCAACCCCACACCCCCCACCCAGTAAAGGAAAAATGGAAAACAGCAAATCAACACCTGACACAGGTATTCTAACCTTCTCAGATGACTTGTTATGAGAAATACAAAGACCTCCAACCTCATTAATCATCACAAAAGTAGAAAAAATTTTCTTTCCCTGGAATAATGAGAATAAGATATGCTATTAAACACGGGTATGAACGATATATGTTTTAAATAAAACAGAGAAACAGTCAACCTGCAATTGGGAGTTTTTATGCTGCCAAGTAAGACAATATACTGCCCATCAGGAGTTAACTGCACGCCAGATCTTTCGACCAGAGTCTGACATAATATGACAGTAGAGTTTGAGAGTATATTCTCGCGATTATCGATTATCGATAGCAAAAAGATCAATATAAATATGTCAGAATGCAATGAAATTAAAAGAGACCAACTTACTTCTCTAATGAAGTTATGTTTTGGATCAGGAAGCCGTAATGACGAGTGGGCAATGAAAGATGGGCACCCAACATTTGGTTCCTTAATAAACACCTTGTAGGTGAACAAAGTCCTCTCCTGATCCACCACAGGGCCACAAATGACACAAATGAGAATTTCATTCTCTCGTCTGCTTAAAAAAAGCGATGACACGGGCATGGGGAGGAAGTAGCATCCCACAACTGACGGTTTTACCCAGATTATCACCGATATCATCGTTTCTGTGAGAATTTAGTTCTGAAATAACTTGTGCTTCCTTGGAAGAACAGTTATTCTCACCAGAACTTGGTTTCGGATCCCAGCAAGAAACTGAGTTATTCAACTCAGCAAGGTTGCTGTAGCCAACCGGCAAATCACTACGAATTGGTAGTGTTTCTACATGTGAAACAGAAAGATCATCAGGGCACAAAATATTATCTTTAGAGACACGTAAACATGGTCCGCTGTCTGGCTCAATCGGGATCTGTTTAACTTGAGAATTTGTAACAGAATTATCTCTTTGCAAATCATCGGACTGCACTTCATCCCTTGCTTGATTAGCCAACAAAACCGGTTCACACAGTTCATTACCAGAAGCGTGCAACTGAACGATTTCTGAGGGAGGCGAAGTGCCCTTGGCAGTATTTATTTTAGAAGTCACAAGTTCTCCATCTTCGTCAGTTTTGGCATTTTCTAGGAACAGACAACGTCCCGTGAGAGGATCAACAGTTCTGGACTTTCTTCTGGTATATGCTATAATTGGTGCTTGAATAGAAGGCAAGGCCATTGCACTTGTTTTACCCGCAACTCCATCCCCTGCATTTCTTTCAGGCGCATTGCTGATATCTGCATTTTTATGAAAATAAGAACAATTTGGATAATAAGTGGATTAGAACAATTAAAATACAGTGAAGTATGAAATGCCACAGATGCAAGTGCTATTGTAAGTTTTCTACAAGCATAGAAATTTAGTCTAAATTAAAACACCCAGAAATTGGCATATCATCTCTATTAACATCAGACAATACCATTTTATCAGATCCATTCAAACCGTTCTGACCATATCTATCTATATATAATATAAAACTCCTATAAACCGCATTATTCATAAGCCATAAATAATATGACTCATTTACTAGACTCTGTGCAACGCATGAGACCCACAATAGTTTATCAACATTTTAGGGGGACAATGAAAGGTATTATAAACATTTTTACCTCCAGTAAAATCATGTGCAGCCTTATGGTCCTTCTCCCACAGAACTCAATTCAATTTGGTTTAAATTTTCTTCCATATCTGTGCATGTATCATTGTTGCATCTAAAAATGACTCTATCCTGAGGAGGCGTGTGTTCCAGAACAGAGTCAGGAATACAGAGATCAAAATCATTTGCAGCCTTGTGTTCCTTCTCCATAGAAGTCAATTCATCTTGGTTTGAATTTTGTTCCACATCTGTACAAGCAGCGATGTTGCTTTTAGAAAGAACTCTGTCTTCTAGAACAGAATCAGGAATGCAGATATCAAAATCATTTGCAGCCTTATGGTCCTTTTCCATAGAAGTCAATTCATCTTGGTTTGAAATTTGTTCCATATCTGTACAAGCAGCAATGTTGCTTTCAGAAAGAACTCTGTCCAAAGAAGGGTGTGCTCTAGAACAGATCAGGAATACAGATCTCCATAGAAGTCAATTCATCTTGGTTTGAATTTGGTTCCACATCTGTACAAGCAGCGATGTTGCTTTTAGAAAGAACTCTGTCTTCTAGAACAGAATCAGGAATGCAGATATCAAAATCATTTGCAGCCTTATGGTCCTTTTCCATAGAAGTCAATTCATCTTGGTTTGACATTTGTTCCATATCTGTACAAGCAGCAATGTTGCTTTCAGAAAGAACTCTGTCCAAAGAAGGGGTGTGCTCTAGAACAGAATCAGGAATACAGATGTCCAAATCATGTGCGGCTTTATGGCCCTTTTCCATAGAATTCAGTTCAACTTGGTTTGAATTTTCTTCCATGTTAGTGCAAACATCTTTGTTGCATTTAGAAATAACCCTATCCAGAGGAGGTTTGTGTTCTAAGACGGAATCAGGAATGCAGATATCAAGATCAATTGCAGCCTTCTGGCCATTTTCAATAGAATTCAATCCAACTGGCTTTGAATTTTTTTCCATATTTGTGCAAGCATCATTGCTGCTCTTAGAAACAACTCTGTCTTGAGGTGGGTGTTCTAGAACAGAATCAGGAATGAATATTTCAAAATTATGCGCAGCCTTATGGTTCTTTTCCATAGAATTCAATCCAACTTGATTTGAATTTTCTTCCATATTTGCGCAAGCATCATTGTTGCTTTCAGAAATAATGATATCCGAAGGAGGCGTGTATTCAAGAACAGAATCTGGAATGCAGATGTCAAAATGCTGAGGCAAGCCTTCAGAGTCCAACTCTGAAGAATGGTGGAATTTATTTTCAGTTGGCTTGATATCAGCATGGCAGTCTGAAGATTCATTTGGCAAAACACCACTGGCATGCTGTTCATGACTTGTTGGAGAACATGTTTCTTCATCAAAACTAGCTCTGCTAGCTTCAGCAATATCAGAATACAATATTGCTTGGTCGGATTTATGATCCTCACACTGGCTGGGCTCAAAACTGTCAGCAATAACTAAACTGACGCCTGTAGTTTTAGTATGCAACTTATCCTCTCTTTCCACATAGGCATTCTCACTCACCACTACATCCAAAATTACGTATTAATGTCAATTCCGTAAACAAAGACATCCCACAATAAAGGAAAAAATATTATAAGAATAAAAGGGTAACATGCCAAACATAATTCCTGGCAGCAATATACATTAATCAATGTAACTGATTTACAACATATAATTAAATCAATTTGGATCATAAATTATTATTACCAGTAGATGCTGCTTCCAAGACGTTTCCAATTTTATTGTCTTCTTGGCTGGACTTCATAGTAGAAGGTAGTTTCTCTGAAGGGTTAATTGTTAAATTTTCAGTTGTTGAATCCTTCAGAAAAGGAATTACTTGAGGAAGCAGAACTCTCATCATTGACTTTGCCACATCATTGACTTCTATGCTCAATGCTTCTCCAGAGGCAATTTGATAGGCTCTCTCATTGTAAGCATTCTTATCCAGGGCACTTGGAGTAGAATTAGAAGTATTTTCTGTATTACACTAAAGTAAGAGATGTAGAATTGACCAGGAAAATAAAAACGCAAAAGGAAGATTCAATAGAGCATCTAAATAGCGACAGAGAAATCAACAAGAAAATCTGAAGTGTTACAAGATAGAGCAATCCCATGTACAGTCAAGATTTAGAGAATTTTTCACATTTATGAGAGGTATTTGTGATCATAGCTTGAAAGAAGCCTCAGTAATTGTTTTATACTTGGCGTTGTCACAAAAAATTCAATTTTTTAAGGATCCAATGATATATTTTTTATCCAAAAAAAAGTGTCCACATAACACTATTGAAGACCATGACAATCACCCAGAAAACAAGCATTTCCTACAAAAATAGGTCTTCCATCTCATTGTAGGAATTCCGCGCATTGAGTGAATGAGAAAGAGAATACAGATATTGATACGCTAAAATAAACTATGAACACGTGAAGTAAGTACCTTGGGCATAATCTATGGCATCTGGAGCACACAGATCAATGTCACAACAATCTTCTGACTCTTTCTTGTTTTCTCTTGCGGCCAAAAACTTAGATGTATTTGGCTCATCTCCATGTGACCTATGAAACTGTAAGAAGTTAAGAGGCAACATTTAAACAGTAATATCTCAAGAGGCAAAAAAAGAAACTCAGTCCTAAGTTTGTTCCTAAATTAAGGAATTTTAGGAAGCAGCAGGTTGCCGATAAATAATGGCTCATTAATCATTTACTACATTTCCAGCAAAAGATAAATGATTATGTAGTGCGCTTACATGTTCATCCTTGGAAAAGCTATCAGTGATTTCCACAGCTTTGCTGTTTTTAGAGTCAACAAACCCACTTGTTTCTGCATCCACGATTCTCCTCTCCTGATCATCAGAAATAATCTGATTTGATGAAAAACCATTTTTTAGTGAAAAGCAATTTGGGCTTTCCCCAACAGAAGATGTTATGTGCATTGATGCTGAAACACCAGTATTTCGGGCTTCATTCTCTTCTGAAACTTTGCGTTTTATTGAAGCTATGCTACTACAAATAAATTCCTGAGGCCGAGGTCTTTTAAGGATACTTCCCCCACGTAACTTATTATTTTTACTTTCGCATCTCCTACTTCTCTTCCCTTTAGCCTGCGGTCTTCCCAGACAAGGTAGCAAGTCAGGATGTGTGCCAACATTTTGGCGGAAATCATCATGCTCTAGTCTAGAGGTCTCATTGCACAAGTTCAAGCTCTGTTCAGCTATTCCATTTAAATCCGCCACCAGTTCCCGGAGAAACCTTTGTACAAATGAATTTTTGAACCCGAAAAGCTGCATGAGATGACAATAAAAGTTCAGCATTATAAACAACTGCTGTAGTTCTTTACCCACGTAGTCACTGAAGATGGCCAGAGAAGTTTGAGATAGTTTTAGGGAGGCCTATAATACTGGTACCTTGCTAATGATGAAAAGTTTATCCAATAAAAGAAGGTATAATATTAATGCACCAAGACTAGATGCAAAGACCATTGTTTAATTCTGCGTTGAATCTCCTCTACTTATAAACGTCTCTAGTCTATTGAATACCTAAAACAAGACACTGGATCAGCTAAACTCTGTACAGATATGACAAAGCTTCTGGTTTACGAGCCATTGTTTCAGTCTGACAATTACATAGGAAATTTGATAAAAGTGAGTTCGCAGCCATGCTAAAGAATTCAAACACCTAGATTCTGAGGAAGAGAGTGTCATTCAAGTAAAGAAAGCACTCCTGCAATCTGCTTCAATGTGCATTTCATTTCCAAGACATTACAAAGGAACTGAGAATGGTCACATCAGAAGCTTGTGATCAGTCAGACCCAATTAGATATTACAAGTATTCATCTCCACTAATTTTCTACATGAAAGTGAAAATCAGTGGCAGCTATAAGTTCAATTAGGCATCAGACAACATCCATAACACAGGAAAGCTCACGGTGATGTAAGCTTGTTTCATTAGAATCAAATTCAAAACGTAATCTCCCCTGATGATTGTGCCGCATCAAATTGTCAAAAACTCAGATAATTCTTCATGCTCACAATGAAGTCCAAAGAATGGTGGATGGCTCACAATGGAGAAATGATGCAATAAGCACGTCTAGATGATAAAGCTTATTAATATGGAAGGAAATATATAAATTCAACAAGTCTTCAGATGAAATTTCATCATGCCAGCACAACTGTTAAAATTAAGATTGCCTTTCATTTTAGATTTTTTTTTTTTTTAATAAGAACTCATTTTACATGCTCACATGAGCATAAAAGGTTAGAAAACAAACACTAGGAAAAACGCTTAAATGGACTCAAAAAAGGTAACTGTTTTTGGCAGAGCCAAATACTACCTCCAAGCCATCCATCTTGGACGAAAGTCTCTTCCCATGCCAAATCTTCATCCGGGGGCAACCTCTTTTCTGAAACTCCTCCCAGGCAATGTCCGGAGTTTTTCCAGAGCAGGAATACCCGTCAGCAGATGTAATCTGCATATTCAGGGATTAACTGATTGTATAACGCTACTTAAAAAGCAAGTTGAGATTTTAAGTGCACGTTTGGAAAAGCGCTGGAACCAGCCACATTCACAGTTTGACAAAAACAAGTGTATTGCTTCTGTCAAAACATGGTGGGTTTGTTCCAGTTTCTATTCAAGCATAGCCTAAGTAAAAGGAATCAAAGCATATATTAAAGGGGGGAAATAACTTTGCTACAAACCACGAATCTAGGCCCACTAACACCTTCATGAATTTCCATCTTATATGTGGTCCCATTATAGGCTCTAATTGCTTGGAAGCCAACTGGATATGGATAGCGATCTTTTCCCTACAAAGTACCAATGTCAAGTAAATCTACAAGCCAAACAATTACATAGTAAATAAAACACAGTAAACTAGTGAAACTACGAGAGATGGATATTAAGCCATATTTCCCGCGTCAACATTACAAAATATGGGTCTTGTTTCTCAATCATAACTTGTACTCAATCATTCAATTCTCAATACATCACGTAACCATATGTCCACAACCGCTATTCTTGTAATCAACGTTATCGCCTTGAACCCTATTCCTTAAAGTAGACAATGTCACACGATGGTTTAGCTCACTGTTTCAAATAGTTACAAACACTGCATTCCTTTTACCACTCTGCTCACATAATTTGTTCCCTTATGAACCACTCGTTCCATGAAGCATTGTTTTCAAGCATGCTAGGAATCAAACGAGGAAAAACAAAACAAAAAGGGGGGGATGCTAGGAAATGGCACCCGCAACCGCAAGCTCTCTAATATACCCCTGAAAAGTTTACCGCTATAGACCATGCAATTCTTCATGCATGCTGCTACGATTGGAATACCTTGCTACTTTCATGAAAGTCGTTGTGTCGCATGTCAATTCGTTTTTTATCATTTCAATTACATTATTTAATTGGAAGATAGCAGACGCCATTAGCTAATGAGAAAGTAAAAAGAAAGGATTATTAATATGGTCAGTAACTCCCCTAAGATAACATTAACTACAGTTAATGAGTCTTAAGCAGGAAGCCCAAAACTTTGGCTGCAGAATTTTTTTTTTTTTTGGACTCATGGCTGCAGAATATTAAGTCTGTCTAAAATTCTAGCTCCCAACTTAAGCAGAAATGGCTTAAATAATACTAAGATCTTCAACTAACATCAGACATTTAGCATGACACATGGTTAGTAAAGGCTGGTTCTTCTGATCAGACTGAACTAACCTAGCCTGGAGTCATACTTTCCAAGGATTTTGTGCGGATGATTTGTGAAATTCGAAGGTCGCATATTGACCGAAGTCAAGAACAAACAGAGTACAAGGTTAAGTAATAACCAAAGAGGGGCCAAAAAAAACCGGAACTGAGAACGAACCCTAGAGCTGCTCCAGTATTTCTTGTCCCAGCGACCTTTGTAGAGAGAACCGATGGAAATGATCTCGAGTCCATTCGATTTCTCTTCGAGTTCTTGTTTCTCAGCGGATGTTGTTTTCGCCATTGACAGGAGAAATCGAGAGAACAGGGAAACGAGAGAAAAATCTTTATTTGGCGGGAACAAAATCGATTATTAATGAAGATGATAGCTTTCGGTGATTTTAACTTTGAAGACGATTCGTTCCCTCCATCTCTAAGATTTACTTCCCGCCACTTTACCGCCACCAAACTAACGTTACGTGGAAGTTGAAAATAAAAACCGTCTCGCCGTTGCCGGGGATCGAACCCGGGTCACCCGCGTGACAGGCGGGAATACTCACCACTATACTACAACGACTTGGATGGTGACCGGCTGCCAAGTAATTATAATATCGTGTTAATGAATCATGTTTTCACGTGAAAGTTATCGAACATCGCTAATTTCTCGTTTCTTTACTACTCACGAGACATGACAACAATTCTTTTATGAAATAAAAGAGATTATCAACTTTATTAAATCCTTTATTAAGCTAGACATTTTTTAATGAAATATTGCAATCCCATCATGGCTGTTGAAAATCTAATCGGCGACTAGTAAGGGTTTCCAATTAGATTATTTTGTCTTTTAAGAGCATCATATATGTGTTGGAAAATGTATTTTAATATACCAACGAAAAAGATCAAGGATAAAATTGTAATAAAAAAAACTATAGGTAATATTACAACACTAAAAAATCTGAAATAAAATTACACATGAAAAATAAGATTATGAGTAGAATTATACATTTATCCTACCAAATTTAAATTCTTGTTAAAAGAGATGCATACATATAACATATATTTATAAGTAGAACCATTCAATAGTTATATCTATGGCTACACATGGGTAAAGCTGGGCAGGGCATGACTTGCCTGATATCCAACCTAAATGATCAACGGGCTACATTTTGGAGCTTGTTGCCTAACTATGACCAACAAAAGCAGGAGTTATTTAGGACAGGGTTAGGCAGGGTAGGCTTCCCTGCTCACGCTAAGCAATCATGCACTAATGTGTTACTCATATTATGTGAAGATTTCCACCAAACCCAATAAAATAATATTTTGATTTTTAAATGTATTTTACAATTTCACAATTTAGAATATTTCAAAAGAAGAAATATAAACAATACACTACAAATTCATATACCTATTTATCATTTCATATCTCCTTATAATTATATAATCAAACACAATATGATAGGTTTTCAAACAACATTCATAATCAAATATATCAACAATTTAAATCTTGAAATATATAATTCTACCACATATGAATATTGCATGTATGTGTATATATATTAAATATAATTATATATAATGAATACATGTATGCTATATATATTGAATATAATTATATATATATAAACTTTGGACAGGGTAGTATGTCTTGCCCAATGCCTAACCCTACCCGATGTTTGGCCCCACCCTAAAATGTTTATTTATCGTTTGAGATACTTTTTTAGGGTTGGGTTGGGCATAATTTCATCGAGCTCGGGTGGGCATTACGGACTTTTGATACTAATGAACACCCCTAGTTATGTTGTAGGTGGGGTCCATTATAAAAACAGAAGATAGAATCAATTACGCGAGAAGGTCTAGTCCCTTAATAAGTTTGACATAAAGAGATTAGCCAAAAGAAATTTGAAACTCCCATTCTCCAATTAATTTTATAAAATAAGAGACAATGAAAAGAAAAGCGTGATTTTGGTACTCAAGGGCAGATCTTTCATAGCCCCATTTAAACGTTCTTGTATCTCAAAATGTAGAGTGACATTTTTCTAAACAAAAGGCCGCGTAAAATGTGCATTAATTAATTCAGTGGTAATTTAAGACTGAAATTTTCAAAAAGAATGACTCCATACTCTATAAAGAAGAATAGCTTAATGTTGCGTATCGGTGCAATAATTAACTTCTCTTGACATGAGTCCAAATGTAACAACTCAATCTTGCATCATAATGTTGCGTATTTCCCTGATCTAACTTCTGAGAGGATAATTCTGTATTAGATTGTTGTTATATATAATGAGATGCAAAACTTCTTCGTCAGAGTCGATGAAGACGGTAATTTAACTCTGTGGTAACCATGATTACAACCTAAGCAAAATCCTTCATAATAAATTCCCATAATATTCATAACGATGGGAGTGTATCCTAGGTTTTTTATGAAAACAAAGGTCCCGTTTGTTAGAAAGCATTGAAAATTAAGGGTAGAGATTGGGATTGAGATTGAAAAAATCTATTAAAAGAGTATTTAGCATAAAAAATTGCTTGATATATGAGATTAGCAAAACTCATGTATGTAATATTAAGGAATACCATGGGAAAAGTGGTATTCCCTAATCCTATCTTTATAAATTTACTTAATCTCATATAACAAGTAATTACTCATGTTAAATACTATTGTAATGATTTTTCTCAATTGTAATCTTAATCCATATCCTTTATTTTCGATGCTTCATATTAAACGGGACCTAAATTTCCAAATTCCCTTACTATCGTGGAGTAGCTGCAGCAAAGTAACTTCACTATTCTAAAATATAAAGTCGTTGGTGTCCATTAGAGCACTTATAGAAAGGAGGATAGAAGAGGGGTGGTAGAGGAGAGGATCCATTAGAGCACTCACTCATAGAAAGACTTGTAATTACATAATAATATGATTTTAATATGCACAATCTCCTAAACTTTAGACTATGTATATAGATAATGTCTACGAATTCTAGAAATTTACAATAAAGTCCCTAAACTCTTACATTTATTCAGATTACTCCCATACGATTAATTTTGTACGTCATTTACCCGCACACAGTTTAAAGCTTAAAAGCATAATCTACATATCCATTAAAATTTAATGAAATATATGCGCGCACACAAAAATTAATGAGATATATAACTGTTAGTTATAGATTATATCTCCACATATGTGATTGATAGTTGGAGATTATCCGCATAAACTTATTAAAAGCTCACAGGGGATCTATTATTAAATTTTAAGGTTAATATAATTTTTGGTCTCTCAAATTTACTTTTATTTTGGTTTTAGTCATTTAAGTTTTAAATTATAAGTTTTGATCTCTCAAGTTTCTTTTCGTCTAAAATATTAATTCCTATAATTTAATAAAAATTTCGACTGTCTTACCTTTTGAGGGATCAAAACTAAAATAAAGCCAAATTTGAGGGACAAAAAATTGTATTAATCCTAAATTTTGAAAGTTAAAAAGATTATTTGAACACTATGTAAAGTTTAAAAGGGTTTTGTATAATTTAATTTTTAAAATATCAATGATAGGATTATTCCTAATGAAAGCCAACTCACATGGTGAAGTGTTGAATATAAACGAGATAGAAAAATGAGGGGTAGCTAGTTTCCAAGAATGGATAAGAAGGGGTAGTGGAAAGGAAGGAAATGATTGTGTCCAAATAAGTTAAAGAACAGAACTACATATGTTTGCTTCACTGAATGGTATGGTTGAAGCTGCTTCAGGGAATCTCTTTGCATCTCCTCACTGACTGACTATTCAATATTCATCTCTCTGCATCATCGCAGCATAAAGCTGCTTAACCACCAACTACCTTTCATCAATATTTCTTTCATTTCTATCATTATATAAATATATACAATAATTAAAACAAAAACATAGGGCATAACTAATACTCCCCGTATCCTTCATGGTGTTGGTCCTATATACAAGATCTATTTTACATGTTTATCAATTTTTCAAATTAATCCTACTGATATTATTCAATAATAATCACGTAAAAAAAAGGAGGAAAGGAGTTAAGAAAGATGCTTAAGGTGTTTCTAAAAAAAAAAACATATCATATTAATTAATTTAGCTAATATTTGTAATCTCCTCAAATTAATTAATTAAGTCATATTAAGAACCGGTGGAGTATTATATTTGAATGAGACATTTAAACCATATCGAAGAGTTTTCTTCTAACTAGGCAAGGGGAAAAAACAAGATTTATGCGCCTTTGGGTCCTAAGAAAATATAAAAGTTAGAAGATTCATTACTTTAGACTTAAATATAAGGTCCCAATTCATTTTTTTTCAAATTTATAATTTTTTTCCCAGACTGTTCATATTTGATTACATATATTAATGGTTTTTGTTTTATTGCAAATGATTAAAGAAGGTATTTTGGAAAATCAACACATATTTTTAACAAAAATTAACTTAACTAAGTCTTCTAATCTCTGTAAATTAGTTATCGATTTTCTATATTCAGAGTGGTTTGAAAAAAAAAAAAAGAGAGAGAAGGAGGAAAAAATTGGGAAAGGAAGAAATAAACTAATAAAGAGTGTGAATGGCGGAATCATGGGAGGGTGAAGAAAAAGGTGGTGTTTATACGAGGAGAGAAAGGTGAGGGGAAGAAGAGAGGAAATAGACAAGTTACCATAAAAGGCAACACTTGTGGGAATCGTCCCATCATCACAAAAGGACATAACAATACACAACACAAAACAACACACCCATCTCCTGATATGAGATCGATATATAAATATATATATCTATATTAATGAATAGGCATTGCTTTGCTTTTGGCTCTAAATTCAATTGTGCCATCTATTTTGTGTAGTGATGGATGATGATAGTGACCTGTGACTCTTTCTTCTGTCTCTTTCATCTTTCCTCTTCTGCTCCTGCACCCACAAAAGATGGCTTCTTTGCCAGCTCTCCCTTCTCTTCACTATCTTTTCACCACCACTTTCTCTCTTCAATTTCTCCTCATCATATTTTCCTTCAATCTTCTGACCTACCTACCTGCTACCTATCCTTCACTTCATTGTCTCTTCTCTTCCCCTTTTATTTCCTTCCTCTATCACTTGGTCTCTCCTCATATTTTGATTAATTATAAGTATAATTATATAACTAGCTTTTATAAACTAAGAATGGAGAAACTCAAGAGACTGATCATTTTATGACCCAATTCGTTCATTTCATCATATAGTAGAAGCAGCTACGCATGCCAGTGCCAACTGTCATTGTTGTGACTTGAGTGAGTTTATAAGTTAAAGTCTTTGGAAACTGAGAGAAGTAACAAGTTTTTGCTTTGAGATGGTAAGCAGTCTCATCTTGTAAGGAGAAAAATAGAAGTTCAAATTTCAAATAGTATACTTGTTGAAAAGGCTTTAACCTCAGTTCGACAGAAATTAGTTTCAAGTCTAAAATGACTCAGGATACCTTGAGTTTACACAGGGAAAAAAAAAACTGTGAGAGAGAAAGAGAGAGGTGAATTTTATGTTGACCTTCATTGGTTAAAGTAGAAGAATCTTATCTGTTTTGTTTTCGTCTTGGTAATTCCTCAAGTTACTCAATATTATTACAGGCAGGTAGGCTTCTGATTCCAATGAAGTTTAACTCAGCATTCACTACTCTTTTTGTTGTAGCTGGCGCAATCAACTCCTACACTAAATGAAGGTTGGCAAAATGCATGGGGAAAAAGTAACTTGGCTTTTGTACATTTTTAATATGTGTACAAATGTTATGCAGCTAATTAATATTTAAACCAGGTCCCAGTGGTTCAACACTTGTTTACATTTAACTAACATCTTAAGTTTGAGTCTATATATCATTGAGAGGGCTTTCTATATATAGTAAATTAGTCCAACTTGGCTTGACCTATATTGGTCAAGCTGCAATGTGACTTGATGAAAATTGGTTGGTATTACAAAAAGGAGGGATAAAAAAAAAAAAGGAAGTTGTGTTTGGAAAAGAAAAATGAGAATTAGTTTGATGCATATGTGCGTGTATTACCATAATTTATTTTGAATTTGAAAAATACCTTCCTATTATATGATTCTACGAGGGCTCTACTATATATCCCATTTTGGTTAAGCTTGTAAACTATAAGAAATAAGATGCTATATGTGCTTCGTAGTCATCAGATTCTTCCATTCATTAGTTTGCAATGAAGTCCATTATAGCATCATGAGATGTTATGTCCTCTTGAGCGTAACATTTTTTAGTGTTCCAAAGTCAGAAGAAACTTTCAAACATTTAAAGAGCTCTAAAGCAGTCTGACAAATATTGAAGGAGTTTGAAATGATGGGAACTGTCTAAATAAACAATCTAAATCCTCAACACTGTCCTATCACCTTTCCAGTTACCTCTGGGCTTACTCCTCAAATATATGTGTGAGTTTGTAGTGAAGAGGAAGAAAGAGATCTGTCTTTGATGAAAAGAGCTTTTGGATTTCAAAAGCGATATCTAACCTAAATCAAGAACACAAGATAGAGGCTGTACAAATCAAATATAGTGCCTCCGTAAATACTTAGAAGTTAGCTAAAACACAATCTTGTTACTTCTGCCAAAACTGTGTTTTCCAAACACGCTGCAGAAGGTCTTTATATTGATAAAATGATTCAAAACCACACTCTTAATGGATACAGGATCTGCACTAATTAATCTGGTGGAAGATAGAGAATTTTGATTTAATTACCTTTGTAACTTTAAGTCTTATTATTATAGTTCAAGTGATTTTGTTGTATTTGGAAATATGGTCTCAACTCAAGTGATGATGTGAGAGAGAGAGAGAGAACGACGAGAAATTAAATTAGGGCAATGTCTCGGGGTGCAATGCCCCGTGCAGCTCTTTCTATGGGGGTCAGTGGTAACCCTAGCTAGCCAGCTAGCTAGTTAGCTGCGTCTTCTTTCTGAGTCTGGTTCACTTGTAATAAATTAAAGTCTCTCTTTAATAATCATGTACAATATATATATTATGGCTACCCACAAAGACCCTTCAAGTCTTTGCTATCATAAACCCTACATCTATTTCTTTCTCTTCTCTCTCTTTCTGTGTTTCTCTTAGCTTCCTCATTCATTCCATTGAGATGAACCTGGAAGAGAAAGTCACCATGGACTTGGTTCAGCCACCTGAACACTTCTGCTATATCCGTTGCAGCTTCTGCAGCACTGTGCTTGCGGTAATCATATGTATCATTGTCATCTCTTCATATATCACCTTTCATCTTTAGATACAAACTACATATATATAACATATATATCACCCATCACTTCACTTCTGTGTGTTTTTGTAACTTATTGTCATAGATCAGCATATAATTAGAAAGAAGCCAACCCATGGTGATGATGATCCTCATCATCTTTTTTATCTATCCCTATCTGTCTCTGTAAGTCACTGAAGTGTCATTCACATACTTCACCTTTCACAACAAACTTGAACATATATATATATATATAGTGTGCCTAAATAAGTTCAACGCTGTTATAACATTATTATTAATATATGTTTGTGGTTGTTGGTAAATATTAGGTTGGGATCCCATGCAAGAGGCTGCTGGACACAGTGACAGTGAAGTGTGGGCATTGCAGCAGCCTGTCCTTCCTCAGCACCAGTCCTCCTCCGTCGCATCACAATCATACCGAAACCCATCATCGTGATAATGATAATAACAATATTGGTCACACACTCACTCTCCAGGTTCAACATAAACATATACACACACATATATACATATATTCTGGTTTTATGCTCCTGTTTTTCTTTTCAGTTGTACCAACACACGCTTGCTTAGCTTGAACTGTAATTTTTACGTGTGTTTTACATGGAAGCAGGGGTTTTATAGTGATTACAAGAAGGGACTTGCATCATCCTCGTCCTCCTCGTCTTCCTTAACTACGTCGTCCAATGATCCTGTGTCCCCCAAGGCAGCACCTTTCGTTGTCAAACGTAGTCATCAACTTATGTATTGCACTATATATATGTGTGTGTGTGCGCGCGCGTGTGCGTGGCTTCAAGTTAAATAAGATATGGTGCCTTATAAAAGAACTAACTTGTCCAGTTTTGGATCTCTTTTTGCAGCTCCTGAGAAGAAACACAGACTTCCCTCGGCTTACAATCGCTTTATGAAGTATATACATGACCTCCTATATTACTATTACAATCTCTTTCTCCTGCTAGCTTTTTTACCTTCCTTTCTTTTTGCGGAAGAAATTGTTAGGTTTTATGAGTACTATATACACAACAGACACACACACACACAGAGACAGGCTCACAACTTGTGTTGATTTGATGTGTGCGTGTATATATATGTATGTCAGAGAGGAGATACAGCGCATCAAAGCAGCCAACCCTGAGATTCCTCATCGGGAAGCTTTCAGTGCTGCTGCCAAAAATGTAAACATCATTTACTTCACACTACTATTCTTTACAAACCATCATCCATATTTCAATATCTGCGTAATATGTATGTTTCCATACTGCGAAACTTCTAAGTTGGATATATATATATATAGATATATATATATCATTTTGCTGTGTTGTTCAGCATTCATGTTGTTTTATCCAACATAACGCTTACATTGAACTTTAGAGAGAATTGCAATAAAGTCTCAAGAAACATAATTACTAAAAAAAGTCTTAATAACAACAAAACAGCTTATAATGGCAAGTTTTATGGTAATAAATGATAATTGTTCACCTGTCATTAGTATTTACTGATAATTATTTTATTTTCTTGGAGCTTCATTTTAATTCACCATTGTAATTAATAACTTGCTGTTCCTAACAACAGTGGGCAAGGTACATTCCAAATTCGCCAAGCACTTCACTTTCAGGAAGTAAGAACAAGGTAATAAAACTGTAAAACAAAACGTATTACCATATGGCATGGTATTGACTCTCTCTAAGATTACTGCTTGACACTAATAGTTTGTATATTTATATATATATGTGTGCAGGAATGAAAGAGAGCCGTGTGGTATTAGGGCAAGAAAATTATTATTATTAGGTGGCTTGTTTAGTTCATTTTATATGAAATCAATTATATGCATCATCTGGTAATGGACTGTAATATCCCAGCATGTACGATAATGTCGGCATTATTGATGCAATATTTATATGCAAGATGTTGTTTTGATGTTGTAATGTCTTAATATGTATGATGAAAATTGTGGTTTCTTCTGTTTTTGTTAAGGACGTACAAGGATTATGGCCAAACCCTGAAAAGAAAAAGAAAGAAGAGCACAGTCTTGTTTCACAAATTAATATGACTTAATTTGCCAATAGAAAATCTCTACGCCTTATAAATGAGGTGTATAAAAATAATGATTTAAACCAGCTAATGACTGGGATGAGCAAGCTAATCATTATAATTATTAGCTTCTGTGATAAAATTGTGTTTAATAATTATAGATCATATGAAGGACAATAGTTAAATATATTTCTCATAATCTCATTCAGAACCATAAACCAGTTGGCCGTACTTGCTCCCCGGAAAAAAAAAAAAAACCTGCATGATCTGGTTGGTTTCTTAAGCTTGACTTTTTTCCCTGAGCCCTTGATTTTTTTTTTTTACTATTATAATTGGCTTAGTCATATGTATATATAGAGTGCCAGATAGGATCTAAATAATCTCAAACCAATTTGACTTTTTTAAGTCATTTTGAATTTAGAAATGTTGTAAACATGTAAGAGACATGAACTCCACAACCACAAAAAAAGTTACTTTTCAATAGATAGAGGTGGGAATTCAAATCATTGACATAAATAATAATAATAATAATAAAAAGTAATGCTAATCTAATTGGTGCTAGAGCTGATAATATGGTGAGTTGAATTCATGAGTCTAACCCACTAAAAATAGCAGGTTAAAATTGACAAAAAACCAGCTCGTTATCAAATGAAACTTTTCAACATGCACTGTCAAACTCATGACCCACCACACCCTAACTTGCATTTATTTTTTTATTTTTTTCAATTTTATTAATCATTATAATTATATTATTATATTTTATACACTGTCAAAAAATTTTTTAAAATATACCTAGATCATTTATTTTGTGTTTTCAATCAAATATTTGAAGGAAAAACAAAAATTCATTATAGTTTCCTTATATCATATAACAAAGATATTTAAAAAATAAAAAAATAATTAATTAAAAAAATAATAGTTAGCTGACCAATCCGTCAATCCATCATGATAGGTTAGGATTGGTTAAAAGCTAACCTGCCATCACATGGGTCTTTTTAACTCACACTAACTAACTATAACCCATCACGAGCCAACCTATAATCCGCGAGTTGACCCATATTACAACTTCTAGTTTTTTTTTTTTTGGTGAACAAAATTTTAGGAAAGAGGTTGGGCTCACCCACAATTCAAGGGCAGGGCAACTAACCTTTGACCCCAGCCCTACCCAGCGCCGTACCGTAGCTTTACTGAGACGGGGAGAGCTCCACGTGGGGGATCACCACATGTTACGAGCTGAGGCCTTGGCTTCGAAGATGCCTCCCCCAGCATCGCGACTGGAGCCACAACAAAGTGGCACTCTCCAGGATCGAACCCCCTTCCTTTGGTGAGAGTGTCCGACCCCTTGGCCAGCTGAACCCACGGACGAGGGGTTATTACGACCTCTAGTTGATACCACCTAAATGGCTGAATCACCTGCAACTCATTTGCTGATAAATTTGTCATTGCTTTAAATTCTAGATTTTCTCAATGATAATGTTTTGAATTTGATCTTGAAAAAAATGAACTGAACTTAGAAACTCCTTGTTTATACAAAATGGAGAGAGATATCTTCTCATCAAAATATTAAGCCTCAAGAAATAATGGAGAGAATAAGTTGCATGAAAATCTTGACATAATACAAATTCTAGATGTGCGTGCGTGCGTAAGGATGGAACAAAAAGAGGGGCATAAAGCCAAGAGAATTGTAAATTACAAATTAGGCATTTTATCAAAAATTACAAATTAGGCATTTTATCAAAAATTTGTTGTCATGTCAAAAACCATACAAGTCTTGTAACAAATCCTGATTTACAATTTTGCCATTTTTATGGTCTTTTTTTTTTTTTTAACGATTTTCCCTTTAAACAATTAATGATGAATTGACTCAAGTGATTGGGGAATGGGGACTGAAAGGTTATAATAAAAAACCCCAACTTCATAGTCGCCCAAAAAAAACCAACGATTTGGATCCGTTACAAGTAGAGTTGGATACACACCGCCGCGTGCACATGACCAGACCAATGATCAATCATAAAATGAATAAATTATACATTCTTCCACTATACCAACCAGAAAAAATAAAAATCTTCATTTAGCCAACAAGACTAAACTGTCACCCTTCTAAAGACAAGCTTTTATCAAACAGCCATCAAAATTAGTTGATCAGAACTAATCACAAAATTGCCTAAATTTCCTATATGCCCCACATTTCCACGCGTGTTTTTTTCCTCCCAATATCTCATATCATTATGTACAATTGGATATGTAAGTGAGATCCAATCCACAATACCTAACTATTCCCTAAGATGATTGCCTTCAACTTGTTTACTTGCGTCAAAAGAGAGGAGTATCCCTCACAAGCCTCCGCCAAAACCTTAAGCCTTGACTCCAACCAGCTCTTCTCCTGCAACACACCACCCTTCTGCTCATCCATCTCAGATGTTGTTAATGGCTTGTTATGGCGGATGAGACTCAGCATCAATCCCTGTAACGCAAGTTGAATCAGCAATAACAACATTGTTGTCACCATCAAAATAAAATTAAGGAGCCAACAAAGAACCATTTAAAAAAATTAAAAAGAAATTAGAAAATCTTATTGGTGACTCCATGGTCCATATTACAATTTGGAATTTGATGCTTTGAAGTGAGAGAGGGGGACATAAGGAGTGAGATATTTTGCCTGCGTTCATTCTCTCTTTCCAACTCATTTCCGCTTTTCTCTCTATCTCTTTTATTTTGGAGACATACAAACTTCAGGGGATCAACATCCCCAGGATTGACCTAGAATGAGGTAACCCTCTCAGTACCACTGTCTTCAATTAAATGGGATCAGAAAATGAACCCGGATCTAACTCTTAGTTTAGGCCAGTCCATGAGCTTCTGATGGTGCTCAATGAGTTAAACAGGTCAGCCACAGGATAATTCCTTGTGTACTTTTTAATCTCACTATCCTAAAATCGAATGTTTTCTAGTTTATATAATGATCGTTTTTTCCTCACAAAAATGATATAAACACAACTATATATATACTTAACAGAATAATGTCAGGTTAGCCCTTTCTTTATCAGGCTATTTTAAGTCGATCCATAGGTCTAGACATGTTTTCACATCGTTACCTATACATTAATGCTGTAACTTTCAAACAACTTCACAACAGAAATGCACACATGCATTCTGTTGATATTATTCCTATGATCTATTTCCATGACCAGATAACCTAGAAATACTCTGATAATACATGGGCAGCACAAATCCTGACTGGAGAATTGTCTAACTGACTATCTTCCCCTATATACTATGTGGGTAAAAAATTCCGAAGCTTGCTCACCTCATGTTGCTGCTTCTCAGCATAATCACGAAGGAGTGACCTAACAAGCCTGTTCCGCAAGAAAAGCTTATCTGCTGGGCAGACATGGAACAGAAAAGAGGAAAGATGATGAACAACCAAAGAATATGCAACTGATCCACGAATTGCAGCCCTGTCAAGAGTACCAGAGACCCATGACTTGACATAAGCATCCAAGACCGCTTCATTATCCTGCATAGAATAAGTACATCACAAATTTGATTGAAATAATTTATATATATTGAGTCAATATTTAATGCCAACCTGTTTGCCCACCTAGATGAGTTCAGAGGAACTAATATGAAGGGACAAATGCACCTACTCATTGCATTCCAACTGTTGTAATACTATCAAAGTCACACATAGTTTTATCTTGATCTCCCTCTCCCTTTCATTCCCCCCTCTTTCTATATATAGGGATGAGAAAGCATGCAAAAAAAGCAAATAATGCACATTCTTTGCAAAGGGTAATTAACATATGAGGCCATAAACGTAGTTTCCAAATTGTTCTCTGAAAAAGTTATCACAACTATCGGAGTCAAAATTTAATCAAACCTGAAATAACATTGGCTTCCTTCTGTTTACAAAACAACATAAGAAGCCATCATAAAAATATGTCAGACGTTTGTATGTCCATGTGGTACGAATTGGGCATACAAGTGTACACTGGTGAACCTTTAGAGTTCTTCATAAGGAAAAAATCAAGAATGGATTTTACCAAAAATAGGCAAGAATGAAGATCCATCTTATTTCTACATTAAAACTATGAATTTTGACTGAAAAAGATCCATTTTATTTCTATACTCAGTGGCCTTGCTGTGCATTTCTAAAAGTGCTTCTTAAAGTTAATTATCATAGTTTCAACAAATAAACATGATGGTATTTCATTGTATTTTTGTATGAATATTTCCAGCCTTTTTTTTTTTTCCTGTGTTTCAAAGGACAATAAACTAATGAATTCAATCCGTTAACATGGTCATGCGCACGTGCACACGCATTCTTCTAGTGTTTCCGCACAATTATAATCATATGTTTATTTTTTGTGATTTTTATCATTAACCTTCAAAATAAGATACTTAAAAAGCAATATCTTATTTTTCAGAAAACATAACATTACAAAAAAGCTGAAATTAATACGTTATTTTTACCTCAACAGGATCAAGGTATCCTTCAGTTCCAGCAATGCATTTCTCTAAAGGTGGCAGAAGCTCAAGAACATGAGCATTAGATAGTGCATTCCACGCAGCAAGTCGAATAGAAGACTCAACACAACGGTGTAAATAAAGGGCAACTTGCCGGCCAAAAATCAGATCACCATAGGATATAGCAGAAAATTGCTCTACAAGGTCTTCAATGATTGTTGAATAGCTTTCAAAAATTTCAGATTGGAATCTAAGGAACTCCGGATGGCTATTATTATTTTGAATAACTTCTTTCCTTCTGATAGACCTTTCTTTATCTAGAAGCTCACCATAAAGGTCCTGCAACGCTTCAAAAGTTTCTTTGCCCTGCTCCTGTTCAAGCAATTCCATTCCAACAAGGAAATTGACAGATAAGGAATGTAATTTCCAGGTCAGTGATACATGTTGGACAGGAGAAGGAAAGTTACTGTGTTGAAAACTGGACATTGCTTCAACACCTAAAACAAAGAAAAGCCCAGATCTAGCAACTTCAAGCAAATTAGTTTGATCGAATATGTTATGTGAATGAGAAAATTTTTTAGGACCAGACCGCTTGCTGTGAACTATTGTTGAGATTGGACTAAGATAAAAGTGGACTGGAAGTGGCAATCTCTGTCGAGCCCATTCTACTGCTAACGAAGTTAAGGACGGAGTTTTCACATTTGACATGTCTACATCCTCAAAAATGGTGTCCAAATGAGCACTACCCTTTTGAGAGGTTTTGGCTCCAGAGACATTAGTATCATCTGCCACATTGGACTTAAGCTTTACAGACAACCACCTCCTCCTGAAATGAGATGATAACAGTCTACTGAACTGCAGGTAGTCCTCTTCTTCATATTGCCACTTAAATGTTTCACCTCTCCTCTCAAGAAGGAAATTCTGAATGCAGAGATCAAGATACTTCAGAACAGAAACATCAAACAATAGATCCACCGCCTTTTCCATAAAAATCCCATCCCCTGGTCCTGCAATTAAGCAAAAACCAAAGGCAGAATTAATCCTTTGCATGATGAAGGCTCTTTCTTCAGCCACGGGTTCATTAATAAATAGATTTTTAAGAGTTTCCAACAAATGAATGAGAAATATTGCATCTGTTTGTGCCAATAAAATGCTTTTTGACCAAAATCCTCCACCAGGGGCACCCCAGCCAATTCCCACTCCTGGAGCTGGTCCTCCTCTGCCAAATGTTTCAATAGAGAGCATGCACTGCCACCCAGAAGCAACTAAATTTGTAAAGAAATTAAGCGTAGACTTTAAATTAACACAATACGCATTTAATATGCCATCCTCAAGAATCTTTCCTTCTTTTGAGAAGGTTTGGTTCTGGGGAGGGAGACCACAGATCCCATCCTTTGCAGACTTGATTAAATGATCAATTGTATTGATCGTCTTGACCATTCCATTCAGGCAACAGACAGAAGCCAAAGACATTTCATGATCACCATTCTCTCTCAAACAAATTAGCTCTTCAATAAAAGATTCGTGTCCATCAGGATCTCCACCATTTGACCCCAAGGAAACTGAAAATCCCAAAAGCCAGAATTTAATCAACTGAAGCCCAATCTTAGGGACAAACTCTGGAAGCCATGGCACAGACCCACCAGTTTCATATGGGTCAATAGCATCCTCTGGTGTCAACCTTTCAAGGACTCTGAAGAGCATGTGAATGGCAGCTGCATAAACCCACAGTAAAGGAGTCACCAATAGATCTTGGGAAGCAAAGCCTGCTCTCACTTTTTTTGGCCCCTCAAACAGTTTAGATACTTGTGGATCACTTCTGGTCGCTATCCACTTTACAGCTAAGTCAACCACTGGACCAACATAATTCCAAGACCAGACCTCTGTTTCAGCATCAGTGAATTTTGGAATTTTTTGACACTGCTGTGAAAATAACTTAGGGAGTCTCCTAGTCAAAGATTCCAGAACAAGGTAAGCCTCACTTGAGATAGAAGCAAATTCAGACAGAACATTTTTCTCAATAAGTTTCTCAAATGAAGGAGGATTCAGCCAAAAACTCAAGGCGGGGAACGTGTCCGAGAAGTATGATGCACAATATCCATACCGAATGCAAACCTTCCAGAAACGTAATTGTTCAACAATCAGTGCTGACCCCAGCTTACATTTTTCCTTCCCTAACTTCACCCAGTGGTCAATGGAGGAAGCATGTTGGTACAAATGCCATGTCATGGTCCGGAAATACCCATTCTTTATAAACTCCAAACAATTTTTCTGGTCCAACCGAGCTAGGACCTTTTTTAACAACAATATGGAACATTAGTAATAATTCCTTGACCACAACGCTGAAACATCAATCATAAATAATGAAAATTAGTGTACAATATCAATCTTAAGTTATTGAGCAATATCCCCCACCTTGAAAAGGCCCACAGATTTTATCATGGAAGGTCGAATTTCTACGCTGTCAACAGTAAATCTCCGTACAACTGTCTGAATCAGCCTTTGGCAATTTAAGACAGCAGTTGCACATGAGGGTGAATGCCTGGCTATGGCAACCAGTATAGACATAATACATTCTTCCATAGCTGCTGTAGGGTCTGTCTGCAACCATTGGAAAATAATAAATTTGACATAAAACTTCAAAGAAAATAGGAAATGCAAATTTCCTTGACAATTTGTGACCGTAGAAAAAAATCTCTAGCAACCTTCAAAAGCCAAGTCATATGGCCCTAAAAAAAGCTTGACACAATGATAATGTCACTATTTATTATTAGTACTTCTTACCTCCAAAAGGTAACGAAGTCTAGGAAGGATTCCCATCCGAACTAGACCAGCAGTAAAATCCTGTCCAGCAACTGCTACATCATCCTGAATTGTGTGTTTCCCTTCAGTCTCATCTTCAATAGAATCCTCAGGGAAAGGAAGAATATTAGAAGGTTTTGCACTGTACTTCCAAAATCCACCATGAAGAAAACCAACATTGATGTCTGGTTTAGTTCTAAACACAGGAGCAGTGCAGATATCCTTGTCATAAGTTGCCTTCTTCTGTAGGTAAAAATATTACAAACGAATGTAACAAGAATTATAAGTTTATAACATGAAGAGGAAAAATATTATTAGAAAACACCATTACCTCTGAGATATCAAAGAAATTCTCATTCACATTACAACACAGCACACACTCAATGGCTTTCACACAGGCCAGAACTACAGAACTGTGGTTGTCATCAAGACACATTCTACAAGAAATCAAATAAAACATTAACGTCACTGGATGCCCAGACAGACAAAGAAAAAGTTGTATGCCAATAAAATTGGAATAAATTGAAGATCTCATCAAGAGGTTATTAATAATTAGCTACTAAAATCAGTTCACAGATAAACATTATGCTCCAGTCTATTTGCAAAATCGGGACCAAGAAATAAAGAGAATAAAAAGTAACCTGTTTGGGGTGAGCTTATTCAGGCAAACATTAATTTGAAGTTTTTTTCTTGAAAAAAAGGAACTTGAAAAGTTTGCAGCTCCTAAAGATATAAGATCAAGCATGCATAAAAAATGTCCAAGCTAATCAACAAGCCTCCTTGTTATAAACCTCAAGGGAACAAAAGGTATGTTAGTTAATTAAGCGGCCTATTCTAGATTCTCATAGTTCAAATGAATGGAGGACAAAAGTAGCAATATCACACAAAGATCACCAGCATGTATTCCATGCATATTTAATATCAGAGATGCCAGCACCAGTGGACGAGATTATTATATATTCAAGAGCATCTTACAACAATGTGGACATATACTGCTATAAAAATATGTATTTTCATGAATGAATTACATATTTCTGGCTTATTTGGGTTCCTTGGGTCCTTGTCACACGAAAAATGGCCAGTAACATACATACAGTTTGTTTGACATTTCATTTGTATCTCAACCTGTCAATTAACATGGACTAAAAGAAAAAGCATTAGCTGAAAAATAAACAATAAATTACATTCTCTGAAGAAATGCACGTGAACTCAGTCATTGCAAATAGTTGATGAATGAAACAAACAACTTAATATTCACCTAAGTGCCAACACAAGCTCAGGTTCAGGGCCAAGTGCAAAGGCCCAAACAGCCTCCCAGTCAACAGATTTGTTCACTCTATCTTCGTTTTTCACCAAATGCCCAACCTTGTGTTTGCAAATGTTATCTAAGACCTTCTCAAGCACAGATGAAAGAAGACGCAATGCAAGAACCCTTTGCCCAGGAACCTAAACAACAAATTTCAGCAGACAATAAGATACAAAAAAATGAAGGGAGGGGGATATTATGAGATATGACGAATTAATTCATTCCAAAAGCTTAGGTATTTAGGATAAGGTTAAAAAATAGTGTTGGTAAATATCTTTAACTTGCTACTTTATGCAAAAGTGTGCAGAAAAATCTTAGGATCCACCACTACTCTTCTGTAAAAGTGAAAAAACAAAAGGGACAAAAATCAAACTTCACAGCCTGCTAAGGAAGACCTGATATCATGCTAAGGATCACTTCATCACAAATACTTAAGCTCTTAGGAGACATGCTTAAATTATCCACATATCATGAGGTTATTCCAACCTGTGCCAGGAATCAAAAGTAAAAAATGCATCTAACTGACAAATGCATTAGTTGCGCAACATATAGCATACCACACTTCTAGTGAGTGCCACAGCTTCTTTGATCGTGTAACCAGCTGCACCAGGATCCCCCTCACTTCGCAGGTAATCACGTTCAGTCAAATTATCTGCAGCATAGCCAACAGAATTCCGACAAATAACTTGTAACTGTAAAGTGCTTGATACAAAGGAAATCTGCATTTTATTTCAACATCTTTGTCTTCCAGAATAACTGGGATGTCAATGAAAACTCTTTCTAGAGAGCAAAGATAACACTTAAAATGCTAGATATTAAACAACCAGGCAATCAAAACAGAAATGATAAAAGTACTGAGAAATCACAGCCTAGATTGGAAACAAATCAAATTCTAATTTCTGGGCCATCACAAGGAAAATTAAATGGCAGGCGCTAGCCAAGGCAGAGCTCAGTCACTGCTTTGAGACATGCTTGACCTCGCAAACAGATTAATCTTAGCGTTAATTTAACAGCAACATGCTACCACTGTTCCATACGTATCAAATATTCAAAATTCCCTACATTAAAAAACAGTCAAACAATAAAATGATCATAGTTCCTGCATGAGCAGTGAGACTTTTTAAAGAAAGTCCAATTTGTATATTTCTTTAGAACAATAATTGATTTAACTTTAAGACAAGTAATCATGCAGCAAATAGAAAATACTAAAGCAATATTGTGGAAGATTTAATAGCAAAGGATGAGGTGATGGGAGGAACAAAAAGAACTGCCAAAACATTAGTGGTAAAAGATAAGGCATACCATTTACAGACACCAAGTCAATGCTATTTTCAACAATATCCCCCGCCAAGGAAAATCGTAGTTCCCTGACAGCCTCTACTCTGTCACTCCAGGCATTCCATGAGCTGCTACTTCCAGTGGTTGATGTCTTTGTCATGTTATCCTCATCATCTAGCATTTTTTCTTTATTTTCTAAGGGTGGTTCTAAGGTACTGGAGACATCATTCTTAGCAAGCAGAGAAGATTTTGCATCATTGACATTCTCAGCATGCTGATTCACAGATTCATGACCAGTTCCAGCTTCTAATACTAAATTACTCTTTTTCCTCAGTTTTTCTTCACCCCTCTTCTGTAGTAGTCTGAGTAAAGCAGGACTCATCTTCTCCACAATCTCAGCATGGGCTTCTGCAATCTCCTGAGCTGACATTTGCTTAATTCGAGCTTGATTCTCAGCATCAATTTGACTCTCAAGGGTCATGGAAATTGGTTCATTGACAAATTTGTCGGAAGTAGAACAAGAATCCATTCTTGAAGTCAAACTATTTTGCTCCGCCCTACTTAGCACATCCAGTGATCCAAAACTGTCATCAGGCATTCTTTTAGAGTTAACTTGGTTGCTTCCAGCCTCATATTTTGATGCTTCCTCAACATCATAAATTCTGGCATCTTTAGTACTTTCCTGAAGATCTAGCTTTCTTGAGTTGTCCAATTCCATGGGCGAGACTGAATTGATAATCCCACTATCTGAGCTATATGACTGTGGTTTAGCTTGAGCTTCCATAAAAGTAGTGATGCCTGTATCAGCAGAAGATGAGGTTCCCTTGTCTGCAGTCTTACCTTGTTCCCCATCCATTTTCTTTTCCCTAGGTTGCCTAGAGTGTAGCATGCGTTCCTCCGGCTTCTTCCCCAAGGGAGAATTATCTTCCTGAATGAACTCTTTCCACCTGCTAAAATCCAACCCTTTTTTGTTCCTCCTTTGCACTGGGTTAGCATGGGCTTTAACAGGGTCAAACTCCATGAAATCTTTATCTTCTTCATCATCTTCGAAATTATCATCACTACCATCATTGTTATCATCATCTGTTTTACTATTTACAGGTTGCCAATACTGTAAATTCAAAATTTGACCATCAATCTATAAGGCTAACCTATTATGAAAATTACTCACAATCAACTAAAATGAGTTTGTGTAAGCAGAGATTCATGCAAAACATGAATAAGTAAATAGCACACACAGAGTCACTATTGACATGGCTCCACTAGTGCACAAACATAGAGATTAAAGAATTCCATCGTTTTGGCTTTGTTTTGTTTATGGAACCGATTGTTATAGTCCATAATCTACATTAACCCTTAGTCATGCATATTAATTCGGTCTAGTGGGCCTTTCTCAAAGGTTTTGCAATTACTGGGGCTTCTTATATAAGTATACCTAGCTATCAAAGAATTGATAAATTAAAAAGGGTTATTTTCAATGAACCGCAGGTGGTGTAATACTTAGATCATCTTCTCCTATCCTTCCTCCATACTTTTCTGAGTGCCTACTGCTTCAGATTGATTTCATAGGCAAAAAATCATAAGATTAAAACGCTAGTAGCTTCTTTATTGGATTTTCTCTAGAACCTACCCTCCAAACCCCAATATTAAAGGTACTGAACTCAGATCTGGCAGTAGTTACAAAGTGCTGACATATGAAGATTCTGTATCAAAGACATATGAGGCTCAACAACATCAAACTACGCATTGCTTAAACCACTGACAACTGGAGGGCTTAGAAAAGAAATAACTACAAATGAAAAAAAGAATTCCAAGCGACATGCTTTTAAACCTAAATGTCCATAGAAGATAGAATAAGGCCATGAAGTAGCTATCCAAGGGTTACGTAGATGGAATTTTATGTCTCTCGTTTAGCATTCTCCAAATCTTGATTCCATATTTTCTCATATTCCGTCTTCAGCTCAAGGTATTAAGCATTAGAAAGTTAAGTTTCAGCACTCTCCAAACAAAGACTCGAACTCAGTTCCAAAGTTGAAGTTAGCTATCACTTTAACATCGTCAAAATTACACCATTCCGTTGACTAAATGTATAAAGCCCAAAATTACCATCGAAACAAGACAACATAGCAAGCGACGCGCATTTAAGCTTATCCAAATGCTAGTTCATGTCATACTGTAAAACCAGGACTCAAAATTTCAGTTCCAAAGCGAGTCCATTTTCAATAGACTAACAGTTAAAACCCAACGATGACCATCAAAATGGAAGAAAAAGGAGTTAAAGAAGATGGCGGGAAGCACTTACAGGACCCTCTGAGCGATGGCGAGCAACAGGAAAAGGAAGAACTGTGGGTTTAGGAAAAGAAATGGAAGCGGGCTTGTTAGGTAGCTTCTCTACGATACCCTTTTCGACTATGCTTCCAACCAAGCCAGAGTAGACATCTCCGCTAAAAGAAGGAGAGTTTGTTCCAAATATCTTCTGGCGAGTCGACCTCTTCGCTTCTTCCCCGCCACTACTCTTCTTCTTCTCCATGTTTACGACGGTGTGAGCTCACGAATACAAACCGGAAGACAGGAAGTACAATAAAAGAGAGAGCGAACGCTCGTCTCCCCCGCGGAGCGAAAACTAGTTTAAGCTGTTCCTCTTGGGCTGGGCTGTCCCGTCGTTTTTACAACCACATGGAGCCCATACAGGTCCGGAAAATAATAACTATATGATGTAGGCCCATTATTTTCCACCGAAATGCCCTTTTTTTTTAGTAATACAACTACTTCAGAAGGATTACAAAAACATAAAAGCTAAACGTCTATGACATACTTTCTTTCATCAACCTCTACCTCTAGTATAAAAAGTGGTTGCTGATCAAAAAAGAAAAATTTTCCTGTTTCCTATGGGCGGCTTAGCCAATAAATCCGCAGCATAATTATGTTCCCTACAAACATGATGAATTTATCATTGAATTGCAGATTATTCCTCCAAGACCACAATTTCCAAACAGTTACACCCCACACCAAATTCCATGAGCAGTTTAAATTTCTCCCCAAATTCTTTGTCAAATTAAAAGCAAACCAGTCACGCAGGGAAGATGAGAAAAAATGAGTGTAATACCTGCTATCCACAAGTTGTAACCATAAGTTCCTAGCATAGTAGCAGTCACGTAAAACATGCAACACGTCCTCGACATCATCATGACATCCAGAACACAAACCCGAGCAGTTTGACCATTTACTTCTCCACATATTGGTTGGTAGCTTTTCACTGTAAGCTATCCATAGGAAAACGCGTATCCTTTCTGCACCTTTCCATTTCCAAATGTACTTATAAACCGGGCTATAAAGGTTGTGGGGAGGTTTCTCAATCAAGAAGTAAGCACTTCTCACAGTAAAGTTTCCATGGTTAGTAGCCCCCCAAGTCATGACATCGTTTCCCATTCCTACCACTGGAGGAGGGGTAGTAATTAGACGCTTAATTACTTCACTGCTAACCATAGTAGCCATCCTATTTAAGTTCCAAGAACCATTACAAATCCAATCAGCAACCATAGTCATATTTTCTTGCAGAGATATATCTTTATAGCAAAAATCTATAATCTTTCTATCATGGTACAACCAATAATCATTAAAGAAGTTGATGTTCAGCCCATTTCGCAACTGCCATCTAGTTCCTTGCTCAATAACATCACTCTGTTGACAAATGAATTTCCAAAGTCTAGAATCCCCCTGTTGAGTATTGAAAAGATTTTCTTCACTTCTAGTCATGTATTTCCTTTGGAAAACATCAGCCCATAGCGACTTAGAGCCAATTATCATATTCCAAGCAATTTTCGATCCCAAAGCCCTGTTAACTGAAGTTAGCCTTCTAAAACCCAAACCACCAAAATCTTTTGGGAGAATTAATCTTTCCCATCCAATAGGATGGAATCCATTCTTGTGCTGATCTTCCCCCCAAATGAAGTTTCGCTGTAATCTTTCAACCTCATGGCAAACCAAGGCAGGGATTTTGGCTACCTACATGGGATATAAAGGAACTGTATTCAACACTGATTTAGCTAGTGTTATCCTGCCTGCAACAGAGAGACAATTGATTTTCCAAGCTGCCAATTTGGATCTTACTCTTTCCACTATATAATGAAAAGTTTCGGTGGATTTCCTCTTTCTAGACAAAGGAAACCCCAAGTATTTTCCAATTTCAGTGGAGATTTTCATACCAGTAATATCTTTGATTTTCCCCTTCAAAGTTCCAGTCACCCTTAGTGAGAAAAAAATCGAAGACTTGTCTTTACTTACTTTTTCCCCTGAAGCTTTACAAAATCTCTCAAGACAATCCATCATATAGTTTGCCTGACTTTCAGAAGCCTCCCCAAACAAAAGAAGGTCGTCAGCGAACATAAGGTGAGAAATTGAAGGACCATGTCTAGTCACATGAATCGGCCTCCAAGCATTATCATTGACAGCATCGCTAATGATGTGAGACAACCTATCTATACACAGAACAAACAAGAATGGTGAGATTGGGTCTCCCTGTCGGAGACCTCTTTTGGGGGGGAAAAAACTCAGATTGAGAACCATTCCAAAGTACATTGTAAGTAGTAGAAGAGATGCAATTCATGATGAGATTACTGAAATTACTCTCTATTCCTGTGTCTAGAAGAGTTTGCCTGATGAAGCTCCACTCAAGACGGTCATAAGCCTTCTCAAGATCAATCTTAATAGCCATCAAACCTTTTCTGCCTTTAGCTCTCTTCATTACATGCATAATCTCCTGTCCAACCATGATATTATCTTGTATGTGCCTCCTAGAGATGAAGCTAGATTGGTAAGGAGAGATCCAATCATCCATAAGATTCTTGAGTCTTTGAGTAATGATTTTTGTGACACATTTATAATGCACAGAGCATAATGAAATAGGCCTGAAATGTTCAACTCTTTGTGGAGATTCTCTCTTAGGAATTAGAGAAATCAGAGTTCTATTAGCATCAACAACAGAGACAGATCCGTCAAAGACACCTCTTACAAAATTGCATAGAGAAAGACCTACTACATCCCAATTAGCTTGGAAGAAAATGGGGGAGAAGCCGTCATAGCCAGGGGCTTTATATGGCCCCATGTTAAAGAGGAAAGATCGAATTTCATCACTGCTGGGTAAGCCGCCTATCCCACAGAGTCTGGACTGATCCAACACGGGAAAATTCGATTTTGTCTCGAGTTCAGCGAGATCTAGACTGTTACACTGAAATAAATTCTTGAAATACATATTAACTAATCTCTGTAACTCATCATCACTTTCAACCCAATTACCTGCATCATCCTGAAGAGATAAGACTCTATTTCTTCTTCTTCTCATATTAGTCTTCAAGTGATAGTAACGTGTATTTCTATCACCTTTGGAAATCCAATCAGCACGTGATTTTTGAAACCATTTGATTTCTTCAAGATGCAACACTTCCTCGAGCTCTTTTTGCAATTTCCATTCCAATTGACACAGAAAAGAGGAATGAGGGTAGGAAGTTGAATTCTAACTTCCACTCAATCTAGCTAGGATAATACTTTTCCTCTTTTCCACAGAGCCAAAGACATCCTTATTCCAGTGGCATACCACAGCTTTAAAGTTAGCCAGATTATTATCAAAACTCCCCTCAGTACACCATTTATCTTGAAGAAAAGGCTTAAAATTATCATGATTCAACCACATAGCTTCGAATCTGAATGGGCGTTTTGAAGTAGATACGGGATTCGAAAAGCCCAAGGAAAAGCAAATAGGATTATGATCTGAGAAATTGGTTCTGGGCAGCACCTTTAAATAGCAATTTGGCAATGCTGCTAGTACCATAGAATTCCCTAAAGCTCTATCGAGTCTTTCATACAAACGAGCATGACCCGGCAAACACGGTCCCTTCTAAGTGAATTTTGGTCCTATGGAGCCCAAGTTGTTAAGGCCGCAATCGATCATATTATCATGAAACCTCTTCATCCTTACCTCGTTACATCTCACTCCACCTATTCTCTCTGTGGGAAAGAGAATATCATTAAAGTCCCCACAGACTATCCAACGTAGTGCCATCCCTTGCGAAAAATGGTAGAGTTTCGCCCATAGAAGTTGCCTGTAATTCGAATGTGGGATCACGTAAATTGCTGTAAATAGGAAAGTAGGAATGTTGGGAAATTGACATTGAAGATGGAAATATTGTCGATCCTCTTCTAGAACTAAAACATTGACAATGCTACTATTCCAAGCGGCCACCATCCCTCCAGATCTCCCTTCGCTAGGTATCATCTTCACAGTGTCGAAACCCAACGTGTGGAGGAAGAAGAATCTTGAGGCATTTGAACACTTGGTCTCAGAGAGGACAATCAAATTGGGTTTATATCCTTTAAAGAGAGTCTTCAAATTTCTAGCAAGCCCATTACCACATGAGCCTCTAGTATTCCAATAAAATATCTTATCCATAAAAAACATGAATAACGGTTTTAATAGAACCCATTTAAAACCCATTGTGTAATTGGGTTTCAGGAATACTTGTCTCCACACTGTTGACACTTGGTAAATTGGGTTGTGGGCTTGAGTCACTCGGCCCAAAACTATCAACTCAATCCACTTCCTCCACCCCCATTTCTCCTGGGTCCTCTGGATAGGAGGATGGGACGGCCTGCTCTGGTAATTCCTAAGAATGAGGTGCCAATTGATGATTACAAATATCATCGTCTCTCTCCATAGCCACGTCGTGTCCCCCATCATTTCCTTCACCCATAGTAATCATCAAAACTTTTCCTTCATTCCTCGTTTCAAGCTTGGAAAATTCTCTTGTCCTTTTCTCAGCATGTCTAAAGCTGCTCTTTGTTTGTATAGGTACTGATAGTGCGCTTCGCTCCATCACCTCTGGGTCTTTAGTGGTCTAGTAATACACCGTTACTACTTCAGAAAAGGATTACAAAAACATAAAAGCTAAATGTCTATGACATACTTTCTTTCATCAACCTCTACCTCTAGTATAAAAAGTGGTTGCTGATCAAAAAAGAAAAAAATTTCCTGTTTCCTATGGGCGGCTTAGCCAATAATCCGCAGCATAATTATGTTCCCTACAAACATGATGAGTTTGAATCTACCAGTTCCTATAGTAGTACATTCTAACATCACCTATGACATCCCTGAAGGGGTGATCTTCGTCACAACCCCTTGTTAAAAAATTAATTACATTAATACAATCCGTAATGAGATTAATTTTGGGAAAGCCTTTCTCCTAACACATCCGAAGTCCATGGATTACTCCAAGAAGTTCCGCTATGCTTGGTGGGACTGAAGAAAGTTTATAGCTAAATCCCAGAATCCACTTGTTGTTCACATCTCTTATGACTCCTCCACAGCTACTCTCACCATTAGCAAGTACCGATCCATCTACCTTTAGAGACACAGAATCTTGTTCATTTCTACTGATGGTCTCATGGATTGAGATTTCTCCCCCATAGAAACAACACTCCTTCATCAACCCTTGATCCCAAGTAGCTCTATAGAAGGCACTTCTCTATGTGAAGCTTTCTGTTTGTTCTCCTCCCTTGAACAACTTGTTGCATCTTGAGACCCATATATCCCAGCCCAAGTATCCAAAAAAGTGTTGACCAGGATACCCTCCTTGTGTACTCCTTTCCAGTTTCTTGTTTAAGGTTCCATCTATCCTAGTCCATTCCTTGTAATGAACAAAATGTGCTCCACTTTGATTCAGCCACCACTGATGCCCATCTCTCTTTTGTGTTCCTACAATCCCAAATCAAGTATAAAGCCTCCTCTTCTTGTGCACAACCGAAGGGGCAACACGCTGTCTAGTCAATGCCTCTCCTCTCTCTCAGCTTTGCCGTATGTATCCTCCCATGAGCTAAAAGCCACAAGAAAGCTTTAATTTTCTCTGGTATGTTATACCTCCATATTCTCCTCCATATGCCATCTTCCATCCTATTGGAACCTGTAAAAAGAAAATGATAGGCAGAGTTTACAGAGAAAGAACTATCAGTAGATGGTTTCCAAAAAATCTTTTCCTCTCCTCTCTCTTCACAGGGTGGGTGTGCACTCGCAATATGATCAAGAACATTTTTAGGAAACCAAACAGACAACTTGGCTTTATCCCAACCTTCATTTAGGTTCACATAATCAACAACTCTCTCAAGGCCATCAATATGTGTCTCCCTCTCTAGGATCAAATTAACTAGTTAAGTATTCATCTCTGACCATTTTTCAAACCAAAAATAAGTGTTTCTTCCATTACAAATCTTCTTCCCTAGTCCTTCCTTAAATTTATCCCAAACTTGACAAATGCTTCTCCAGGTCAAGGAAGATACACTCTTTTTGGTAACTATAAGCATCTCTTGGCTTCCACATTTGTACTTTGATCTCAAGACTTGAACCCATAAAGCATATCATTGCTTAATCATCTTCTAACATAACTTCATAATAAAAGCTTCATTTTGTTTCCTCAAGTCTTTAACTCATTTGCCTCCTACTTCTTATCCTCTTGCACATTATCCTAAGATAGCAGATGAAGTTTCTTCTTTTCAGTACTTTCACCCTATAAAAAGCTTATGCCCTATTGCTCTAAATCCTTAATCACTCTCTTTAGGAGTAATATAATTTGTATATGATAGGAAGGTAAAGCTACTATCACTGTTTTGATCAGTATAGCTCCTCCCGCTAAATTCAGGCTTGTTCTCTTTCACCCTAATAGTCTTAGGTGAGATTTCTCAATAATTGGAGCAAATGTAGCATAAGATGCTCTCTCATGAAATAGTGGAATATCGAGATATTTCCCAACATTTCCAGTGAGTCTAACTCCTATTTTTTCGCTCATTTCAACAACTCGAAAGTAATATACATTTTTTGAGAAGCAAATTTTTGTTTTTGTCAAACTCATTTTTTGCCCAGAGACTTCATAAAATCTATTAATACATTGCATCATTCCATCTATTTATAAAGTGGTAGCTTCTCCAAACAGAATTAAATCATTAGCGAAAAACAAATGCGATATCTTCGATCCCCCTCTGCTTAGCATGATAGGACTCCAGCTACCTTTTGCTATTGCATCTTGGATCAAGTGATTTAGTCTCTCCATATATGGCATGAAAATGTAAGGAGAGATTGGATCTCCTTGTCAAATACCCCTAGATGGCAGGAAATTAGTTGTTGGCTCACCATTCCATAACACCTGGAAAAAAAAAGGGGGTCGAAATGCAAGCCATGATAATTGTAATTAACTTCTCATTTATCCTAACCAATTCTAAAGTCTCTCTTATGAAGGCTTATTCAAGACGATCATAAGCCTTTTCAATATCAACTTTCACTATTAATCTTTCCTTCTTCCTTCTTCTGTTCTTTATAGAGCGTATGACTTCTTGAGTAATGATAATATTGTCACTACTTCATCTGACCGCTATGAAGCTGCATTGATGATTTCCCACAACTTTATCCATAATCAGTTTCAGTCTCTTGCTCACTATTTTTGTAATTACTTTGTAGCTCACATTACATAAAGACATAGGCCGAAAATCTTTCATTTGCTCTGGGCGATCACTTTTTGGAATTAGCACTAAATTAGTGTTATTTAATCCTGTGACTTTTGTCGGGTCTTCAAAGACTTCTCTTACCATATGACACACTGACTCCCTGATGATATTCTAGTACTCCTAATAAAAGAAAGGTTGTATCCCATCTGGCTCTAGAGCTTTAAAAGCACCTATATTAAAAATTACTTCTTTTATTTCTTGTGATGGCACTTCTCTTGAGAGGCTGTTCCTCTTTGTTTTCAGATAAGACTAGGAAGCTATGATTTGTGTTCAGATGCCTAGTAGTTATCGACTCACTCTTGAAGAGTTTTTGGTAAAAATTAACAACCAACCATTAATTTAAGATCCTCCTGCTCAAAAACCCAGTTATTATTAGGATACCTTAACGCCTCAACTCTATTTCTTCATCTTCTAATAACTGTAGAGTCATGGAAGAACTTGCTATTCTTATCACCCCATTTAAGCCACTTACATCTAGATTTCTGAAACCAAATTAGTTCTTTTTGTGCACTTACCTTATTATACTCTTTCCATAGTTCTCTTTTAGTTTGCACAAGGTATTGACTGTCTCTTCTATTTCTTACCCTTTCAAGTCCCTCTATCTTGTTAAGGATTGAATTCTTTTTTCTCCAGATACTTCCAATCTTTGCTCCATTCCATTCCTTAGCTTCACTACTGAACATTGACACATTTTCATTCCAGGATCCTAAACTCCAACTTTTTTTAATAATATTCGAGAAGCCTTCTTCCAGCACCCACACTACTTGACATCTGAACTAGGGATTCCTAAAACTTCTTCTCTCTTATTGATCAATGCGAACCAATAGGGGATGGTGGTCTGACCCATACTTACTCAAATGATGAACTCTTGTGTATGGAAGAAGATTATTCCATTCCATATTGCTGAAAGCCCAGTCAAGCTTCTCTTTAACATTGTTTCTTTCCCAAGTATATCTCTCCCCAATACTTTTAATCTCAATTAAGCTTGTCTATTGAGTAATCTAGTTGCCTGCACACTTTTTATACATTTTTAATGATTAATTTTATTTGTTAACAATGTTGTGGGGCGGCCTCAAAAACTTTTCTGAATAAGTTCGGCATATGTTGAAAGATAAAGATGTTAGCTTGTTGATTTTATTGGAAACATGAGTCAATAGATTGAGAGCTGATAGAACTGTTAGAAAATTGAGTTTTCAAAAGTGGATCCATTTAGAAGCAACGAGCTATCCATTGTGCCTTTCTCCAAGCTTCATTCATGGCCCAAGCGATGGGTTCTAGTGGTTTGCCATAACATTTTCTTCTAGCTTCTATTCTTCTGTCGAGTTTCCCTTTGTTTTTTTCCACGTTTTCCCCTACCTTATGGTTCACTTGTTTAGGATTGACATGCTTGCTTTCTTTGTAAAAATCCAAGGCTCCAATGTTGGCTAAAGAGCTGAAAACAATTTTGTTTGTCCTACTAGTAGTTTTTTTTTTTTTGTTAACAGGGATACCACTTTGGGTCTAGTTGCAATTGTTCTCTTCCTACTCCCACTATTTTTTTTTCTCTCCTAGGTTTGGGCTTCTATTACCTTGCTTATTGCTTGATCCATCTTTGTTTTTTGAGCTTGGGCTAGAAAAAACCTAATGGGTTTTCATTAACTTCTTCTTGTCTTCTTATGTCCATGTCAGTCACTGCCTTTTCCATCTTCTATGCGCTGTCCCTTTCATTGTTCTCTTGCTTATTTGATTGACTTGATTCCCCCTTCTCAACATTTGTACTTTTTTCCTTTTACGTATCAATGACCTTCTCATTTCCTTTCTTTTGCAAATTTTCCTTGTTCTCTTTCTTGCTCTATTCCTTCACAAGTATTCCAGTTGGCTTAGGCGTGACATGATCCTCTAATGCGATAGCTATCTCTTCTTCTTGCAAAACATCAAACCTTGTGTTCTGCCTCCTATTTTGATCTTTAGCCAAGTTTTTACCTTCCCCCAGACCTTCTTGGGATTTCTTCTTCTCTACCCCTCCTTTTTGTTTTGCTTTCATCCAGACATCGTACACTTCATCAGAATTGACCCTTGGTATGCTCACCAAGGGATGTTTCTCTTTGGGGTCATTACCTAAACTATCCACTAGTATCTTCGTTGACTGACTCTCCATCTCCAGATTTTCTTGGTTTGTAGCATGTTGCTCCTTCTTCTGTCTTGTGAGCTCATGAAAAGGGCACTCTTCTTGCTTATGGCCATATCTACCACAACCAAAGTAGATGATGCTCAAGCCTTCATATTCCACCATGAAGAATTTTCTTTTTATCATGAGCCTTGATTGTAGTTGTTTGTTAAGGTCCACTTCCACACTAAGCCATGCATACTTCCCTCTTTCCACCACAGCATTACTATTCTCTTGTCTAGCCAGTGTGTTCATATCGAGTTTTAGGACCTTGCCAATCATGTTTTCCAACTCCATCATACATTCTTTAGCATAACAATACATCAGTAGAGTAGGTACCCTTACCCAGATTGCAACTTTCCTTACCTTATTACAATAAGGATTAAAGTTTGGACTCTATCTTTGTACAACCAAGTAGTGTCCTTAAATGATCCAAGGGCCATCAAAGAGAAGTTTCTTGCATAGTTCTTTATCCTTTGCTCTAAAGACAAAATAGTTGTTTGGGAGATCGATTAGTTCAAATCATCTGCCTTGATTAGTCATTTCAACCTGTCCCTCATCTTCTCCAAGCCCATTGTTCTCCCCAAGACTATGATCACAAGGGCATCCTTCCATGACATACAAAGCTGTCTAAGTCTTTCCTCCAGTATATTTAGCTTCGATAGGGTCTCTGACAACTTTATTTCCTCTTCCATTAGCACTGGTACTATTTTCTCTTCTTCCTTTAGCCAATATATCATGAGCTCATCAAATTCCGTTGAGAAAACATGACCTTTATAGGAGATTTGTGTCTTTTGACAAGACAATCCCCTTTTTACTTCATCTACCAATCCTTTTTTAGTACTAGCATCCACCATTGGTTTATCCTCCATCATTTCCTCTATTTTCCTACCCTCATCTTTTTTCTTCAATACATACATCTTCATTCATCCATTTTACATGTTTTCTTAGCAAGTCTTCTTCTTTAGTTGTCTATTCCGAATTCCTAGTGCCTCCATTGACCATATCGCTTGTTTGCACCCTGTTTCTCCTCTCTCGCAATCTCTCATCTTTTGTACTAATCTCCTCTGAATTCACACTCTGAGTTGAAACACATGAAGTGCCCCTTCAAAAACAAAAGACAAGTATTTTACAAAAAAAGTATATAATTACTATCTCCAGCAGAGTTAGGTAACTAATTTAAGAAGATTAAAAAAATAATTAAATTAGTTATTTATAAAAAAAATGTGTTGATTTCTCTAAATTATCTTGTTTAATCATGTATATTGGAATTATTTCTTGATAGAAACCTTACAATTAATAACGATATTTTTAGAAAACTTATAAATTTGGAAAACAAAGTGAATTAAGATGTTATATTTAGGACCAAATTCAACTATCAAATTAGGTCTTATATTTAACACTGAAGGTAGTATATGAGATATGATTTGGGTTATAAGGCCTAATTGAATATTTTCTTCATCAATAAAGTATGAACTTACCAACAAGGATTTGGTCTAGTAAAATAGGTTAGCCTTTCATCATATGACAAAAGAAACTTCAAATCCGTTAGAGGAAGTGCCCCCACATACTCCATAGTACCTCAGATGTTATTGTCTTTAATAGGAAGATGTTTGTGTCTAGAAAAAAATAAAGTATGAACTTCAAACCCTTGATATTATTATTAACTAAGAAGAATCAAACCTATATTACTTGATGGTACGACCATTGATCTATTTTTTTCCCGATAAAAACGACCATTGATCTATAAATCTATGGTTAACCCGGTTAACTTGAGGCAACCTTGCTAGCCCAGCAAATTGGGTTGGGTAGGTCCACAGGTTGCATATATGTGTGATTTTTCTAGACTTGAGAATATGTTATTTTGATTTTCTTATGAAAAATATTCTTCATTTCTTGTTTTAGTTTCATATTCACACATGTCTTAAGCTGAAAAATAATATCTTTCAATTCTAAATATAAAACTTATTTTATAGTATTATTTATACTCTAAAATATGTCTCATATTTATGACTAGAGAAATATATTCTTTAAACATAGTCTATCATATGGTTATGAAATTTTTTAAAAGGGGTTAATATATTTCTGATTCCTCAAATTTACTCTTATTTTTCTCTTGGTTTTTCAAATTTTAAATTACAAGTTTTAGTTTTTTAAGGACAAAATGATTAAGATTTTTATTAAATTATAAAATAATATTTTTAATAAAACCCAAATCTATAATTTAAAGCTTGATGTACGACAATAAAAAGACAATAAAGTTGTCATTCTCCCCTCAATTCGTTTGTTTTTTTTTTTATTCATGCTCCCGGGTCCAAGCCGTCGCGGCGGTAAATAGAAACCGCTGTTCTGTACTGAAATGGAATTTCTGAACCCTCCCAAAAAGGCAAAAGCTACAAAAAGACCGCGACGACATGCTTTTGGCAGTAGTGGAAATCATGTTAACTCACGCTGTGTCTGTATCTGCTTCGACGTTCCCACTTCTTTCTGAAGGGACCCAAAAAAAAAAAAATTCACACCTTCTCTCTCTTCCACCTCCCTCCTTACTGTTCACCCTGCTTTGCAAAACTACTCACATGGTGCTTCCTTCCACGCACATTCTCTCTCCTCAAAGATACCACTCTGGCCGCCTTTCCTCATCTGTTTGATTCCACAGCAACTGCATTCATAGAAGGATTAAAAAAAATTGCAATGGGGTGATTCCCATTTTATTTTACTGCAAATTTTTCATTCTGTCTGTTGGGAAAAAAAGAGTCTTTCCTTTTCACCTTTCTTCATGCGCATTTTTCATTTGTTTCCTTCTTTCCAGTTCTACTCTCTAGCACAGTTTCTGCTCCTGGATTTTTAATTTCATCATTGGGATTTCACATATGATACTTGTTGAAGATATCTAGTCCATCAAACTGGGTTCGATTTGGTTTGTGCTTCTAAAGTTTTTCCCCTTTGGTTCGTAGTTTAAAACTTTTCTGTGAAGTGAATACGAAAAGGGGTTTGTATTTTCTGTAGGATCTCATTGTTGCCACTTGCTGTTTTCGTGGAGAATTTGTGATATTATTTCTGTATATTGCTTTTCTTTTTGTTTTTTATGCGTTTACTTTTACATCCTTTGATTTTCTGTCTTGGTTCTTATATAGGTATTATGCATATTACAACCTTTGGATAAAAGGAAAAGGTCGCTTGAGTAAGTGATTGTTTTTGGGTTGTGGTAGGCGTATACATCATTGCATAGCTCCTGCAACTTTAACTCAGCTGTGTGTAATGGAATCTTGGAGTTATCTCTCAGAAGAGAAAGGCTATTTTATTACTGATGAGATGGATTTTTCTCTGGAAGCTTTCATTAAAGGCAAAAAAGGAAAAGATTCCTGTAACTTGGAGAGAGATGAGTTTGGTTCTAGCGGTGGGGAAGCCAAAAGCATGGAAGTTTCTGACCTGGGATTTCATGACTTGTTTCAAAATGAGCTAGATAGAAATCATAATAAAAGAGTGACTTCCTCAACCAATGTTATTGCCATGGATTCATCTTTTGCAGAACAAGAATCTCAGCCAATGTTTTTAGGTTCTCTGGTTGAATCTAAAAGTCCCACTTCATCACTGATTGATTTGAAGCTGGGGAGAATAGCAGATTGTAAAGATCCAAGTAGTGATAAAATTGCAAGAAGAGCTCGGTCTTCTGGCTCACCATCTCAGACGCCTTTTTGTCAAGTTTATGGTTGTAACATGGATCTTAGCTCCTCAAAAGAGTACCACAAAAGGCACAGAGTTTGTGATGCTCACTCCAAGACAGCCAAAGTTGTTGTTAATGGCATCGAGCAGAGGTTTTGTCAGCAGTGTAGCAGGTTAGCAGTTTTTCCTTACAATAAGATGGTCATCTCACGGCCAAAGTTCGCGATTGTATTGTGTGTTTTTCTTTTTTATTTTCCGTTTATTCAATTTTGATGCAGGCCTTTGCCTTGCTGTTGTACCATAGCTTCTATTCCTCTTCATCTAAAAAATAAGATGATCATCTCATGACTTCAATATTTTACTATTGATACTTATGTTTGTTTCAGTGGTGCGTTGAAGGTATTGCGTTTTTCTTTTCATTTGTTAGATTTCTGTACCTCATGTCATAAAACCAATTAGAGATTCTTGCTGATAATACCCTGCAAATACTAGGACCTTAATATCTCTTGTTAGCCGTGGTAATTATTTGCTTATTTTTTTATACCACATGCGATTAGAAAAAATAAAAAAGACACTGGCAGGTCGACAACCAAACTGCTTAGGATGTCCCTTGAATTTTGGCTCATTCGGCACATCAAATGAATCTTACATTTAGTTGCTCGATAAGAAATGCCTTCCCCCCCCTCCATTTCCGGCAATCCATGTGTTTCTGACTGCTCATTTTTTTAAACCTAACATGTAAGTGAAGCTGAAAATGAGCTAACTAAAAGTCGGCTCATGCAAAAGATTACATGCAATTCTTATTGGTTCTATTTGTACAATATTTAAGAATTTTCTTTTTCTCACCTTTATAAATGTATTTTCAGTTATGGCTACCAACTTAGTTATACCTGATTAATCTCAGTTGACTATCTAATGCACTTTACGTGATTTATCTTCCTTCCTTTGAGAGATATCTATCAGACCGCACTCCTAGATTGTTACTTATGGATTAAAATGGAATGTTCTCTTTTCATCCTTAAAATAGGTTCCATTTGCTAGCTGAGTTCGATGAGGGCAGGCGCAGTTGTCGCAGACGTCTAGCGGGACACAATCAACGCAGAAGGAAGCCTCAGTTTGATTACGTATCTGGCAAACCCTGCAAGATGCTCCAATTACATCAAGGTAAGAATAATACTTTGCTGCTGAAATGCTTGGAAACAGAAAAGGCAAAGAGATGTATGCACAAGCTCTCGCTATCCTTCCTTATCTTTGAGCTGCAAATTTAGTAGCAGATAATAAATAAATGAGACGCTTGATTTGTATAGAAGTCATACTTCACCTCAACAATTAGAGCAGCTTCCTTATATGGATGTTTCTTCAATGATGATAGTCTTATGTAGCCTAAAAATCTTTCTATTAGTTCTGCTTTCTTGAATTCTTTAGACGAGGTAAAACTTGTCTCTAATAAATTGTCTCATGCTCAGATCCTCATTAATTAGGTGCGACTGGAAGAAACTATCTTATTAGCTTCAAATAACATTCAATAGAATGAATGCAATCCAACAAAAAATTGGAAAGTGGTATTTTCTTTGGAATTTAAAGCATGAACCTAAGAAATTCAACTACCAGTAATTCTTTTATAGAAGTTGAAACAATTAGGTGTATTAAGTACGAAAATTATAAATTCATATGTATAAAATAAAGATTTACTTTAACAAGTGCCCAATATCTGTGTATAGATGCATTTGATAGCCAACTAGCTCGAGATTTTATGTGAAGACACTTGCACACAGAATATATGAAGTTCTAGTTGGATATTTCCTTTTCCTTTTAGTGTGTCTTTTCCCCATGACTGGTCATTTTTATGATCCTATGACATAGAAGGAATCTCTTCACATGATCCTCATGGGATGAAGAAAAACCAGTCTTGGGATCTTGTATTTGGTATTTTCTTAAACTACATATCACGTTTTTAAATATGTGCATAGGTATCAATAGCCTCATCAAATGTCACATGTAATTTTATTATTAAGATTTTCTGAAGATGCTATAATTTTTCCTATAAATGTTCTATCAGTCATGAGGACAAATTTCTCTTTTATAGTAAGGCAGACCAAGACTGCACTGCATCCTGTCATGGGACCATGTATCTTATTATATTTCATATAAATACGAATAATTTCTACTAAATTTTTGAGTATAGTGACCAGAACAAACCTTTTTATGTAGAAATTTGGTCAACCCAATTATTTTCTGCAAAATTGGGCTTCCCAAAATAGAATAAAAAAATTCCTAGGTTTCTAAATAGTTTGGACCACTGAAGGCTGAGGCACCTATAGGTCTTGTAAATTATGTTACAACTCACTCTCTATGTTTGTGGTCCCAAAGGATGATATATCATGTAATTAAATAATGGTTAGTTATCCTTTTTTGGTGGAAATTGTCAGGTTTTATATTCACAGATGCTTAGCAAAGCACACAAAAGTTGACTCTTGTCTGTTTTTGCATATTCAGATTCATTTAGAAGACTTAAATTGAATTATTAATTTCAAGAAAACTTCACTATTGGAACTACCTTGCATTCTGATGTTGCTTGACAACTAACGTAGAGGTTAGAAAAGGCACTTACAGCTCCTTCACCAAAAGAGTAATCTATGTTCACCCATTACAATTTACCATGCAATAAAGTATATATTTATTTCCCACTAAAAAATAATTAATTTCCATAGCTGGAGCTGTAAAAATTCATTGACAGTGCAGCTCAGATTCCTGAGACTAAAAACCAGTCTCTGTTCTTGTTTTCCTGTTGGAATTAAAGTGTTCGTGTCTCTTAGTAACATTATTTTTCTGCTCACTTAATATGTTACAACTTCACTATCTGAGGTTTAACAGCTGTTTCCTTTTATATTCAATAGATAAATTAAATGAAGAGTGAAATTGGTATCCAGAGTTGGAAATAATGAAATGAATCTCTTTACCTGACCCTTATGGGATGAAGAAAACCCAGTCTTGGGATCTTGGGTTTGTTGTTTCCTGAAGTGTTTTTCTATTTTGCCACACTATAAGAGCATATGTGCAAAGGTGTCAATAGCCTCATCAGATCTCATATATAATTTTAGTATTAAGATTTGTCGGAAGATGTTATAACTTTTCCTATAAACGTTCTATCAATCTTGAGAATGAATTCATCTGAAGAAAAAAGTGAAATATTTTTTATTTCTTTTTTTTTTTGGGAGTAAATGAAATATATTTACTCTTAACAGTAAGGATGAACAAGATTGCATCCTGTCATGAGACTTTGTATCTTACTATATTTTGCATGTAAATGCAAACAAGTTATACCAAAGTTTTGAGAATAGTGACCAACATGCTCCCCCGCCGCGATTGAATGAGAATTGAGAATGGATAAGAGGCTCGTGGGATTGACATGAGGGGGTAGGGAGGGCTATATTTCTGGGAGCGAACTCCAGGCAAATATAAAGCACATGGATACAAGTTATGTCTTGGAATAAAAGAGAATTCTGAATCAGCTATGTTTTGGCATGGAAAATTTGGTCAACCCAATCATTTTCTGCAAAATGGGGATTTTCAAAATAGAATTAAAAAAAAAATCACCTAGGTTTCTAAACAGTTTGGACCACTGAAGGTTAAGGCTCCTCTAGGTCGTTTAAATTATGTTATAACTCACTCTCTATGGTTGTGGTCCCAAAGAGTAATATGTAATGTATTAATTATTTGTCAGGTTTGTTTTGTTGGTAGGAATTGTCAGGTATTTTATATTCATAGACGCTTAGGAAAACATACAATAAATTTAAATTTCTTTCTCACTAAAAAAAGTTACTATCCATAGCTGAAGCTGCAGAAATTCATCGAAAGTACAGCTCAGATCCTTGAGCCTAAGAGCAAGCGTGCGGTCTTGGTTAATTTTCCTGTTGGAATTAAGTCTTCATGGCTGTTCCTAGCATTGTTATTCTGTTCGCTTATTATGTTATAACTTCACTTTCTGAGGTTTAAGAGCTGTTGCTCTTTATATTCGATAGAAAAATTAAACTGGGGGTGATATAAAAAATGTAATTTTGAGGATGAAAATGATCCTATCTTTACTTTCAAAAAGTAAAAGAAAGTAACAAAACTGACAGAGTATTCTTCTTCTAATAATACTCCCAAGAATATACCTTTAATGGCTCACCACTGAAACCAAATATGCAAGTAATAGATCATGTATTGAGAAGATAGAAAAGAAAAGTACATTTTCACCTTCGTAACCAGATAGTGCAAATAAATATTCATAAGCAAATGCTATACTTCGATTTTATTGTTTTCTCTTACACTGAATGAATTTTCAGGGACCAAAAATCTGGAGGCTTCATTTCAGAAGAGACCCCAGTTTGCCTCACAAGACATGATCAGTTGTGGCATATTGTATGACCAAACCGATCTCAGTGTCACACCCACTCAGGAGAAGTTGTCAACACCCTCATATGCTAGCTGTGCTCTCTCTCTTCTGTCAGTTCAGTCACAGAACCCGTCATGCCTCTCAGCAGGAAACCCGGGACCTAGTTCCTGTGCTCGTCTCGCCATCTGCACGAATCACAGCGATGAAAAAGATTCCAAAGTACATTTGGGCATAAACCCTGCGGACAAGTATGTGCAAAATGAGTCATCATCACATGGATTGAGCTCCATGGAAGCTACCAAGAAGGGATCCATATTGCTATCTGATGCTGATTGTGCTCATCATCTTCAGGTTTGCAAAGATCATAAGTACCAAACATCAGAACTACTGGATGCCACACACTATGTTTCACCTGAGGATGGAGCCACTGTTGATCTATTGCAATTATCTTCACATCTTCAAAGGGTGGAGCATCAGAGGAAGTCATTTATTCAGCGAGGCCTTTGAAGAGTGCGATGGAGCTGTAAGCCCATACATGATATTATATATTAGTTACATTTAGATGTAGATATCTGTTTCACTGGTTTATTGTGATAAACGATGGCTTGGAAGTTAAAGAAGTGAGAAACTCCTTGGTGATGAAGCCATTTTTTTTGTTTGGTATGGACAAGCAAGTGTAATTTCTTTGCCCTGCAATGGATGGTTATCCCAGGTCCTAATTCAAGCTTATTCCGTTTCAAAGGAACAATACGAATATAAAGTTTGAGTAACAAAGATGAAAATGTTAAGATGGATATTTAATCATATAAAAAAGATAAAATTCATGATGAGTATATGTGAGGTTTATCACACGGTGTCTAGCCGTCTATTGAAAATAAAATACAAGAAAATTGAGATGATTTGCATACACACAAAAAGAATCGTTGGAGTTGTTGGCGAGGAGAATGGATCATATCATAGGAGAGTTCTTTAAAAGACGCAGATGAAAAGTAAAAAGAACACTCAAAGAAAAAGTTATTGAAATAATCTATCAAAAGATTTGATTGTTCATGAAGTATAATTGCCTGACTCACCTAATGAAGTAAAGCTTATTGTTGTATTATTATTAAAAAATGAAATATTTAAAGATTCGTCCAATTGATTTAACTGTAAGAAGCTCTATGTTGTCCGCTTTACCCACAAAGGCGTGGCTTTGATTCTATCAGCAATATGAAGGCCATTATTTGTGGTAATTTGTGTGTATCTTTTGAGTTATGAAACTTGTACTGATCTTGATTGAGTTGCAGGATATTTTATTTTTTACTTTTTGTTTGGGCCAGGATAGGTACCAAGAAGCATTTTGCTGTTGTGTTTTAGTGAAGGATGAGACAAATTTATCTCTCTCTCTTCAAGTTTTCATTTACTTTTATTTAGATATTAAAAGGGTGTTTGAAAAACTCTATAAACACTTAAAAAAAAATGTTTCTATATAAATTGAGATGAAACTCTTGTACTTATTGAAATTACATCTAAATGATAACATTAAGCTCTGATTACGGAGCATGTCAATGGAAAATAATTCTCGGGATATTCATTAGGATTTTTTTTTGTTGATAAAATCGTAATATGTGGACAATTTTTACTATTATGCTCTGAATCAGAGAAATGTTGAAGGGAATGGCGTTGAATTATGCAAATGATGTCTTAGCTCTAGGTTCTTTACATATGCTGTTCTAAGATGGTTTGATAATGTAAGTTAAGTGGCTTTATGAAATTGTAAAAGTTATTTTTTTTGGGTCAGAAAAGTTACTTAATTTAATGAGAATGATTTGTCATTACTATTAGTGATTTTAAATTCTACTGTGTAGAACAATTTTATACTTTATACCCATCAAACTTAGGAGGTGTTTGGACAGAAATTAAACCATTGTTTTAAAAACATTTTTATTGTATACGAAGTAAATATGTGAAAGAGTTTGTTTCGTTTTGCGGAGATGCTTCCAAACACCCCCTTGATGCCATCCCTGCATTTGCAGAGTATTAGAGTCCAATCAAAGGTTAAAAAAACAAAAACTAGAATAAAATTGCGCAATAAAATTTTTTTAGGGCTATTCTATTTTATTATATGATATATAGATATTTTACATTACCATAAATAAATCTAGCCAATTCGAGCGTATGAGATATTATGAGATTTTCATTAAAAAAAAAAAGATAATTCATATTAGGAAATCAGAATAAAACAAAACACCAACTTGCCCATGTATGACATATCAATAATAAGTAAAGAAATTAATTTCAAATAGAAGTTGATAATGTTGCTTGGATTTTTTTTTTTTAAATGAAAGTTGTAACACACATATACCACCTTATTTCACATCGTTAATCAAAGATGAAAAAGAAGGTGAGTATTTTTTTAAAGAAATTTATTACATTTTATTATAATTATTTAACCATTTTTTTGTTATTTTTGAAAATAAAAATATGACAACTATTTGTTATTTATAAGTTTGGTAAGCAAATTATGATTAATTAAAATTTTATATTTTATTATATAGTAGAAATATAAAAAATTGGTTAATACCATTTTTAGTCTCTCAAATTTGATATTATTTTGATTTTGATCCTGAAATTTTGAAATCAATAATTTTGGTACATGAAATTTGACCTCTTTTCTTATTGCAAAAATTTTAGGTAGGGATTCTGGTTTATTTCAAGCCAAAGACAGGACGCTTGATCCGCTTCTTTGAAGTGATACTAATATTGGGCAACACAAATTTGATTTCATTGTGATCCTTCTAAAGGTTTTGGGTCCTCAAACAATATTTTTGGTTCATGAAATAACGTTTTATGAATTAAAAATCATTCATCTAAAATTTTAAAAATTAAAATTAAAATGAGATCAAATTTCAGAAACTATAAATAATATTAATTCAAAAAAAAATTCTTATTAATAAGTCTGAAACATAATTTGTCAAGGCCCAAAAAAAAACCATGAGTTGCAAATTCTCACGTTTCAGTGCTAAATTAAGGAAGGTAATTATCAAATACTACGTCCAGATTACTAAATATCAAAGGCCTAAACTATTATTTTACAATGTTTTCATCCTAAAATTAAATAAATATTAAATTCATTTGTCACTCTTTAACTGGTCATTCCCTTTGTTTATTATCATGATATTTTTTGGCCCTATATGAAAAACATAATTGATTGGAGAATAGAACCTAAAAAATATAAGTAAATGAACCTAAATTTTGTTCTTGAATAAAATTTGACAAGTAATAATATTTCTACATTATTTAGCAATGTTTTTGGTCCGTGAAATAAGAAATTATAGTATTAATTAACAACAAAGAATCCAATAAGTCAGAAAATAAAAAATCAACTTAGAACTCAAAGAAAACAAGTCATTGAATGTTATTGCCTGGCTGAAAAGTGAAAAGGTATTATTATAATAGTTTTTAATAAAAAAGTTAACAGGTTCCATATTCTAATTTTTCAAAAATAATGTTTACAAAGGATGCGTTTAAATAGAAAACGAATTTGGCCCCAAAAAAAAAAACCAAAGAATAATCGGAAATTATGTAAGACTCTTTCTAATACAACTCTAATAAAGCTATACTTGCCCTCACAAGAGCCACTTACTTGACTACTAATTAAAACAGATGATCAAATACATGAAAAATCATAAATAATAACTAATGACTCAATTTTTAAACAATATTCTAATAAGATAAATAATTAATAATTTTAAGAGATTATTTGGATAATTTAAAATATCCAAAAGATTCTTTAAATCTCTCTAATGTTCCACTAAATCTTAAAAACTCTTTTAAACAATAAAATGAGGTAAAATTTAAAACAAATTTATTCCCTCAAACTGGACACCACTTTAAGCAATTTGATTGCGAAGTAATGCTTTTTTGAACTTCAAATAATAAGCCACCTTTAAGTTTACTAAGAATCTTTTATATATTAATTTATAGTAAAAAGTTTAGGTGAATTGGATGCCAGAGGTTTATTAAAGTTAGGACATGCATTCATGTTCAGAAAATGTTTACAGATGTACTTATAGATTATTTACTAATGTGTTCTCATATTAGTAATAAGATTTAAACTCATAACAATCTTATAAGTTATTAGTTAAGTTTTTAGCAATTGGACTAATTCTTAATGACAAATCTTCTATATTTTAAACAGAAAACAAAACACAATTGGCTGTTGGAGGTTTATTAAAGTTAGGACTTACATTCATACTCAAAAAACGTTTACATATGTACTTATAGATTATCTATCAATGTGTTCTCATATCGCCAGTAAGATTCAAACTCACAACAATCTTATAAGTTACTCCCTCCGTTCCTTATTATAAGAGACATTTGATGCTTATGGCATATTCCCAAATATAAGAGACACTTAAAAGTTGTCTCTAGTTTTTTGTATTAATTTCCTATTTTACCCCTATTTACTTTGTCTTCTACCCATACTCTCTCTCCCTCCCACTTCTTTTTCTTTTAATAATTTAATTGTTCTCTCTCATACTCTCTCTCCTTATTAATAGGGGTATTGTTGGAAAAAACATTATACTTTTTACATATTAATTGTCCTCAACTAATTTTAACTGTTTTTTTGATCAACGTAATTTAGTTATTTGTCTCTTATAATAAGGAACGGAGGGAGTATTAGTTAAGGTTTTATTAATTGGACTAATTCTGAATGACAAATCTTCTATATTTTAAACAGAAAGGAAAACACAAAAGGACCAAAAACCCAAATAATGCCATCACAGACTCTTACCCTTTTTCTTTGGTGTAAAAACTCTTAATTTTAAGTGGAAGTTAGAGAGTAATATTTTTCACTTTTTTTCCCCCTAAAACATAGGTACCCTTCTATTGGAGGTAATTATATTCAAGATATTGTAGGGTACTAAATATAAACATTTCTCCTAACGGGAACTCAAATTTTAATTCGTTATGTGGTGGAAGACTAATTTTTTTTACTAGACTCAACTTTATTAGTAGGTAGAAAGCCATTTTAGTTAGATTGAAAGAAACAAGAATCCTAACCCGCAAGAAACACACCCCTAGTTGGACAAGCTCTTCTCCGACCTATATGTCGGAGAGAGAAGGGTCAAAAACTCAAGCACGAAAGCACAGAAACACACGCACAAAGAAATTGAAACGCACAAAGAAATTGAAACTCCTATAAGCAAAAACTAAAGTAAGCGAACAATTTTATTCTCATATTAGTTATCATACCTTAATATACAGGGATAATATAAATTTTAATCCTTCAAGTTTATTCTTATTTTAGTTTTGATCTATCAACTTTTAAACTATAGATTTTGGTTCTTCAAGTTTCTTTTCATTTAAAATATTAGTTTTTATAATTTAATAAAAACTTGGATAGAAACCAAAACTTATGATTTGAAACTTGAGAGATCAAAATCAAAATGAGAACAAATTTAAGGAACTAAAAATTATATTAACTCTAATATATATATTAAAATGAAACTACTATAATGACGCATGGATATAAGTGATATTTTATGCAAGAAAGGTATATTATTAGATGATGTGGGGATATGGAAAAAGATTCATACTACTTCCATTTTTTAATATAAGAGCCAGATAACTAATTTACGAATATTAAAAAATTAATTAAGTTAGGTATTTGTAATAACTGAGTATTTATTTTTTTTAAAAATATCCTTGTTAATTATATGCATTAAAATGTAAATTCTTTAAAATTTGTGCATTATAGGAATTATTTTGAAAAAATGATTAAATATACAAAAGACAAAAATGAATTGGATTTTATATTTAGGATCAAATTATATAACCAAATTAAATCTTTAATTAGTATAATTTATCTATCCATCTCATCATGTGCCAATGCAAGTAGCTATACATAAATAAATATGTAAATACACATACATACAAACACATATATACTACTTTTCATATTTGATATAAACGCTAGTTAACTAATTTGAATAAATTAAGAAAGTTTGTTAAGTTACTGTGTATTAGCTAGAACTATTATTTGATAAAATTTTTAACATGTGTAATATTATAAGGACTATTTTAAAAAAAATAGATAAATATGATAGACAAAACAGATTCGGATCTTATACTTATGATTAAATTGAAAGTTAAACTAGTATTTATATTAATATATATTTATATACATATATATATATATATATATGTGTGTGTGTGCACATACACACGAGAAGTGATAGTGATTGGTGCATGCTTAATCGTGTTTTCTTGCTTTGTTTTTATCAGCTTAGCTTTTTCCAAAATAAAGCAGCATTTGATTGCCCCTCCAAGCACAAAAGATAGGCCTTGTCTCTCTTTTCTTCTCCTCCATCACTCTCTTGTCTCCCTTTCGTCCTTATCTCTCTCTTCCTTCTCTTTCATCTTTTGATTTATTTATTTCCCCCCCTCATGAACGCGCATGTGCATTATAAAACTGTAATTTTATCAGCTTCACCAGTAATCATTGCTTTTGTATGTTAGGGTCCAATTCAACATGAAATATTAGGGAAGAGATTAGATTCCTAAGTAAAAAATATATGCTCATATAATCCTGAAAATCCTTCTTATATAGAGGGAAGTTCTCAAATTTGATCTTTTGAAGTATGTAAATGGGCATCCAAAACTCTCAAGCGCGCCGATTAGAAACTGATTCATTGGTTTATTGATCTGCCTTTTGGATTGAGTTTTCATACCACATGCTTGCTCTGGATACACGCACGCATATATATTATATTATGTTGAATAATGACTGCTTTCTTTCATCATGTGTAGTTGTGCAAGTGCAGAGAAAACTGCAATTAGTGGCTCAAATTGGACCCTCCACTAACACTGTGAATGTGATTGTTACCTTGTTGGGTGGACCCTCGTGTGGTTTCTGATGCATCATTTCTCTCAAAAAGCCTATAACCCTATGCCCCTCAACTCCATCTTCTTCATCATCCTCTTCGCCTCTTAGCCTTTCGTCTGTTTGCTTTATTGCCAGCGCGCGTGCAGATCCCACACTCGCACAATCCTCCAAGTTTCCCAAGGTACATTTTTTTTTTTTTATCCTTTCCTTTTGACAAATCACAACATAAACAGGAAAAAAATAGATTCGTTGTTTCCTTTCACTAGTTTTTCTTATTAAAATGGTCAAGATTTGTACAGTAAAATGCGTGTGCTGTGTGGCAAATAATTCAGGTGTATTTAACTTTTTAAATAGATAACCTGGAATATGTAAAGCAGAGAGAGAGAGAGAGAGAGAGAGAGAGAAGTGTGTGTATATATATACTTATTTCCTACTCCTGTGATGTGGGTCTCACAAAGACAAGTTTTATCTCTTCATCTCTTTTTCTCTGCTTGCTTTATCTGAATAAAATGATTCCGGGATATTTTTATTTTAAGATTCACAATTTACTATGTAAACTATAAATTAGTACTGAAATCGCGGAATTTTGAGCTAGAGATGAATATAATTGGGGTTTTACCTTTTTCCAGTTATCAAGCATATTTGCTTGCTAATGCAGTAAGGGGAAAATAGAGTCATTTTGGATCTGTTGGTTGTGATTTATAATTACAGGGAAGGTGGACTGATATTGATTAAGACTTTAGGGTCAAGACACATGCAAGAGGTTGATATGCGCCAATATTTATTCTCTGTGTCTACTGTAATCATTCAAGATACGAAATTGAACAAGTATGGTTCTATAAGATTTCTATGTGGCATTTTAGCAAATATCTTGAACTTGTAAGGCTGATTCTCATTCTCATAATTCCATGTTACTTCGTGATGTTTGTCTGCATTTTGTCTCCAACACCACGGAAATATATAGGAACAAGATTTACTTGACTTTACATCATGTTGATCATTTCAGTGGACAGCTGTTTAATTATATGGATTAACCTTCTAATTATTGAGCTAGCCAAGAATGAGACAGTAGCAAACCTTGGATTTTTACTGAAGTTATGAGACATGATGAGATTTTCTCTTTAGTCTTCTCAGTTTATCTACCGTCCCAATCTCATCATAGATAATGTCACGTCAAATTCGTTGCAGAAAAAGAAGAAAAGGGACTCCAATTGCTTTCTGTTCAAGTTCCCGTCTCTAATAAATTGCCACTCTCTATCACCATACCAACTTCACTGTGAAACTAAACTTAAGTGACTTCACCACAGTGAACAAAAATCCTTCAATACATAAAAAAAATTAACCTCTCAGATCCCAAAATGAAAAAGAAAAGTAAGTCCTTTTAATAAGATGAGCTGGATGAGTCATGCATTACTTGAATAATCTGTTATTTGGAAACTTTTATGGATGGGCTTAGTCTATTATGCATATGCCATTTATGGACTTCATTATAAATTAGTAAAATTCAATAATAAAAGGATTCACTTACAAATGAATAACGTGAGCTTGAAGCCTTGTTAGTTCTCCATTAATGGATAGCATTTTTAGTTTTGGCATTTTAAACAAAGTCCTAAAACAAAAGAAAAGTAGATAAGAGATAAGACAAAGCAAACATTCCAAACTGTACATACAGAGAAAAAAGAGAACATGGACAAAAGTTGGAAACAAGATGAGGGATTAAAGAAACAGCAAACTATGGCAGATTTTCCTTTTCAAAGATTGTAACTACCTCAACAAGAACCAATTATATAAGAAGAAATATATATATATATATATATATGTATGTGTGTACAGTATCACAGTGCGCCACTGGAAATTGGTGCTCCTCTCTTGATGTTATCCATGTTGGTAGTTTCATAGACAGGTAGACCACTTGAACAGTAACCCAAGTCATAGTTCTGCAACTCAAACAGATCGGAGCTTGAATCACTCTCTGCACCATCATCATCATCCACCTCGATATTGAACTTTCTGAACTCCTTCTCAGACAACTCATTCCCCCAGTCCCTATGTTTTTCCAAAACCCCATTGCCATATTTGAAATTCTCGTTCTTCTTCTTATGATCATCCCACAACTCATTATGTAAAGTAAATGACTTTAGATGCTCAATATTATCATACTTTGAGAGGGTTCTGAATTCCTTACAACTCTTTGTAGGGGTATGTATATGGGGAGGTGTTCTAAACCCAACCGAACTGAAGGATGAATATAAGGACTTCGAATCTGAAGTAGTAGTAGTGCTGCTTGAGCTTCTGAAATGGCTAATGCTGCTTCTCCTTCTCCTCCTCCCTCCCGGGCTCTGATCGTCCTGATCATCCTTCATAGACTGTGTGCTGGATTTTGATTTCTTCTTCTTAGATGCAGACTGGCTGAAGAGAGAGTTCAAGAAGCTGGCAAGCCTTCCTCCTGGGGAACTAGGTTGCTTGTGTTTCTTCTCTTTCATGATCTGCTTCTCCACTGCCACTCCATGAAACTGCTGGGGAAACAAGTTTCTCATGGGCATGTCTAAGCTGATTCTGCCTTTGTGTCCATTCCTTTGATCTTCTCTCGCGATCTTCAGGCTGGAGTCACTGTTATTATAGCCAACAGCTTCATTGTACCCTGAGAAATACCTTGCCGCCTCAAACACATCAAGCTCACCAGAATCATTTCTGCGGTGGAAGGACTTCACCTTGTGATTCTTTTCTGAGTCCATAAGCCCTGCCATGGACATGGAGATCAAAGTCTCAGAAGCAGTCTTCAGTATGTAGGAGCTTTGAAAGTAAGACTATGGGTGAAAGCAGGAGGGATAGCAATATCTAACCAGAGGGGGCTTTTAAGGATGCAAAGTTATGAAAGGGTATTGAAATGATTGAGAATAGTGGGGAAGATCAGTTAAGGATATATAATTAATAACTTTGGCCATAATTTTATATGATGATGAAGGACTGCTCATTAATGGAGGTTTGTGGATGAGACCCCACATGACGTGAAATTGTGTTTTAGAAATTTAGAGAAGGGAGTGGAGTAAATAAGAAAGAATACCTTTTATATCCTTCTAATGTAGTGAATACCAGACGTTTTTGTTGGGGATTGTGGGGAGCAAACAGCTGTGTTTCCTTGGATTCTATATGCTTCCACCAATTACAAATGGAATTGTGCTTTAAGTGGGTGTTGGCCATGGTCATGTACTACCATCTGACCTTTAGAGAAAAAAATAATTCATGTTTTAAGTTATGAATTAACTATCAAAATTAATACAGAAGAATTGTTTCCTTCTCTAACCATATGAAGAAAAGTTTCTCCAAAACTCCAAAGCTTAAATTAGTAACTGCACGGTACCTAAAGGCCGTTTAGGCCAGTTGAAGGAAGTCTGGGGATCTTCTCTATTTTAAGCGGGAAAACGACAAGTATTTCAAATAAATTTTGATTCTTTAATTTACTTAGACTGTTAAGAGATTACTTTTTTATCTTTAATTTTAAAAAAAATTAAATCATTTGTTTGTCTGAATAATAATGATTTATTTAAAATAAATTATTTTTCTGCTCTGAATGAAATTCCTGTAGACTAAAGGTTTAAAGTTTAGTTGGACTAATTGCAGCACACTTAGCCTCAGAAAGGGCACACATAGCTTTAGAATTCGAATTACCCATCGAATTCTTAAATTCTTTGGAAGACTAAAAAAGAGAATTCTTTGTTTTACTAAAGATGAAAGAGTGAGATCCCACCAAAATTTGTAGGGCTTAGAAGTCACTCTTGAAAAAATTGAAGTATATTGTTTGACAAGTAAGTTCTTTTTGACTAGGATAGATTTACTATGGCCCATTAATATCTCACTGCCTCCTCTTTAGGTAGTTTCTGTAATTAAGACTCTTTCATCATACTAGCCCTCTTAGTGGGTAATATCTCAATTTCCAACCACTTGCAAGTTTAAATAGGGAATCCACAATAAGAACTCAGATATCCACTATTCAGATTATAGCACATAAGAAAAATGTCTTGGTTTGGCTACCTTCAAATTTTTTCTCTAAATAATTTTTCAGAAGTATCATCATATCATACAGAAGTGATGATTCCTATCATGAAGACCCACCAAAGGAGAAAAGGAATTATGGTGGAGTGAGCCCTTTCCTCTGCAAAGAGCTTAAAGAAGAACTACTACACTTGCAAACTTAGTATTCATAACTTTAATTAATTATCTTTTTTAGGTATTGGTGTTAGTCAGATGTATATATCACTTGGCCCCCTTAAACATAATATGACAATACCAGCTCGAAGTGTCGATGCAGTGAACCTTAACATAAGGTGTGCTGGCATGAATACACGTGTCCTGCTTATGAACCAAAAGAGACCCTGCTTATGATGTCCCTTTAGGTCACATATCACCTTCCTAGAAGGATTTTATTCTATTGATAGGGTCAAGTTAATTAGTTCATGTAAAAGATTTTCGACATGCCTAAGAACTAGAGGAACACCCTATTGTAATCATGCACCAGTTGGATGGCTTTCAGGATCAAACTGTAGCAATGGGACTAGTTTTGAACAGGAATTTTGATAGTGATATGTATCTTATTAGTAGGAATTAAAATATCTGCCTTTAGATGTGCAATATGATGTAGTATGACCTTTCATTGAGAATTTCACTCATTTGCTGAGATCTAGTCATCTTATACTAAAGATCTTTGGTTCTACTTGGGCCCTGTTTGGTAGCACCAAGAGAAAAAAGCATGTAGAAACCAGCATATGCAATATCTGTTATAGGATTTATGGCCTTATTATTATTACTCAATAATAACTCTAATTATGATTCTTTATTAATAAACAGCCACCAATTTGTAATCAGCCATGTCCAAGCATTGGAAACCCTAAGTATTTATAGTCTCTTTGATGAAACTAAGATTAAATAAATAAGATTCATTAACTATGAATATAATATTAGATAATATAAGTCTGATATTTTATTATCACGTAATGTCATATGAACCTGTGATCTGCAATCTACTATAGCACCACTAGTACATGAATAAAGTATTGTGTGAGCTTTATTTCTTTATTTAACTCTTTTTTTTTTGTCATTTAATTGAGATATAGGCAACATCATATACTGAACCTTATGTAAAAACTCCTTTTCATGTCACATATCAATCAACTAGCTGACTCAACCTTCAAAAATCCATTTGTCACATACAGTGAGTTTTGAGTGCAAATTTTGATAGTGATCTATTGATAGGTATTCTTCCAGACCAACATATATACCTCTAAATATTCATCAATGTCATATATAACTTTTCCAGTGAAAACTTGACTCAATTAATTTGTTTGTAACTTGAGTTAAAGGTCCTTGTATCAGACTAATGATTTCTTATTAGTAAACTTGGTGGGTCTGTATTACTCAGAATTTTAAAAAGAGAGCTCTATTTATTGATTGCTACAAATTTTATAATTTATAGTGATGCTTTTTAATTACAACTTTGCATGCCTTGGAATTAAAACAGCCTCTTATTAACTAAAATCATGTCGGAAGCTGTCAACTTGTTGCCTCATTTCACAAAATCAAAACTACATTGACAAATCAAGCTTTCAATGTGAATTTAATTTGATGATAATCTCTTATGAGTAGTCATTGATCAGCTACCAACAGTGATGGATCAGCCTTGAAGTTAGCTCTAGGCATTTAGGGAAGATGAACATGACAATTCCATTAAGATCACCTGGTCAGTTTCTTCTCCTTCATCATCATGGGAATCTAATTGCATAGATACCACAACTAGTTTAACTACAAAAAACACTGTTCCTAGTTGACTATATCTGCAGCAAGATTTGGGGAAAATCATGATGTTCTGATAATTTAAAGCCACTACAATTATACATTTGAAAAGAAAGTGATACCAAATCTTATGACTATATATGGGGTTTTCTTCCACTCTAAATACTTCATAACTTTACAATTCGCGTAACTAGACAGAGGTAGACTGGTGGGTGTCATTGAACCAGGGAAATCTTATCTCTTTTTAGCTATAAAGATTGCACATTTGATCTGAATTCTTTCAAGGTCGTCTTCATCTATCTATACTCGTTCTTTTTTCCTTTTTTGTTTTTTGGGGCTTATTACTTTTGTAATGCTCATTTTTGTGAATATAAAAGATCAAGATAAGATCCTATGCTCGGTGTTGGTTACCCACCACTAGTTTTGAAGCAAAGAGAAAACACATTCAAATTTGGTAACCACTAACTATTTTCAGATCTCAGGCTAAGGCCTATCACAGATTAATGGTTCTGATTCTTGAACACACTCATTAGACTAGACCCTGACATATCAGAAGGTGTTCTTATGGGCTCCACTGTTTCAGTCTCTTGCCTTCATTTTGTCACACTAAAAGAACAAAATAGTATTTCATAAATAAAGTCTCTTATCATGATCAGAATCATGTTGGATGCTTGTTGTCGACTTGCCTGCATTGTGAACTATGTGAGGTTATTTTCATTGTTTTTCAAGTCACCATTCATCAGAAATTTTCTGGGTAAAGGTTATTATAGTACCGAGATATGGTTACTCCATTATTGGTAAAGCTTCAAGCTTGGCCACATATTACAGAAATGAAACATCAGTTCAACTAACCTAATTTTATATCTTATTCTTCTTATCTGGTTTTCTGAAGGGGCCTATAAAGAGATTCTTGGTAGATTTTGACGTTCCAATGTATTTAGTTAATACGCAAAACATGAGCCTTATTAAGAGTATACATTATTTACATATATGTTTAATCTGTTTTGGACGTTCTATGTTCAATGGAATGATTATTTATGTATTGCATTTGAAATGATGAAGAAATAAAAGATACATGGGTCTCTACATAAACAACAACAAACAAAAAAGTCTTATCCCACTAAGTAAGGTCGACCATATAGATCTTATGATGTCATTGTAATTTATCAACAACCAAGTTTTTGGATAAATGGTTAATTAAAAAATCCAACTCAGTAACTTTTATTAAATGTTCTCTTTGGCTTTCCTCTCTCTCTCTCTTTTTCTCTCCAAAAAAGTTCATACTGCTCAATCAACCCTCTCACTAGTGCATTTAATGAATTCTCTGAATGTGTCTAAACCACTCTTGAACAGCTTTCTATTTACAATTAGGTGTTTTTTTATGTCATATCATAATAAAATATATGATAGTATGACCATTAAAAATCTAATTAAATTAATGCATTGCCTTTCTAAATCATTACTGGAGAAAGCTCTGGGATTCAAATAAAATTAAGAGATAAATTGATTTTACATGAGAAGTTTGAGGAGCCTACAACTACAAGGAAAGGAATGTGAAACATGAACTCAGTTTGACAATGGCTACAAGTATTTGAAGACAGATGAATCAATCTGTGCCCTACTTGTGGTGCGCCACTTGTCGTGTTTGCATCTAGTCATCTTAACTAATATCTCATATGGTGACTTCGTCCTTTCAATCTTTCCATACATAAAAGTAAATATACAAATAAAAACATAATATTCCTCCGGTCCTTAATGTAAGACCCATTTAACTAATTTGATTAGATTAAGGAAGTTAGGTAAGTTAGTTAATTATAAGAAAATTGACACATTTTTCCTAAAACACCATAATCATCTTTCTTAATGCCCCATCTCCCTCTTTTACTTAATTATGGTTGAGAGAGTATTCATAGGGGTAATTTAGAGAAAATTGATAAATATGAGAAATGGGTCTTATATTTAGGACCAAAATCAACTCAAGAATTGGGTCCTACATTAAGGACTGGAAGAGTATATTCAAAGAAAAATTTTAAAAAATCAACATGAATTTTATTTGGGTTAATATAATCTTTGATCTTTTAAGTTTTCTCTCATTTTGGTTTTAGTTCTTCAAATTTTAAACACAAGTTTTAAATCATATCTTTTAGTCAAATACACATATGGATAGACAAATGTATATCTATCTAGAAGTCTCATATATTTATGTAGATAATTTATAGATAAATGATATTTTTATCCTGAAAGTATTCACAAAGGAGTTATGAGTATTTGAAAGTTTTTTGAGCTCAATGTCTTCTTGAAAATGTTAAAAGATGAATAATATTAGTTGTTTTTTGTGTTACAAAACTAATGTTAACAGTTAAAAAATTAATATTAATCATTAATATTTCTAACAAAAACGACAACATTGTTTCACCTTTAATACTATTGGGATAGTAATAAGTTAAAATAAGTTTTTGGATGCCCATGATTTCTTCCTAGGACAAAATTGACTCTTAACCCTAATTTTAAATAATACAATATGCATTAGATTTAACAAAAGAAAAAATGATAAAAAAATACTTAATGAATTTCAAAATGATAAATGGGTGATTTTAGCACATCAAAATCTTTATAAAAATAATCAAATATCTTTATAAGAATAGTCAGCATTACTTATTTATCATTTTGAAACTCAAGAGGTTTTTTTTTTTTTGTCATTAGTTTAACTTTCGTTTATTAACCAATATAAGTGTGCAGTCTAACCTGAATTGATTCAAATTAATTGCCCGTATGACCTATAATATATATATATATATATATATATATATATATATTCATGTTGATGTTTATCATGAACAGAGAAATGACTTGATAATTTTGGCAGATTGATGCATGTTTTCGAGTTGGTTTGTTGCTTTCTTTTAATAAGCACCGTGCGTTGTTAAAGTGATGATTCATGGTCATGGTTGCTCCAAGAGTCGCATCTTATTGTTCGTGTTGAAACTTTTCCCCCAAAACGACATGAAGTCATCATTGAGAGGATGCGTTTGATGAGGTGTGGGGCTTTTGATGCCTTGGTGGATTTTATGTGTAGGCCTTAGGAGTTATCAAGGCTATGTTTGAACCAACAGCCTCATTAATGCATACAGCTTTCCTAGGCCCATCAAGGGCTATAACTTTCGTTTCCACGGGATGAAAATCCATTCCAATCCTGTACTGAGAGTTGTCCATATTTAGTATCTAAATATATTTTTTAAAAATAATTATCCATTTTTTAAAAATATTTTTTAAAAATTTTCCAAAAAAAAAAGGATACATTATTTTAAAAAGAGGGGGAAAATAATTGAAATAATATAAGGGACATATTTATCCATCTTTAAGCTCTCTTCTGTTCTGCTGAACCAAACAGGAATCCTTACCAACGGAGAACATTGACTCAATGAACTTAAGCAGTGATTCTGTCAAAAGACCTATACATGTGAAAAAAAAATTAATTCTTTTGATTTTGGAGAAAAATCCTTGTTAAATTTAGTTTTACTTTTTTTTTAATAAAAGACAGTTTCATTAAAAATAAAAGGTTATACCAAAGAGGCCGGCCCATTACAAATCCACTTGAGCAAAGTCCAAATAGATGTAGACCAGAGGCCGGCCCCACAGAAAGAGAAAGATGGCAATTGAAAACAAAAAAGGAACTTGAGATCTAGTTAATAAAGAGTCAGCTCATATCTATAAGGTCGTGAGTTCGAATCCGACTATCGATGTGAGGAACTTGTTGGTGGGCGATTTGTAAGTACCTCTGTAAGTACTGTCTGAGCTTGGAGACATGCCTTGGCCCTATGAGCTCCTGGAACCTAACTCACATAAGCTTTTTGTAACCAAAAAAAAAAAAAAGCAAACACCAACCAACAGGGTTTAGGTTTAGTGGAAGGGGCTAGTCTCTCACAACGTGGTGAATTAAGGTTTGAATCCCTGCTGGGAGAAGCACTCACATTTTATGCCTAACAATACCTTAAATAGGATTATTTCTAATAGGAAGATACCTAAATTTTTTTTTTTAGAGAAAAAAACGAACACCAACAAGCCCGACTTCAACAACCTTGCTCTTGACGAATGAAACGGAAGCACCTTCCCATGCAAGGGCTTCCATGGGAGTAACGAAGGCGAAGGAAGTCCTTGCCAAAGGAAAGTCTTTCTCATCGATGATGGAGGACTCTCCTCCTCTGCAATTGTGCTCCCTCTCTCCCTCCCTTTCTTCCCCCCGGGTTATCATCACCGTTGGAATATCCATCGCCGTCAAAACCGAGAAGTTGAGGGAAGCCAACTCAAGCCTCTTGGTGCTGACTTGGACAATTATATTAATTCTTCTTGACACATAGGATGGGTTAGAAGATGACAAGAATAATAATATAAAGTAATGAAAAGATGAGCAGGTCAAGGTGAAGCAGTAAGTCGTGCTAAGTCATAATTGAAAAATTGAGTTAAAAATTGAAAGATAAAAAAAGTAATTTTCTCTTTTTAACTTATAAATAGGACATTATTTTTTTATGTGTCTATTTATAAGTTACTTTCAATATATTTTATAAAATTAAGAAAAACTTTGTTTTATCTTCTTGTAAATGGAGTTAAAACTATAGCAATCAGCGGATTCACTGGACAAGAGTATTGGATACCCTCCATGATCAATTTTGAAGGCGAAATATTATAAAAAAGTCGAAAATTATGATTTTCTAAAAAAGTATCAAAATATCCATATGCGTACTGAATTAGCAGTGAACTCAAAATCAAAATAGCTTTTTGACCCAAATGTTATAAACAATAAAGAATTACTACCTCCGGTTCTAATTGTAAAATTTAGTTTAGAGTACAAATTGTACTATAAACTAGATTTTATAATTAAGAAGGGAGGTGGTATTAAAATATTTCAGCCTGAGAATTATTGACCAAAATGTTATAGGTAAAACAGGTTTAAGCTTAACACAAAACTCATTCTTTATCATTTCTGCATCATACTTTATTTATTATTATTATTTTTTTATAAAGTAGATAACAGGGTAGTCCTGCTACCTGGTTCATAGTTCCTTCTCACAAACACCCCCAGCAGGCCCAATGCTCTCTCCCCTCTTCCCTTCTGTCATAATATTGGTGGATATAAAAACACACACACACACACAAATTCACAAAATATTACAATTAAATATTTTAAATATTTTATAAATTTATAATATATTAATTTATTTAGTATATTAATTGTATGGGCTAGCAATGACATTATCTGCACATGAATGCAACGTAAAAATTCAAAAAATTGACAATGCCATGTACCTCATTAGAATTATAATTATATATTGCACATACCACATTGTTCATCCACATTCCATGACCAAGCCCCTGGAGTTCTGCCTATGTTGTATGATGATTAAAAATGTCCAATAATACCCCTGCGTCAAACATGATGGAAAATAATTGGTCAATATTAAGGGCTACTATTTTTTTTTTTTTGGCATTTCATGATCTTAACCCTCTTTCTACTTACTCTTCCCTCTCCTCTACTGGACACCTTAGAGCATAAGGTATGCAATATATCCTTACCAGCAAGCCTTTTCTTTCGATTATAGGTAGTCGTCCATGGAGATCTTATCACTGGCTTTATCACCCCCTTTGACTTCCCTTTTGGTAGGTGCATTTAGCGTTTTGTCCTTTTTCCTCTTCTCTTTTCTTCTTCACTGTTTTTTTTTTTCCTATTTCTGATCCTTCTTCCTTTGTCTCTTCTTTTGATCTTTCTTCATTTTTATCCTTTTCTTCCTATTCTTCTTCTTTGTTCTTTTCTTCTTGATCAGATTTTTCTACTTTCTCACCTTCATCTTTGTCTGGTCTTGGTTCAATTCTTCTTCCATATCTATTCCATATTTCTCCATGACTACCCCATCTTCCTCCTCCTCTTCAGTTGATTCTTCTTCATTTTCTTCCTTGTATATGAAATCTTCGTCACCCATGTTCAACGTATCTTTTTTAGTGTTTACCCTATCTTCCTCCACTTGTTCTCCCTTGGCAACTCTTCTTCTCTAGCTTCATCCTTTCCATCACGGTGTCCTTGTTCCAATGCTCAAGAGCATTTGTTATTGATGGCACAACTTCTTCCAATGGAAAATCTTGCAAGAAGTAAAGCTGCAAAAACAATTTACAGGTTATACCATTCAAGATCAACAACTGTTATAATAAAAATGACACAATAAATTATAATAAAGAAAACAAACACTTCTTAATACCAATAACAAATAGATGCAGCCTCCAACATTTTCCCCCTCCCATATATTTCATTTCTTCATGTCATCCTTATACTTTTATGCTTTCGCAGCAAACTCGTCTAGAACAAATGTTGCCTAATCAAAATTTTTTCACATATTTTTAGCGCAAGCCATTACCTTTAACAATCTCTCATTTACATTCGAACTTGCACTGGGACAAAGCAAAATTCCTAATGTGTACAATACAAAATAGAACTTAAGCCTATCATCTTCTTCTTTAGATTTGAAACAAGATTTAAACACGTTTTTCAAAATGATAGAGGATGGCAGTCTTACTGTAAGAGCTTCCAAATGCTTGGCAATTGTTCTTACCTTATTCCAGGTAACAACTAACAACACGTATATTTACTTGCGGTTCCAAAACTTTGAAAATCACAAAATGACAAACAAAGAGGTTTAAATCAGAACCTGAATGAGAAGACGAAACTCTAATCGTCGAAAACAAGAGAACACCAATCAATAATGCCCAGAGTCAAAGGATACGGACAAGAATTGAGAACTTGATAATGGCAATAGAATAGAACGGTGCCGACAAAACTGAGAATGAAGCATGCCGATTGATAACGCCGAGAGAACTTCCGATTTCATGTTTCTTCCCCATATAAAAGGTGTTGAGACTAATGTGCCTGGTATATATGAGCAGGCAAAAACCAAAACTGATAAAGACGCTGATAACAAGAAATCTCTGAAACTTCCAGGGCCTGTTAGGCAATGTAAGAAAAATTTCAGAATGGATCGAAAACATACCGGGTCGGATCTCGGGTCGGTCGGTCGGATCTTCTTAGCTCACGCTTAAGCTAGACTATAAAAGTCTGAGCTTTTAAGTGCACAGCAGAGCACCTCTTTTGCAAGAAAGAAAATAAGAGAGAGAGAGAGAGATAGTAGGAAAGCTCTACTACTGGAGTGATTTGAACTGATGGGGGGAAGCCTCTGTTTATAGCTTTTGCCAGGGATATTTTGGGTAGCATAAAAAATCCACTGAGCCCATCAGATAAAATCTGAGATAAGATATAATATATTCTTATCTCATAATATCATGATATTTGAATTTAAATCCAGAATCAATCACAATTAATTCTAAATATATATACTTAATATATATTTAATCTACACAATATAAATTAATTAATTTAATATAAATTAATTAGATTTATATCGTAACCGATTGGATATGATTCAGGGTGTTTGACCAAGTCAAACATATCACAATATCGCTTGGATATTTGACTGATATATTCTCTCTATACCCGGTCAAATAATCCGGCCCATCAAGGGCGGATCCAAGCCCAAAAATCTAACATCTCCCACTCGCACTTGATGGGCTGCCCATCGTGCGATAGCTAAATCTTTCATTGCTTCATACTAGGTGTCTGCCGTGACCGCGTGGGCATGACGTCATCGATTCGGGCGCCTGTGCACTAGGAATCCTTTATTCAGGACCAGCACACAAGAACACCCTTGGTGTACCTGCAAATTATATGCTTGTTGCCTCGAATGCCCTAGTTTTATCCATACACTTTACTTGTGGCATATCTAATCCCTCTCGAGTTATTTTGTTTACTCAGATTGCCTTCTCATACGTATGGTATCCACACTTGCTTAGTTGTTCTGTTCAACCTGCAAGGGACATGTCACAGACACCAACGTAGATGTGTATTTCAGGATAAATCTTCCTTCTGACTATTCATCATTTAGATTTGGCATAGTCGCTTTCTCAGTCTTGACCCGTTAGATCGCATCATTCTTGACCATGGGGTTTAGGCTAGAGTAGCTGCCACTAAACCAAAACCTTGTGATGTTGTCTAAGTCTTAAGGGCATTATGAAAGGTTTATTTCCTTTCTGGGACTCACACCGTAATGGATCAGGGATCTTCCATCACGTCCCTTGTTGCGGATTTGAGTGAGCTCATGCAGTATGAATTGCATGTTACGGTGCTCAATCCACCAAGTGGAGTATGTCGCTTTTGGTTTTAATAGCACCATACAGACTTAAGTTCCAAATGCACTCCAACATTTGAACCAGGAGCTCTTTCATCACAACTATATATGACGTCTCACTTGTAAAGAATTCCTTGTCTGGCTACAGGTCTCATGGATGACACATTATCCATGATTCGGCCCAAACTTTTATGGGTCTCATCTCAGTTTAGCTGAGGTGACATTTGTGCAGTGATTCTTCTCTACCATCTCATGGTGATCATCTGCTGTCAAACCTTCTATATCCCATGAGAACATAGCAAGGCGGTTGCTCGTGTGAGTGAGCCAACCTTGTGACCTGTACGACATAATTGTATTGCATACCTTGTGCCTATGCATGTATAAATACACAAATATACAAGAAAAATTTCTTTGAACTGGATAAAATGCATTGAATTACTAAGTAAGAGGAAAAGGTTCAGTACAACATGCCTTGTGCCTGCATATTTGAACAAAAAGGATCAAAAAAAAAAAAGGAGTTCAATACATCATGCTCTACGCATGCCCAAGGCCTTTACATGCTTAACGAAAGGATCTCTAGCTATAGGCTTGGTTAGGGGATCTGCCAACATCTTATGAGTGGACAAGTATTGAACTGTCACTTGTTTCTTAGCGATCATATCCCTTACAAAGTGATACTTTATGTCTATATGCTTAGTACGATTGTGGTACTTAGGGTCCTTTGCATAGGCTTTGCTGCTTGACTATCGCAGTGAATCAGAGTTGGTCCCTCACTCCCACCATGGATTCCCAATCGTACTAAGAATCTTTTGAGCCACACAGCTTCTTGGACAGCTGCAGAACAAGCTACATATTCTGCTTCCATGGATGAAAGAGACACACACGTTTGTTTCTTGCTGCTCCAGGATATTGCTCCGTTATTCAGTAGGAAAGCATAGCCTGACGTCGAGTGTCGCTCGTCCAGGTCTCCTGCCCAATCAGCATCGGAATAACCCTTCGCACGAAGGCCATTTCCTTGATAGCATAGCTCATAGTCCATGGTTCCTTTTAGATATCTCATAATCCTCTTTACAGCTTCCCAGTGTTTGACTCCTGGATTGGATTGGAATCGACTCACAAGTCCAATTGCGAAGCATATGTCTAGCCTGGTACACAACATGGCGTACATTAGGCTGTCAACGGCACTTGAGTATGGGACTCTCTTCATGCGTTCTATATCGCATTGTTTTGTAGGGTGCATTTCCTCACTTAGGTTATGTCCCTTAACCACAGGGGTATACATAGGCTTGCAGTCTCTCATATTGAAACGCTCAAGAATCTTTGCTATGTATGCCTTTTGTGACAATGATAGCAATTTTCTAGAACGATCTCTTCTTATCTTAACACCTAAGATATATTCTGCTTCGCCCATGTCTTTCATCTCGAAGTTCAAGGATAACCACTCTTTGATCATCTTTATTAGTTTCAGATTGGTACCAGCCAGTAGTATGTCATCGACATAGAGGGATAGAATGACAAAGTTGTCTCCAAACCGCTTGATATAAACACAGTGATCTTCCTCGATCATTTCAAAGTCATAGGAGCTTATGGCTTTGTGAACCTTAAGTACCACTGTCTAGATGATTGCTTGAGTCCATAAATGGATCTCAAGAGTTTACAAACCTTTTGTTCGTTCCCTTTCTGTATGAAGCCCTCAGGCTGTTCCATATAGATTTCCTCATCTAGTTCTCCATTCAAGAAAGCGGTTTTTACATCCATCTGATGTAACTCTAAGTCTAAACTTGCTACTAAAGCCAGTATCAGTCGTATCGAGTTGAAACGTACAACGGGTGAGAAGGTGTCTGCGTAATCCACTCCTTCCCGTTGTGTATACCCTTTGGCAACTAACCTTGCTTTGGGTTTATCAATTGATCCATCAGCCTTACGTTTGTACTTGAGAACCCACTTGCTCCCAATTGCCTTTCGGCCAGGTGGTAGATCAACTAATTCCCATACTTGGTTGGATTCCATGGAATCCATTTCCTCTTGTAAGGCCTTCTGCCATTTTTCCTTAGCAGGTCCTGTTAGTGCTTCTTTAACACTTACAGGGTCTTCTTCATCGTGTTCTGCACTAACGATGAAGGTTGCTCCTTCAATTGAGAAGCGTCTCTTAGGAGTTTTATCTCTATTACTTCTCCTAAGTGGGGTTGTTGTAGGACTTACTTCCTGTGACTGGGTTAAACCTTGTTGTGAAAATGGCTCAACCCTCCCACTCGGATCAGTAGACTGAGGAACACTTTGTTGTACCTCATTGCCATCATCCTCATAAAGACGACTTGTTCGATCAATACTCCCTTTGCTAGGATATTCGGTTTTTATGAATGTTGCGTCCCTTGACTCTATCTCAGTCACTGAGCCGTCATCATTTTCACCAATGAAGACATAGCCCTTAGAGTTCTCAGAGTATCTTATGAAGATACACTTTTTGCCCCTTGGTTCTAGCTTGTCATATTTATGGGAAGAATCACGAATATAGGCCGCTGACCCCCATGGTCTTAGGATGCTTAGATCCGGTTTGCGGTTTGTCCATGATTCATAAGGGGTTGTAGTGACTGATTTAGAAGGCACTCGGTTAAGTATGAATGTGGCAGTTAAAAGAGCATCTCCCCAATATGAGGTTGGAAGCTCAGCTTGTGCCATCATTGATCTAACCATATCGAGGAGAGTTCTATTTCTCCTTTCAGCAACTCCGTTCTGTTGAGGAGTGCCAGGGATTGTTAGTTGCCTAACAATGCCCCTTTCTTCACAGAGCTCCTTGAACTGATCAGAGAGGTATTCTCGGCCTCGGTCAGTTCTTAAGGCTTTGATTCTTGAACCTAGCTGATTTTCCACTAGATTGAGATATTTTCTAAAGCACTCTAATGCCTCAGATTTGTGGGAAATCAGGTAAGTATAGCCATATCGAGAAGAATCATCGATGAAGGTAATAAAATACCATGCTCCATGACGTGCCCTAACACTCATTGGTCCGCAAATATCAGAGTGTACCAACTCAAGAGGATAGTTAGCCCTGGTTGCCTTTCCGAAAGGCTTCCTTGTGCTCTTGCCAGCAAGGCAATGTTCACACAGAGACATTTCCTTTTTGGACACGTTTCCTAGCAAACCCTCTTTTGCCAGTTTGGTCATGCGTTCTTGACCAATATGTCCTAATCTAGCGTGCCATATATCGTAATTGACATCGGAAGAAAGCGCATAGCAAGAACTAGAAAAATTATATTGAAATTTTCTAAAACAAAGAAACCATCCGAAACATAACCAGAAACTGAAAAATTGGTCCCATACGAAATGTCTACTGTGAAATCATGAAAAAAGACATTGAAATGAAATCTAACTAAGGAAATAATAGACACAAGATTTCGTCGGATTTCCGGAGCGTAGAGGACATTTTGCAGGACTAGGGTCTTTCCTCCATGCAGGGTCAGCTCACAAGTATCGATCCCTTTGACTTCTACTCTCGCGTTGTTCCCAACATAAAGCCATCTGCTTCTTGCTGGTAAACGACGAAATTCTGTGAAGTTCCCACGATCCTTGCTCACGTGGTCTGTGGCCCCTGAGTCTATAACCCAAACAGGATTAGTTTCAGCAATAAACGCAGTGCTAGAAACATAAGAGAAATGTATTGAATCTGAATCCAATACCTTTTTCTGCTAGGGCAGTCCTTGGCATAATGCCCCTTTTGTTGGCAAGCATAGCATTTGATGGTTGCTATGTTCCGCTTCTTTGCAGGTTTCTTGCCTTTCTTGAAGGAACTCTTTCCTTTCTTCACTTTAGGGCCGCCTTTCTTATTTTGAGAGCCTTTGCTTCTCTTGGACTGGTTTTGGGAGGTTGCCCCTCCCTTTCCTTCAGTTAAATATGCCTTACTGACAGGCTTCACAGTTTCCATCCGATCATCCTCCAGTTGGAGGTGGCGAGCTACATCAGCAAAGGTTTTTATACTCTCATTATGAGTAATGGTGTGCTTCATGGTATCCCAACTTGCTGGGAGAGATCTCATGACAGCTTGAATCTGTTGCTCATCAGATAAAGCGCCTCCGGCTTCCTTAAGCTCCCTTATTAAGTTCTGCATTGCCCTTAGGTGATGCCTTATGGGAGTGTTAGGACCCAACTTGAAATTATCAAGTTTGACGGTGAGTCTCCTAAGCCTCGCAGCAGAGGTACCGTTAAATTCGGATTTCAGTGCTGCCCACATGGCAGAGGCTGAAGGGTGTGTTTCGAATTGCACCAACACATCGTCAGTCATGGCACTTAGCATGGTTATTCTGGCGATAGTGTCCCTTCTTTTCCAGGCCGCGTAGCCGTCCTGGTCCCTTCGCGATGCATTTGCCTCAGGCTCTGGAAGAAAAGTAGTCAACACATCAGTGACTTCTTGTTCTTCGAGGACATACGATATCTTACGACGCCACATGCTGTAATTGTCTCCGTTCAGCTTGTCACCTCCTACGAGGTCAGCTATGATGGACTTGATTCCTCTTTGAGACATCGTGCTATCACATAGACAACAATGCATTTTAGTACGGTATGCAGTATACACACTTTATTCAAGTGGGTCATAGGTCGTCTGGGTAAGAGTCTCACCATTTTCATGATCAGGAGACAACTAGGTTGGCTCCCATCCCATTACTCCTGATTAGTCTCTTACCTTTCTTACCTTTGACTTTCCTTGAACATATCCCCAATTTGGAGTTTTCCTCATGAAACTCCCACTCAAATAAAGCATTTGAAAATAAAAAAACTTTATTTATTGAAGCATGAATGTTTACAAAAAAATGGATAATTCCAAAAATGAAGTCTCAAGAGTAAACATTAAAAGAAATATAAATGTGAACAAAAACTCATTCGTTCATGATATATTTTATCATTGGTTCTCTCAAACTCTCTTTAACACCTTTCCAGCATCTACAGAGACATTGTTTAAAAAATGCTTCACTAAATATGTGTCCCCTCCTCGCCAGTTCCTCTCTGTATTGGATTGCAATATTTGAGAAAAAAAGTGCGTCTTGCTCATTGACAATTTATTTAGCATAATAAGTCAATTTTGAAAAGAGGCACTTTTGATGCTTGTATTCATCAGCATGCTTTTCTGCTATCTGTTCTATTAAATTTATGTCCTTGGGTCTGCAGACTTCTTCCTCTTGTTGGTCAGGAACACATTTCCTTTTACCACTGCTCCCCTCAGGTACATTAGAGTTTACTTGTGATTGAGGCGCTTTTCTTTTATTTGTACTTTCGGCAGCATAATAATTTGAAGATTTCGAATCATCAGAAAGAGGAGAATAAGTTGGATATTTTCCAAAAGAGGAGTTAGAATTTGAGTTTGAGTTGGCCATTTCCTAAACCCAAAAAGAACAAGTTAAGAAAAATAAAAATAAATATTCAAAAACATTTATTTGTTATTTTTCGTACCCAAAAAGTCATAAAAAATCAGCACATAATATATTAATTCATAGCTCATGATTTTAGAAATATTTCAGGTCAAACAGGGCTCAAAAATAGCCCCTCACGCGCCCTCACGTGCCCCAATAAGCAAAAAAAATTTTTTTTTTTTTTAGGGCTAGGTTCGCCCACTCTCGGGACCGGCGCGTGTACGGCCTCTCGCCGTCACCTGACCTATTCCAACTGATTCCTCACGTCTCAAGGAGTCTATATATGTGCTTTTTATGACCAAAGGGTCCCTAGGTGGACCCCACACGCCCACATGGCGCGTCCAAAAAATTTTCAAAAAAACTTTTTTTTTTATTTCAAAAAATTTTTTTAAATAATTTTTTTTTTAAAATTTCGGTCGGGTCGGTCTACCGACCCGACTTCCAGGGGGATCCGGGTCCACGGACCCTAAACGCAGCGTTTCACTTAAAGTGAAACGCTGCGTCCTGGCCAGCCCAAAACGACGCGTTTTGGGCTGGTCAGGTCGTCCCTGACCTCCAGCCGGGTCGCCCCAGATCCGGCTGGAGCTCCGGCGGGTCCGTCGCGACCCTCCATTTTCGAACCGCCGTATCTTCCTCCTCCGAGCTCCGTTTTATGCATTTTAGGTGTCTATGGACTCGTATTTTCGTGCTCTACAACTCTATAGGTTTATTTTCTTTAAAAAACATCAATTTTAAAGACCCAAAAAATGGTTCGAACGGCCGACGTTGGAAGCTTCAGAAAGTAGACTTCGATCACGTTTTTAAGCCTTACGGAATAACAGGTAATGTTTTCGAACTTCACTTATATAAATGGAGTGTTTATGTGAATTTAAAACACAAGCATATAGAGTTCGAATTGCATACGGCATATTCACGATGCAGCGGAAAAAAAATGAGCGTGTAATATATATATGCACACATATATTGAGAGCCTCAAGAACATCTCGGCTCTGATGCCAATGTAAGAAAAATTTCAGAATGGATCGAAAACATACCGGGTCGGATCTCGAGTCGGGTCGGTCGGATCTTCTTAGCTCACGTTTAAGCTAGACTATAAAAGTCTGAGCTTTTAAGTGCACAGCAGAGCACCTCTTTTGCAAGAAAGAAAATAAGAGAGAGAGAGAGAGATAGTAGGAAAGCTCTACTACTGGAGTGATTTGAACTGATGGGGGGAAGCCTCTGTTTATAGCTTTTGTCAGGGATATTTTGGGTAGCATAAAAATATCCGCTGAGCCCATCAGATAAAATCTGAGATAAGATATAATATATTCTTATCTCATAATATCATGATATTTGAATTTAAATCCAGAATCAATCACAATTAATTCTAAATATATATACTTAATATATATTTAATCTACACAATATAAATTAATTAATTTAATATAAATTTATTAGATTTATATCGTAACCGATTGGATATGATTCAGGGTGTTTGACCAAGTCAAACATATCACAATATCGCTTGGATATTTGACTGATATATTTTCTCTATACCCGGTCAAATAATCCGGCCCATCAAGGGCGGATCCAAGCCCAAAAATCTAACAGGCAAGAATTAGAAGTATGTCCTCTTTTCATTAGTTAAAACCAACCAATGTATTATTGGTTCAGTGCCTTATTCTGTTTTGTAAATGGCTTAGGATACTGTAAAGGAATTTGAAGAGGTTAGTGATACAGATAGTGAAGGACATATGGTGGGTTTGTCTTCTAAATCGAAAATTCAACGCAAACTTCCTTCTCAAGAGGAGTTCACTCGGCAAGCTTTTGCATGTGATAATGTGGAGGAGGATTTTGAAAAGGAGAAACAATATATTCTCAATGAAGAGAATCCTGAAGCAGAAAAGCCTCTACTCGTCCGTGGCTGGGGGCAATGGACAGATATACAGCAAAAGAAAGGTTTGCCATCTTGGATGCTGAAAGACCATGATATTGCCAAGAAAAAGCGGGAAGAAGCTCTGAAGAAGAGAAAAGATGCTCATCTAGAACACCTGATTATCTCTGAGAAAGTTGATAAAAAGGTTAGTAGACTTCATTTTAAGCGTCTAGGGGCCTTTATTCGTGTCTAGATGATTTTATTCAGCTTGGTCGTTTACATATGTTCAATATCTTTCTCCAACAAGTTTGAAGAGTTATCTTTTGATGGGCCTATTGTCACATACTGGTGGTTCACTTAAGACAATTGACCTAGCACCAACGATACACATTGATGCATCTAGAGGGGGCGTATGTAGCGAGAGCATCTTTTCATTGTGTGAGATAGGAACAATGCCTGACCATTGCGTTTTGAATGAGTGTTTGGAATAGGGGGAAATTAAGAATCTAAAAACTGTTTTAAAAGCTCAAAAGATTTTTTGTTTTGGTCTTGATCATTATTGCAGGATTTCATGGTTGGATTATGTTTTCTTCACTTTTACCGTATGGCAAAGTGTTATGAAATTGGATCTTTTACTGTTTTATAGTCGTATTTGGGGAGAGTGACACAAATGATGAAAATATGTATAGGATTTAGTCCTTTTTACACTCATTCCCCCCTTTTTGCGTGTTCTTGATTGCACTATATGCAGTTGAAATGTGATTTCAGAGGACTTAAATTTGCAAGGCCATGATGTTTTGAGTTCTGTGCATGGCAAATTTCATTTTGGTTAAAAAAAAAGAAGAACAACAACAAATGTGTTTGTAGACAAAAAATGACATTTGTGTTTCTTTGTAAAAAAGAGAACAAAAGTACTGAATAATGATAACAAAGACATGCTATATATTGTGTCTCTCATCTTTTGTTGTACTGAAAATGGAATCCGTTTTCCTCAATGGAACCAAACAGGCCTGTGGGGTCTGATTAGTTTACTGATTATTATGTTCAGTTTGTGAGCTTAATCCTTTTCATTTAAGGAAGTTAATAACTTTGTTTTCGATATGTCAGGCCAAGAAGCTTCATACAAAAGCATTGCCTTACCCTTTTACGTCCCTAGAGGCATTTGATCAGAGTCTGCGCATCCCCATGGGACCTGAATTCAATCTAGCAACTACAGCAGGGGCTCTAAACCAGCCTGAAGTAAGTACTTCAGAATATTTCCTTAGCATGCTGGTTATCCCTCAATCTACCTTGCATAGCATTGAATTTGTTTTGTGGTTACAAAATTTGCTTTCTTGTTTTGGATGGATGGCAAATATGCGCTTCACACACACTCACAACTAGATTGGCTTCAAATGGCTTTCTCAGTTCTCATTATCAACCTAGGATAACTAATTCTTCCACTGCTGTTGTGCAGGTGGTAAAGAGGCCTGGCTTTATTATAAAAATTATAGGTCCCGTTCGGTAAGAAGCGTTGAAAATTAGAGATAGGGATTGAGACTAGAATTGAAAAAATCTGTTAAAAGAGTGTTTAACATAAGAGATTGCTTGTTATATGGGATTAGCCAAAGCCATGTATATGAGATTAGGAAATACCATGGGCAGAAGTGGTATTCCCTAATCCTACTTCTATAGATTTGCCTAATTCCATATAACAAGTAATTATTCATGCTAAATATTATTTTAATGATTTTTTTCAATTATAATTTCAATTTTTATTTCTAAGGACCCACTTGAGAAAACGGGGCGGGGGTGTAGGGAAGCTTAAGTTGAAAAATAAAGGCAATGGTGGCAAAACCATGAAAGACTAGCCATCAGGTCAGGGTGTAATTTGAGAGTTTTTATTATTGCAGTTCTTGAAATATTCCCAGTTTTCAATGTTTGGGAAAGGTGAGGTCGTGTGGCGTAAAAAGAAGGCCAGATAGCTTGAAAAAAGCCTGGGAGTTATTTTGCTGCCCAAAGGAAAATGATAAGAAAATAAAATTAAGGGAACAAGCGAAATTTTTTTAATTCTATAATATTAGCATTAGTGTTTTTCTCCCAAACAACTTTTACTGGGACGTTGGTGTATTTTTTAGAACGCAAAGAAATCTGTAAATTTTTAATTACAACCCCATGTAAAAGGAAACTGCTTGCACAACGTAATAAAATTTAAATTTAATGCAAATCATATCATAAAATAAATGTACTTATATTTTTTGTGCATGTCAATTGTCAAGTGTAAAGGTACCATGGAGGAAATTAAAACTATCATCTCAAAATAATAGAGGTTGGATTTATTTGGTGATAAATAGTTTATTATTTCTTTAATGAATCACTTGAATAATAAAGTATCCAATTAAAATTGCTAATGGTAAAAAAATAAAAATCCATAGTTCTAATTTCTTACTGAAAAAATCGTCACACTAACTTATATGTATAATACTACTAGTTGTAAGAACAAAAAAAAATAATACTACTAGTTGTTTACTAAAAGCTTTATTCATTATTTATTCACATAAATAAATGGGCTAGCTGATCTACCGCAGCAATTTTTGGTAAAATAAAACCAAATGCAACAATTATTTTTTGAAACACACATACACACTTTCATACTCGGCAAGATCAGTTTTCGGCATTTGCATTAGCAAAAAAAAAAAAAATCAAATGATTTGGCAAAAATCTTATATTCCAAAGTAAAAAATAAAAAGTAGGTATTTTTTGAAATTAAATATAATCAAAAATAAATTATACATTAGCTAGCATCACAAATAAAATGGTGAAATTCTAACATAAAAATAGAAGGATATAATAGCTTGTAATTAATATCATAAAAATGTCACCAACAATACCATTAAGATTAATCATAATATTAATACAATAAAATGCCTAACATCAGAATCATAGAATATTATAACCACAAGGGTCAACATCTTGTTATGTAGATCATCACAAAAGTTCTATGTTTTCTTGTTTGTTCTCATTTCTTTCTCTAATTTGCTTTATAAGAAAAAGTGGGAAACTCTCTGCTGTTGTTTGCAGGAATATGCGAGAACTCCATACAAATTCAACCCACAAATGTTGAAATCAGTCAAAATATCTCCACTCATGGAGAAATTTAAACAACTATGCATACTCCATTTTCTACCTCACATTTCTTTCCTCTCATATTTGCTCTCCTATCCAAATAAGAAAAAACCAAATTTTTTATAAGTTTTAGTCTGTATTTGTCTGATTATTTGATGTATTTTTTAAATTTTAATAGTAATTAATTATATGTCTTCTCATCTATTTCTTCATTTATTCTCGGGAAAATTACAATCAGGTCCCATCTAAAAGAATTAAATACAAAAAAGTCCCTTAAAATTATCAAATTATTCTGAAATATCAAGGGACTTCATTGCAAAAGATTTTATTTGTTTAATTACCAAATTATCCTTATTATTTTTTTTAATTTTGCATTGACATCTAAAATTGCAGTCATTAACAACTTAAAATGTAAGGGTTAAAAACTATCGTGACAACTGACAATTCATGCATTATATTTTTGTGATGCACTAAAAAAAATGTGTTGCCAATACATGCCGTGATAGTTGTTAATATATCGCTACGCCTTAAGTTGTTAACGACTGCTTTTCCAGTTATGCAAGATTAAAAAAAAAAAAGACAATTTGATAATTAAACAAATAAAATATTTTGCAATAAGGTCTTTTGGGACTTTAGAATAATTTAATAATTTTAAGAAATATTTTTATATTTGATTCTCTTAGGTGGGATTTTATTGCAATTTTCCCTTTATTCTCTTAGGGATTTAAAAAAAAAAACTTACGTTTTTTTACATATTTGATATTTTCAACTAATTTTGACCAATTTTTTTAATTGCATAATTTAATTATTTGAAGCTTATATTTTAAATTTAAATATAGAGGGGGAAAAACTGTATCAAATTAAAAATTTTAAAAATATATAACTACAAGCAAAATGATTTTCCCAATTGTTTGGTACAAGTGTCTTAGGAAGCTCATTGTTGAAACCGATGCTTTTGACTTTATTCACTTTATTTGTTGCATTAATTTATATACCACTCATCAAAGCGGTCAAATTCAATCTTCATTGAAATCTATTTACTTCAAATATGTCTCTGAAGTTTATAATGTTTCTGATAATGCTTTGGCTGATCATGATTTTACCGATACTTCCAAACTGTATAAAAAATTCTTCTTCATATTAATGTACTTGGAACCCATTTCAACGTGGATAAGTTATTTTAAGGTGAGATAAAATTATTAAGAAAATAAATGAATTTGAGCCATTAAAGTTTGGTTTCAATGTTTAATGTTTTACAACAGGGAAATAAAATAAATTTTATCTTTTTTTTAATAAAATTTTCTATCTCATTATGCGCATTGCATGGGAAAATTTGTCAATTGCTTCACCCATTTATAAATTTCCTCCCAGACCATTCTTATTGATTGCATATGTGAATGCCTGAATGGGGATTTTCATCAATGGGGTAAAGCGTAACGATGAAAGAGCATTACATATTTTAGAAAAATTAATATATATTTATTATAAATAACTAATTTAATTAGTTTTTTAGTATTTATAAATTAATTATGCAGCTCTTACATTTAACATCAAGGGAGAAGTTAATCTTAAATCTTCAATGTGTTTGTAGATTAATCTGTATTATGGGTGGTAGCTGCATGAATTGGGTCAGCCCATTTATAAGACATTAACCTTATCTCAAGTCTGTTTTCTAACTTTTGGAAAAGACACAGTCCGAGAGAATGAACCAGGCCCACTCTTTAAATTTTAGGGTTAATATAATTTTTTGTTTATAAAATTTGGACCCATTTTTATTTTGATCCCTCAAATTTCAAACACATGATTTTAGTCTCTGAAATTCAGTCCATCTTAAAATATCAGTCTCTAAAAGTGTGACGATATTGCAATATGCTAAACTGTCATAAACAATGTTAAAGTGATAATGCAAACTCACCAAATGACATATAACTAAAACTTGTGGGGATCATTAAAGAATAGGTTCTCAAACAGATAGTAAGCAAAAAAGGGATTGAGCAACGGCATGTTGAGAACCTGTCCCTTTCTTTTTCCCTATACACAAGATTTAACCACGTGCTATCTAGTGAGTCAATATCACCACTTTAACGCCGCTTAC